AAGGACCTCTAAATCATTTACCTTGTAAAAAAAAACTGAAATATATAGCGGATACCTTGCAACAAATCTTTAACTTCTTGCTCATATATTGACTTGCTACAATATTGCTTTTCAAACACCTTGAAGCTAGAAGAGGATGTGATGTCGCAGACATACAACTAAAGAAGGTTCCAAAAAGTTCCAAAAAGTTCTAAGAGAATCTAAGAAGACTCCAAGAGGTTCTAGAAGGTTCCAAAAGGTTCCAATAGATTCTAAGAAAGTTTTAGAAGATCATAGAAGATCCTAGAAGGTTTTAAGAAGCTTTGGATGATTTAAGAAGTTGCCAAAGAAGGATCTTAGGCTTGCTTTATTTCCAAGCTTCATAAAAACTTCTTAAGAAGCTTTCTAGGACCTAGTATATATTAGAATCAAGGTTGAGTCTCAGTCTCGACAACTCACTTCTTGTGGTCTAATTAGAACCTTCTTGCCTTATATCTAGTTGTTGTTTTAATATCAAGCCAACTTTATTTGTTGATCTTGAATCCTTATCTTGTATATTGTCCCTAATAATTGCAAGTTTTTATCAACATCTTGATATTTTTATAATAGTGACAACAAATCCAAGATGGTTCAAAATCTAGAATGAATTACTTCAAAGACAACAAACAAGTGATGGACCAGATTTGGTTGCCTATGTATTTGAGTTTAAGGAACGTGCTATTATAGAAGATATTAAGAAAGAAGTTATCTTTGGTCATATTTTTGCATATGTTTATACCATTTAGTTTCAAAAGAGATGTCTATCTCATATGTACATCTTGTTTTTTTTAGATAAAGAAAGTAAGATTATATGAACTAGAAATGTAGATTGTATGGTTTTTGTAAAATTTCCAAATAAAAATAATAATTGAGAGTTATTTGAAGTTATTCTATAATACATAGTACATTTTTTATGTGAAATGCGAAATACTCAAGCACCTTGCATTAAAGATATTTGTTATATAAAGAGGTATTTAAAGGTATTTATAGAAGAAATAACAATGGATATCAATGAATATCTTTAATATTAACAAAGAAATAATAAAAGAATGTTTGAAGTTTGAGAAATGGTTGTTGATAATAGAAATGTTATTCTATTTTGTCTAAAAATAACTTAGAAGTACAATTGTCATATTAATGTTGAAGTTTGTGCATCTATTTGTGATGTCAAGTATATCTACAAATACATCTATAAGGGCCATGATTACATTACAATGCAATTTAAAAACCAACAAGATGATATCAAACAATATTTGGATAGAAGATACATTGAAGCTTTAGATGCTACTTGGAGATTTTTTGGCATGTGGATCCATGAAGAAATGCCAAATATTGTTTGTTTGTCTATTCATCTATTAGAAATATATCAAATAGTATATGATCCAAATGACCAGATAGTTGTAATTTTAGAATATGCTGAAAGTCAAAAGATAATATTAACTTTATTTTTTGAGATGTATACAGCAATTGTAATGGCAAGATAATATACATACCAATAGTTTTTACAACATTTTGTTTGGCATAAGACTAGAAGGACGTAGACCTTAAGAAAATGTGGATTTGTTATTGAAAGATTATATTTTGTAAATTAAACAATAGAAAAAAAATATTATTTGATGTTTTTTTAATCTATATTAAAGCTCCATAATTAATTGAGCACTTAAAGACTATTCATGGAGTTTTTAATCTAACATTTAAAAATGCATGTATAGCTTTAGGATTACTTAAAGATCATGGAGAGTAGCAACAATGTTTATAAGAGGCATCAAGAATACAAACTAGATCTCAATTGAGAACATTGTTTGTTGTTTAGTTATTACATAGAAATGTGCTAAATCCATTAAAACTATGGAAAAGATTTTGAAAAATTATCTTAGATGATTTCAATGCCTATTTGCAAAGAAAATATAGAATTAGCAATCCAATAAAAGAACACATTAAAGATTTTAGACTTTTCTTGCTAAATAAGATTTTATAAGACTCCGACAAAATACTTGCATAGTTTCTTCCAATACCATTATCAAGAAATAATTGGAATATAATAATTAATATAAATCAATTTATTGCTGAAAAAAGAGCACAGGACATTTAACAATTAGAAGCAAATTTGGAGCAATATGTTCCATAATTGAATCTTCAACAAAGAAAGGTATATGATGATATTATGGCCTCTATAATCAAAGAATACGGACACATGTTTTTTTCTAAATGGACCTGCAAGAATTGGTAAGTCATTTGTCTGTAATAATTTGGCAACTAAAGTTTGATTGATACAAAAGATTGTCATATGTATTTTATCATTAAGAATTATTGCATTGCTACTTGAAGGAGGAAGAACCGCCCATTCTAGGTTCAAGATTTCACTGGATTATAACAAAGACTCTTTTTGTTCAATTACTAAGAATTCCAACCATGCTAAGTTTATTTGCCAAACTTTCTTTATTATTTGGCATGAACTTCTAATGCAACATCGTTATTCTCTTGAGACAATTGATTATTCTTTTAGAGACATTTGAGATATTGATCGCCTATTTGGAGGAGCTATAATAGTTTTTGGTGGAAATTTTTGCTAAATATTGCGAGTGATTGTGAAAGGAACTCGAGAAGAAATGATAGCAGCATCTTTTTGATGTTCAACACTTTGGCCTCAAATAAAAATATATACATTAATAGAAAACATGAGGTTGAATTCAAGAGCACTCCAAGCAAATATTGAGTTTGTTAATTGGTTTTTTTAGATATAGAATGCACACACACATTACATGTATAAATAGTGGTGCATTTGAATTTTTTATGGTTTCATTATCATTGATTAATATTTCTATTTGCTACTTGTCAAATTAAAAATGATACAAACTTATTGTCCAATAATATAGTTAAGCTTCTTAATTACATGATTATTGATCAATAATTAATGTCTTTAGTAGATGTTATTTATCTAAGGATGTCAGAAGATAATGTAGCAAATGATGCCTTCTTTGGAGAAAGAATCATTTTATCTGCATCAAATGATGATATAGATGATATTAATGAGAAGATTATGGCCATATTTTCCAAAGAAGAATAAAAATATCTAAGCACTAATGAAGTTTTTGAAGATGGTATCAAGAATAATAATGTTTATCTAGTTGAATTCATCAAGTTGCATAATCCATGTGGAATGCTCAAATCAAGGCTTTGTCTCAAGATTGAGACTTTGGTGATGCTATTAAGAAATATTACTCCTTGCCAAAGACTTTGCAACAGAATCCGATTGATGATTATACAACTATTGGATTGAATCCTTGAGGGAAGAATTCTTAGATGAAAATTTGCTAAAAAATTGATGATTATTCCATAGATTACATTAACTTCTACAACAAAATAAAATTTTTTTATTCTAAAGAAAAAGCAATTTCTAATCCATCTTGCATCTATAATAACAATAAACAAATCTCAAGCACAATTGATGAAGCATGTTGGTTTGGATCTAGGACAACCTATATTTTTCCGTGGTCAATTTTATGTAGCACTCTCACAATGCATTTCTTCCCTTTCTATCAAGATTCTTATTCCTAGAAATAATAATTTAAATTCCACATTAAATTTTTTTTTTAAGTTTTAATTAGATAAATATTAATAATTTTTTATATTTTGTATTTTAATTTATTAATTTATTGACTTTAATACATCTTTGAATGTCTTAACATACTTTTATGATTTTTTGATAAAATTTAATATTCTTTTATATTTTTACAAGTAATTCCTTGAATAAAATTAATTACTTTTTTTGTATATTATCCATGAAAACGACACGAGTTTAACTATCTTATTTTGTAGCTGAAAGCTCTATTGTATTTTTTATTTCTTTTTATTTGTATTATATTATATTTGTATTAGAAAAAATATTTGTGGCTCAAAAAATGTTTTATTTGACTTATACTTTCTATGACACCACAAGTTCATGTAGATAAAGTTTACTTGAGTAGACTGCATTTATACCATCTAGATATTACTTTCACAAAAGCAAACCGATTTCACAACTCCTACATGTTTCCAAACTACTTTGAATTATTTGTCGAGAACCATGGAATCTTAATTGCTTATTACTAAGGTGAATTCTATGAATAAAAAGACTCTCAACATATTTATATATATATATATATATATATATATATTTTTCAATCTCTGTAGTTTTATACTTTATATTTTTATAATATTATAGTTTTCTCAAATATTTATATAATTTTATAGTTTTTTATCTTTATATTTTATATTTATAATTGTATAATTTTATATTCATATATTTAATTTGTACAATAAAGTGATTTATTAAAGATATTGTAATAAATTGCTTCATATCGTTTAAATTATATATAATATTTGTAATCCAAGTCATTTTTAATATAGTAATTTCATATGTGTCACTTTTATATTCTTAATATAGTAATTTATAAGTGCATGCTTGGATAATAAACTTATGTAGAGTAGTGATATTTGGTCTTGTAAAAATATTTACTTTATATCATTCATAAAATTTGACAAAATTATATAATGAGAAGCAGAAAGTTTTTATTAACATTACTCTTAAGTTGTCAAAATTTAACATCTTTCAAAAAATAATATTTTATTTGTTTGCAATCATCCTTCTTTTATTTTTACAGAATTTTTTCTTATATTTTTATTTTTAAAATATTAAAATTCATATCTTATAATGGAGTAAACTTAGTGTCAACATAATCAATAAACGATTTTCCTGAAATCCTGCTTAAATTAATTCACTAAAGTAGTTTAAAAGAAGTTAGTGTAGATAGAATTTTACTTGTTGGAAAATTTCTCAAAAGTTATTATATGAAAAAACTTATGTAACGTTTGAAAATTAGACTGCTTTTTTTGGTGGTTGACAAGTCTATGTTTCTATCTCATTTCTTCTTTAGGCACAAATTTATTATACAAATTTATTACAATGTATCATGAATCCTCAACTATACAAGCACATAGACAACGTGCTAGATACCAGCTCCTGTTACCACAACCAGCGGGTTTGACGACGGAGGGCGAGATTGTGAAGCTCTAATCCTAAGCGCGGGTTTAGGGTTTTGCGACAAATCCAAGCTCAGGCAATCTGTGAGGCGGTGTCGGCACGCATCGGAATTCGGCATTCGAATGCAATTAGATCAGTTTGAGATCATACAGGAGAGCAGGAATTCATGACCTTCTGACCCTGCAGCTGGTTGATCGGAAGAACCCTATTGCTTCGTCGAAACGGTAAACATCCCAGTTTCTGACGACGTTCGTTTGTTTTCAGAAACCCCGAGAGTGCTGTGTTGTGGTGTTGACACCGCAAGGACTGCCTTGAATATGGAGGAAAGACAAGTAGAAGAAGGGGACCAGAGCGGACAGAAGCAGGAGGGGCGTTGAAATGTGAGTTAGCTGATGACCCCACAAGCGAAGTTTACAACGGGCCACGGTTCAATCCGGCATTGTGCAGAATGCGAATTTTTTCCTGGAACGTGAATGGGTTGCGCACTACCCTCAAGGATGTCGCTGCTTGCCACACTTCGGCCTCGAATTACTTCTGCCAGGTTCTCAATGCCGACATCGTGTGCTTTCAGGTGAGATTCGTGTGCTCTCGTCGCATGTGTGTTTTTTTGTCTCTGTTTTGTAAGTTGATTTCTTATGCCTTTTGTTTTGTTTTGTTTTGTTTTTGACTTTTTCGATTGTGTTTGCCTTGGAGAGTGAACTCTATGCATGTCGGTGTGTCCCACTATGTGCAAATGTACTCTGAAGGTCAAATGTTATACCTAGAATTGTTTGACCTCTGTTCGTTGTGGGTAGACAATGAAACATGGTGTGTCTGCCTATGTTAGTAGTTTGAATGGCAGATCACGTTGTTAGGAAGGTCTCCTATCTTTGTTTTATTACACCAAATTGTATATGATCACGTACATTGTTTTTGCCTTATTGTTCACAAACCTCGGTCCACTGAGCACGAGGGGTTGCGAACATGACATTTTCGCCATTTTTGTACAAAGAGGGACGTTGTTGACACATGATTATGCCCTCTAACTATTCCTTGTTATGGTGCCTTCAACAGATCTGAATAGTGTTTTTGTTGCTGCAATCTCTTTCTTTCTTTTGACTTCGCAAAGCATTGAGATTGCTGGAAAGTCTCAACGTGTAGTAGCTAAATTTGATCATCGGGATTATTCGGACCTGTGGCCTATGTCTTATGAATAGGTCCCCTTTTATATGCGAGTCGAGAATTTCCGTCGCAGATCTGCACTTGCAGAGAGTTTGTCAGTTTCTTTCCTTAATTGTTGACTAGAAATACATCTATTTTTATAATCTTGCCCAGGTTTTTATTGTTGCATTAGTTTTGCAGGAGGCAAAGATACAAGAAGAGAAATTAGAAAAGTGGATCGCATGTGTGGATGGCTACCACTCTCATTGGGCTTTTAGCAGAGAAAAGAAGGGTTATAGTGGTGAGAAAGTACCTGGGAATCCTGAGCACTCATTTCTTCTATTTAGGTGAATTATTCATAGTTAAGCCCTGTAAGGACAGATTCGATGTATATACTACTAATGGTTGTTCAATCCCTCTGGGCATCAAAGCTAAAATATGAAGAACTCGTATTCTTTATCATGTCTAGTTGAAGATTTATTTTCTGGAATTACTGACGGATTGGTGTTTTTCAGGTGTAGTTACGTACGTGAAAGAAGCATTATCACCACTAGACGCGAAGGCAGATTGGCTGGGAGAGAATTCGTCAGCAGAAGACTTGTGTAACGAAGGGCGATTGATGTGCACGGACCATGGAAGCTTTGTGCTGTTAAATGTTTATGTCCCCAATTCAGGTGACGGTGATAAAGGTCGTCCACGTTTGGATTTCAAAATGCGATACTTGAAAGCTCTCGAACAGACATGTAAGTTATGCTGAATATTTTCTTTAACTTTGTACTTCTTTTGATAGGCCACTGTCATTTTCGCTCCATAACACACGTTTAGTTGCCTAGATTCCTTTGTGTCGCCACAATGCGGTCATTCGTTTGCATTTTCGTTTGACTGTGTGCGTTAGTTCACGCAGGTGACGACCTAGTGAGATCAGGCAAACATATTGTGATAGTAGGGGATTTTAATGTTGCACATAAAGATATCGACGTTCATTCTCGATGGAAAGTTGAGGAAATATACAGTCTAGGTGTGTGCTCAAGTTTCTTCTCCTTCTCATCCTTTTTTTAAAATGTTGCTATAGTTTTTATTCTGTGAACATCCTAGTTTGTTTGAGTTGGTCAAGGATCTCATCTCATGCACTGATACGAGATTATACATTATAACCTGTTCCATGCTTTAAACTCAAGTGTTTCATCTTAAAAAATTATTCTGCCCAAGTTTAGCATAGAAGAGCCCCCCTCAAAATCCTTGGTTACCTGAAACATATTTTGCAGAATCCCTACTTCTACCTTCACGTAAGAATATCATCCATTAACAATCCATGAAAAGAAAAGAAAAAATTATCTTCCCATGTTTGATTTCTTATTCTCATAGAGTGTGTTGCTGTTGAGGATTGCAGAAGAGAGAGAATGGCTTGATGGCTTTTTGTCGAGGTACATTGATTTGTATCGGCACTTCCATCCAGATGAAAAAAATATTTTTTCTGTCTGGGATCAGAAATCAGATGCTCGTACTCGTAATGAAGGATTACGGTTAGAAGGGATCACTCTCTCTGTCTGATTATGCAGTTATGATTTTAGATCGCATTTCTACAGCATATGTGATTGGATATTTTAACTTGTAATTCTTTAAGCGTATCAGTGTACAGCTTGCTGTCAATGCTTGGTTAGGAAAGCTATTTACTGAGCTACGTGTGTTTGTTGTTTGAAGTATACAAACGTATTTGAATATCTTCCATCCAGGGTCACTTCGAGTGGGATGCCACACTTGGCAGTCTTACCCATACCGAAGGCTGACTGTTTGGTTTTCTGTTGATTCTGAACCTGCTATTTTGGTACACAGGATTGACTATGCGATTTGTAATGAAGGCTTTTTGACGGAAGTGTTGGAGACTGACATCGTGAAAATGCAAAAGCAATGGAGTGATCACGCTGCTGTGGTGGTGACACTTAAAGAGCAACCGAACCTACCACCCCATCCAGCTCCAGCTTTGAGCTCTTGCAACATGAAACGGTTCATTGCAGATCCTCGTCAAAAGAAACTCACTGCACTCTTCAATAAATGTCCTAATCGTCAAGTTACTACTATTGTGTCCGATAAAATTGTGGAAGGTTTACCTTTGAAACCCTACTTTCATTGATCACTTCAAGAGTCCTTTTAGGTTAAGTTCTAAATGTGACTGAATGGTATTCCAGATGAAACCTCTCGTAAGAACATAATCAATTGTCATGGATGTAACCGTCGTTGTTTTTCTCCGTGTTGTAAAACTCGAACATCTTGTAAGCTTTCTTGGACAACCTTGAGATTCGATATGTCTCATTTAAGTTTAGCTATGAATTGGAGTGCCTCTGCAGTAGTCATGATGTACGCTTTCATTCTTCTAAATGAACGCTTCGTATGCGTCCAGGTACAGTTGTTTGAACAGAATAGGACGACTTAGTAGCTGATGAAACAAAGTTGTAAGTGATTCCATCACGGAAATTTGATTACTGGTTTCTTATGTTGTTTTAATAGACGAAGGCGATGAACTCCACTCGAAATCGGAAATGAGTATAGACGCACTTAGCATGCAGAAGGATGTTACAAGAAAATCGAATACTCCTGTTTGTAAAGAGCATCCGGTTTTTGAAGAGCGAGGTGAGTCTGTAAAAGCTGAGGTTACTCCTGCAACAAGTGCTGTAACTGATAGGGTGGTGGATATTGCTGATCCCACTCGAGAGGCTGTTGAATTACCTGTATATGTCAGCAACAGTGACGCAACAATGAGTACAGATTCTTCGAACAAAGAGAGTACATCTCAAAACAAAGGAAAAAAATTGACTTCGCTTGGGAAAAGAAAGCTTGAAGCTGATACCAAGGGGCTCAACAAGCAACGTAGTGTAGCCTCGTTCTTCAAAGCCGCAAATGCCAAATGAGTCTTGGCAAAGGATGAGATTATGTTGTAGATACTTGAACTGCCGACTGAGACTTCCCATCAGTTAAATTCTATTTTTCTGAAGATTCTAGATGATGGGTTAAGGCATCTGAAGACCTCTTTGTAACATTCAACATCATCACTCACTTGGAGGTAGACAGTGGGTTGAGATTTGCTCTTGAAAGAATTTTGATACAGAAGCTTGTGCCACTGCTGTAACCTTTCATCGTTCTCGCCGATTCTTAATGAATCGTCGCAGGACGACTATTGCAAGAACCACATATCCCAGCGAAATAACAGTTTAGATCAGAATTGAAAAACTGAAATGTACAGTTGCTGATTCATGGTGAGCAACATATTCTTCATCCTCATTTGAATGACAGTAAGAACTATTTTGTTTGTACACCCGACTAAGCCGACGGGCTCTAACTAGGACTCAAATAAACGTATACGAATGCAATTGTCCAAACTATGCGGCACAACACAGGTGTAAAGTCCAAGAATTTTGTGCCTCTATCTCTAATTTCCGGACTGCAAAATGTACTTGAACCTTCCTACGGTAAAGGACTATCAACAGACTCCCAATTTGTTGAACAAATTGACAGACATGAAAGCGAGGTAGAACTAAATGAACCCCTTCTGGGACAAAACGAATCACTACTGAAATATGCAAAGCCCTAATTCTGTACTATTCTAAGGGCACATAAGTTGTAACACAAACAGTATCCTCTCTACCAAGGTGCATCGACCTATCTCAATAATCTGCATCTACTTGATGAAGTCCTCAACTAAATGAACTTCAGCAGACATCTGCACAACATTCGATTGAACAATCAGTGGATTGGGACTGCTAAGTCTACTCAAACCGCCTAAGTCTCCCAATATCATCGCTTTCCAGCAGATTGAAGAGCCATTCTAAGTTTAGAATTTGCCAGTTCCTGCCAGAAAAATGAGAAATGGTAAGTCGCACGAAAGTGTAAGCAGGAAATCCTAGACGACCATAGCAACAAATTATGATGCTTTTGAATGAATCCTTTGGATTGTTACTGTATAAAAACTAGAGTGACACTCGTAAACAAACATTATAGCAGATATGGAAGACGTTTTAAACCTGCTCGAAAATGGCTTCATTGCCTTCACAGACTTGCTTTGCCAACACATCAAGCTTCCTGAGCATGGTCCTGTATAAAGCTTCAAGCTCCCTAACGCTCCCTCCGTCACCTTCTGTTTTGATTAAACAGTGCAATCTATCAACTGAGAAATCTTGGGAGTACATGTCTAGAAGAGATTGATTCACCTTTTTAGCCCCTTCCATTTGTACATCCGCATTTTGAGAAGTCATTGTCAATTTTCTTAAACTCTCGTCGGAGCTCTCACCATCCGAAGCCGAAGTCATCGAAAACCAAGGAAAGGGTGCCACAGGCGCAAAAGAGTCGTATAACCCTCGAAACGCTGGACCGATATTTACAATTTTTACGGAGCGAATTTCAAAGCAGCCAACTCCTCTGGGTTTAGTTCGATACTGGAATGCACGATACTCATGGGTATGTATGGAATTTGTATCACTGGACTCCGTAAAGAGAAAGAAAAGACAAGGAGAAGAATGAGGAATTCCGATTGGCTTCAAATCCTTCCTATTCAGATCACTCTCCTCTCCAAGAAGGCCATTTGAAGAGTTGAGCGTAGGAGAAACCGGGGCATCTTCAGGTACACTAAATTGTGTGTTGCGCAAGTTAGCTGTAACAGTTGATTCTCGCATAGACGGTCTCATGGATGACTCCCTTCGCCCAACAAACCAACCTATAGGAACATCTCCACCCCTGGATTCTCTATCTCCAACCATTTGAGCTAATTTTGCTGCATCGATGCGTCCAGTGGTGTCATAGAAGCTAGCCAGCCCCCCAGAACAAAAATGACCAGTAACAATAGCTGTAGAATCGTGAGAGGTCTGTGGGCCAACATCTTCGTCTACCATTGTTGATGTCGTGTTGCGTTCAACATGACCAAACAGAACACCATCACAATCACCTAACGAGGAATTCACTGCTTGTAACAAGGCTGCAAGAGCTGCACCCGATATTGCAACTCTCTCGACTGGTGTATCACCGTCGGGAGTGGACCTGTCATTGGCCATGCGGTAAGACGACCACTCCACTGCCTGATGATGAAAGTACTTATCCTACACGTCCGCTGCTGTATCCAACCTCCACCGAGGACGACAGAGTGAATCAGCTCTAGAAGATGACCAGATGAAATTGAAAATTCCCCTTATTTGCTAGACTTCAACACCTTTAGGCCGACCAGGTGACTACTTATCATTCATAGCATCAGCTTCAGAATGACGTGTCTCTGCAATATTCTATCCAACAAGAATTTAGTAAAGATGTGAATAAAAAAATATTGTGCAACTCACAGATTGTGATCTCAAACAAAACCATACACCGTTGGTATTCCCTAGAATTCAACAAACTGCTTCAAATCACAACAGCCGCGGCAATAGCAACATTGAAAATTGAGATATAGCTACACACAACAAAAATACTACCTAACCTCACAACACCAATCCACGATCATTCAGTACATATACTACCAACCTAGATGAACATAGTTGCGATTGCCACAAATGCCAAATCGTCTCCAAGGGTCAAAACGCAAGTAATCCACCCATCCATACCTCGTATAATCGGGATTTTCCCAACTAACAATCCTCCAGCCCTCAACTGAACTCCCCAATCCTCCAATACCAACCATCATACATACAAATGAAAAAAGACCCAGACCAAATTAAGCTCTATTACAGCTAACGAACGAGTTGTGACTCCAAACCCACTAAGCAACGATGCAGAGAAGAAACCCAGCGAGGACGGGTCATGTACCAGACGCGGAGGTGCAACTACCAGCTGATGTAAGCAATGAAACGATGAGAATGGTGGGTGGTAGCAAAACGGAGGAGAAGCGTACGCAACGCACCTGCGATGATTGATGGTGTGTGGGATTGCATGAATCGAAGAGGCAATCTCCATGCTCCCCAGCAATGGACCGATCGCGCAAGAGCTCTCGTCATCATCGTTCTCGACGGGACTTCCTGCTCCAGCCAAGCCCTAAATTATTGAGGCCCCGAGCCAGCACTGTCTTGGACTTCGGTGTGAAACCACGGAAATGCAGGCTTCTTTCCGCGGTGTGATGGACCGAATTGACCTGAGACCGTGTTTGTGTGGTTGGGGGAAGTGAAAGCTATGTATTCCATGGCAATGTGAGGTGACAACATTGTTAGTATACTTTAAAGTAACACACACATACACACACACGTCAATATTTATTTATTTATTTATTTATTTTTATTTATATTTATAATTGACCTTTTTTATTTGGTACATTTATTTTATTCCAGGTTTTAAAAAATTGGTTTTAAATATTAAAAATTCATTTGAATAATAAGACTTTTGTGTTTAGTTCTATGTAAGTTATTTTAAAGTCAATTACTGATGTAAAATCTCTTTTTGTAGCTACAAAATTGTAATAATAATTAGGATAAATTGATAATTTTATTTGAAGACAAAGCAATCACGTAATTTAAAGACAATAAAAATAATTTCGCATAAATTAAAACACTGAAAAAACTCAATTTTATTCAACTGAATACTTTAGGCAACCAGAGGGAGTAATGTTTACATATTTATGGTTTTAAGCAAATGTTCAGAGACAGGTGGAAGCATACCAAAAATTATATTTTCATCTTAATTTTTTATTTATGCATTATATTTAGGATGTGAAACTTATCATTAAACCTAAACTTATCTTGAGTTTCAGCAAATTTAAGCAATTTTTTTATGTATGAGTCATTAGCAGCATTGTAATTTGCAAAAGTCAGTTAAGTTGCAAGAGATTTTTAAAGTAGAATCTATTTTATTAGGAGAATTATTTGGTAATTATATTATCAACTTTATGGCAAGTCATTTATATTTTTTATATTGCATAACAATATTGTTGAGCATTTAATAATGCCTAGGCAATGACAAATTGGTCTTCAATTGCAAAAAGTTGTTTTAAAAGTAAATTGTACAAAAAAAAAACATCTTTGGTTACATCTATAATGTTTGTATTTCACAATTTTTTTAACATGTTTACAATTTTCTAAAACCAAAAATTTTACAAAAAGTAATCTTGATTTTTTTTGAATTTTTTTATGAACAACATCTTCTGTTACACAAAATCACTTCCTAATGTTTGAATAAAATAATAAAATATACCATTAAGTTTTTTGGCATCTTAAAAGGAAGTAGGGCCGTAAATATAAAATAAAAGAAAACATAAATAACAACATTCTTCTTTAAAATGATTGCAACTAAATATTTGTCCAAATATTTTCTTACTTCCATAGTCTTAGTTGCACCAAGGATGTGTTCTTGTTCTAAGAGCAATGCTCCAGTTAATTTGCTATAAGGAAAATCTTTGACTAGATCATAAATTAATATGTTACAATAAATTTAATTATTTTTTAAAAGATTTTTTATCCATTTATTCTCTCAAGTTTAATTTGGAATTATAATACATCACATGTTAATCTAAAAGGTAGACTTCCAACTATAATGTATCTGAATAGGTATAAAAATATTAAGATTAAAAATAATAATACTTAATTAAATATATTTTTTAATCTAAATAGATATTTTATAATGATATTCATTTGATATATATATATATATATATATATATAGGGATGTCATAATTATACATACATTTATAATAAATTCCACTTACTACATAGCATTTGTAAATTTTATTTATTTATTTATTTATTTATTTATTTTATCAAATATGTTTGTAACATACTCATGAAGAATAATAACACCTCAAATGAATTATAATTTTTTTATAATTTATGGAATATGTAATAATTTTGGTTCTTCAACACAATTTTAGATACAAAGAGATAACCTTAGATACAAAGGGAGTTTTTACAGAAATATCATCTTTGATTTTAGAGAAAATAAACTAAAGTCGATAAAAACCTATTAATCATTACTTTTGAGTTGGAATTGTGGTAGTTCCAAGTTTTTTACTAAATTGACCTACCCATGATGAAGAATATGATAATCATGATGAATGTGGTTGGTTTTCATTGGTTTCATATCTAGTAGCAGAGAAATGAATATAAAGGTCATTTTCTTTTTTTCATGATGGTTAGGTTAAGTGGATCAATTAGGTAAAATCCTGTGTCTAATTAACATTTCCTTTATTACATATATATATATATATATATATACATCTGTGACCAAAACAAAGGATGCAAAGAGGGTTGGGGGGTGGTGTCAGGCTGCAATGCAAGCACAGGAAGGAGTGACGGGGAAGGCAGGGAGGGACACATGGAGCAAGCAACAATAGCAGCCCGGTGGTTGGTGGTGAAAAGGCGAAGTGCATGAAAGAGAGAAGGGTGGGAGAGAGGAAGGTGCCACTTTGCATGCAAGCAAGCAAACAAACAAGGGTCCTCCTCTTCATCCTCTTCCTCCGGATGCAGGGCAGGGCAAGTGTAACGCAAAAACAGCAACGAACACATGGCGCCATTCATGCTCCACCATCCTCTGGTTTCCAGACGTCTTTCGTCGCGATCCCCATCTTATACATTCCTGCTCATCCTCCATCTCTTCATCCTTCCATCTTGCAGCAGCAGAAGCAGCTCCCTGTAGGATGTGCAAATATTCTGCAGCAGGAGTACCAACATCCCATATCGTGACATTCAGTTCTAGAGTCATACAACATTAGGGGATCATTTCTTAAATTGTTCACATTTCACTGGAAAGCTTGTCTTATTACCGACCTGCTTGAGAATTTGTTTTTTTGTTTTTTGTTTTTTTTCTTTTCTTTTCTTTCTTGTGTCTTGTGTGTTTTTATTTTATTTTATTTTAGGTTTCTTTTCTCCTTGTTGGAGTGGTGTGGACTGGTTGAGCATAAAGCTGGAGTGCGTAATTGGACAAGAGAGCTGAAGGTTGGAGTAGGTCATGAGATTGGAGATTTGTGGATATTGTGAAAAGTTTGTGAGCAATCCGAGGTTTGGTTTTTAAGATTTTTGGAACAAGTTGGAGAGAGGTATTGCCTACTCCTGACTTCAATTGCTATCGAACCCAGATCCTAGAGTTTTTGGGTGATTTTTTTTCAAGGAAGGTTGATTGATTGCGACGGGTATAGTCTTGTGTGGTCGTTTCCTGCACTGTAGCTATTGGTGTGGGAGGTTTGGTTTGTTTTTTGTTTTAGGGTTGCCTCGGCAATGCTGGCCAGGCAAAGCAGCGTGTTGGTATCTCGGCGGATTTATTCATTGCATTCGCAGTGCCCATCATTACAAAAAGATCGTGTTCTTCGTTTATCTTGGTGCGGGGCCAGGTGCTCCGGCTTCAGCCTGCCAACTTCCAAGTTGTTGAGTCTTGGGTGTGGTGGAGCTCAACCAAAGGGCAAGAATATTTGGTTTACATTGAAGTTGAAGGCGAGTATGGCAGGAGGGATAGATGTGGATGGAGGTTCTACGTCGCACAAGCATACTAATCGGCTTGCTAAGGAGCATAGCCCGTACCTCCTCCAACATGCCCATAATCCTGTAAGATTGCTGAATTGGGTTTTTACCTCATCTTGCATGAATTAATTGTTTAAATACTGTTGCTCATTTGTATATGCCGCCAGCTGCTTCCAGTCATTGGGGCTTGGGACTGTAGAATTGACGATCTCACCTTCATTTGATCACAGTATTGATCGGGTCATGAATACTTTGCGACAGAAATTGCTGAATCAAACATTACACTGGTTCCTCCCTATCACCCTAAATACATTACGGGATTTCCTCTGGATGTTAGGACCCAGCTTGTCATTGGCCTGCACCAGGATGCCTCACCTTCGTCAATGCTTAGCAAAATAATTGACGATTATCATGCGTGTCCACAGAGGATAATATTGCAAAAATTGGAAGCATACGACTGACACATGCAGTGTGCAGGTAGATTGGTATCCATGGGGCGAAGAAGCTTTTGCCAAAGCACGAGAAGAGGATAAGCCCATCTTTCTCTCAGGTAGCAGTTTATTCGTCTAAAACATGTTCTTCTGTAATCTGTATGATATGACCTTTTGAACAAATTTGTCAAGGCAGTTGGAAGTAGCGAAATAACTCACATTTTTCTCTCCTTGATCATCAGTCAAACGCACTCTCAGCTGCTCCAATGAACATTATATGAGTTACTTTTTAGAGTTCGTGGTTGCTTGGTCTTAGGTTTGTGTCATCGATTTGATACTATGTATCTAACACTTGTACATGTTTTGTGGTCCACAACTCTTGTGGTTTTTGATACTCAAGTCGGTTACAGCACCTGCCACTGGTACGGTTTTAGCCCGATTATCATCTTCGATGATATGTTGTGTTTACTTGTACTTGAATGTGATAAAGAGTACAATATTGTAGTTTAATCTCGTCAAATTGATTCTTTATTGTGCAGCACACGTTGCAACTAATTTTTGAAAAAACCCGAGCATGCATCTTTTAAACTCACTATTGAAGAGAAGTAGCAGAAGTGTATCTTTCCACCAGTACTGAACTTCTTTCTTTGAACTCCAGGTGCCATGTTATGGAGGTGGAATCATTTGAGAATGAAGAGATCGCTAAGCTCCAGAATGAATGGTTCGTCAATATCAAGGTTAGCTCCTCTATTTCGTACCATGGACAGCATTCATGAGCTGGATTTTGGAAGATGAACTGGCACAATACAGGTGCGGAAGAAAATTGTTGTAGTATCAAGTTTCGTTGGCCTAAATGAACTATTGGTGTTTTTGTCGCAGGTTGATAGAGAAGAACGACCTGATGTAGATAAAGTGCGGTTTGTTCTATCCTCATTACCAGATCTTTTGAATATCAATTGTACCTGTTAACCAGTTAAAAGGAAATAATTCAATCGTCTTTATGTTGAAGGTGGAAGTTTTAAGCTTCATTCCACAATGCTAATTTGCTCACAAACTAAGGTACCTTTTCTGAATTACAAGCACCGTACTTGTAGGTGTATATGACTTACGTGCAAGCTTCACAAGGAGGTGGAGGATGGCCCATGAGTGTGTTCCTGACTCCTGAATTGAAACCTATTGTTGGTGGCACTTATTTCCCTCCAGATGACAAATATGGTCGACCGGGTTTTAAAACTGTGCTGAAGTGAGTATCTTCTCCTCTCGCTTTAATTGTTTGTGTGACAGGTAACACGGAAAATATGAGTGACTTCTATCCTAGGCATTAAATGCTTTAGAACAGTAGGAAATATAATATCGACTATCACCTTCATTCATTAAACTGGTCTTTACGTAGCGTAGGATTGATGGATTCTGTATTATCCAGACTTTTTCTGGAAGCGACAAGATTGCACATCGCTGACTTGAGGTTTAAAAAATGCTAATGGCACTGATTCTACGTGATGAGAAATGTTTTAACGCAACACTTGAACCTGGGCTTACAGGACTTTCAGACATCTGTGTTACACAAATGTATAAAAGATGGATTAAAGCTTTGACGAAAATTTTTATGTCATTTTCCAGACGTGTCCGAGAGGTGTGGGAATCGAAGAAGGACGTGTTAAGAGAATCAGGGAAACAGGTCGTCCAACAACTAGCTGAAGCTACTGCTGCAGTTGCCCCTTCCACAGAGCTCACAGAGAGCAGTGTCCCTGCTCAAGCTGTTACGCTTTGTGCTAATCAGGTCCTTGATTGCTTCTACTTATGAATCCTTAGTCGATGAGTGATCCAGGTTTAGGATTCAATGAGAGACTACCTTTGGATAAGGCGTTTGATAGAGGAAAGAGTTCTAATTTAAGAGGTGTTGGCTTGGTTGCCGTTTTTTGTGTTTTAGTTCTTTCAAAATTAATAATCTTGATCAGTAGCTTCCTTGAGTTCTACTAAGACAGAGGGCCCTTTTTGTGCATGTATTTGCATTTATATATAGAGATCCAATATTCAACTTAATGTTGAAGGCTATTGGTTTTTGTAATTTTAGCCTTTTAAATAAGTTTTTATTTTTTTACCCAGTCATAGGGTCTTATACTTAGATGTCGAGGTTAGAATGAGGTGACATGATCATACATTGAGTTTTTCCGCTGATGTGCGAGGTCTCTGTGGTTGCAGCTTTCCAAGGGATTCGATTCTAAGTTAGGGGGATTCGGAGGAGCTCCAAAATTTCCTCGGCCCGTAGAGGTAGCTCTCATGATGAGGAACTACAAGCGTTTGGAGCAGCAGGGCAAAGAGCAGTATGCCACTAAAGCTCTTGAAATGGCTCTTTTCAGCCTGCAATGTATGGCCAATGGTGGCATGCATGATCATGTTGGAGGAGGATTCCATCGATATAGTGTGGACGAGTATTGGCACGGTACGTCAACTTATTATTTACCCGCTAATCGTGCATCGAGTTGGACTCACTTTATATAATATAGGTTGCGTTTGAAAAGTATTTTTCAGCACACAATTAATTTTTTTTTAATCTAACTGGTGAAAAATGAGTTTCCAAATGTAATTTTAAAAGAAACAACGCGCTAATCCTCGTTTACGTGAATCTGTTGGCTATTCCTTTGCAGTGCCTCATTTTGAGAAGATGCTTTATGACAACGCTCAGCTCGTGAATGTTTACCTCGATGCTTTTGCTGTCAGTAAGGACCTGACATACTCGTATGTCGCTCGGGATGTTCTTGACTATCTTATTCGTGACATGACACATCCTGAAGGAGGAATCTACTCGGCTGAAGATGCAGATAGTGCTGAAACTACAAGCTCCACCAAGAAAAAGGAGGGTTTGTTCTACATCTGGACATTGCAGGAGGTTAGCCTCACCGTTATCTTCATGTTCATCAGTTATTCAGAATTTTCCTCGCTGTATTTCTGTCTTTTTTGTTCGTCCGATTATACATCTGCAGTAGCACATTCGACTTCAGTTTCTCAAAAAATTGGCACTGTATATTTTCGCTTTCCAGTATTGTTCTCAGATGTATACCGCTCGGTTGATAACTGTGCTGAATTTGAACCGTAGATTGAAGAGGTCCTTGGCAAAGAGCAGGCTCAGATGTTCATTGCGTACTACTATGTTAAAGCCGAGGGAAATTGCGACCTTTCACGGATGAGTGATCCCCATGGAGAATTTGGGGGCAAGAATGTGCTCATCAAACGGTCTAATGTTGATATAGCAACCAAGTTTGGGAAAATGCCTGAAGACGTTTCTCAGTACCTAGGTCAGTGCAGGGCTAAGCTCCATGCTTATAGATCTCAGCGGCCTCACCCTCATCTCGATGATAAGGTGATTTTCTCTACTTTCATGTCATCATCTCTCAAGTGATTTGTAATGAGTCTGACAGAATTCTCGACAACTTTATGATCTGATTATGATTGCTTTATCAGTGGCTGGGTGATTGAACCGTTTAGCATATTCTTTACTAGTGAAGCTCCACATTATTTTTCTTTGACCGATCTTGGTGCAGATCTTTGTGTATAGTTTTGGATTACGATGAGGCTTAATCCAATTAAGAACTTATCGCAGCATGTGTTTCTTTCGAGCAGGTGATTGTTGCCTGGAACGGTCTTGCAATATCAGCCTTTGCAAGGGCTTCTCGTATTCTTCTTAACGAACCCTCTGGTGTTCGCTATGAGTTCCCTGTTACTGGGTGTCATGTACGGTTTTCTTCCTCCTGCTCTTTTCTTCAATTGTCCACTTTATATGCAATTTGACTTATTGGGATTGGTACTGCTTTTATTTGAGAAATCAGGTCTTGTAATAATTGCTTACGTTTTCTTTTTGGCATCTCCATAGCTTCACTTATTTTCTGTAAATTTGTTACTGTTATCACGGAGCTGATAATCTTCGCTGGTGGCACAGCCAAAGGAGTACTTGGTAGTTGCTGAGCGTGCAGCACACTTCATAAAATCTAAGCTCTACAATGAGAAAACCAAAAGACTTACTCGTAGTTACCGAAATGGGCCCTCGAAAGCCCCTGGCTTTCTAGATGACTATGCTTTTCTCATTGCTGGACTCCTCGATTTATTTGAGTGTGGGGGTGATTACAAGTGGCTCCAGTGGGCTCTCGAGCTTCAGTCCTCTCAGGTGGCCCGTCTCACTCGATATCGTTTCGTTGTATAGTTTGATGTTATCATCATGCGGTCTGAAGGGGGAAAAATCAGCAGAAAGTGTAGAATGGAATTATTTGGAAGTTCCTACTTGCTAATGTTCGTTGTGCTCGATGCTACTGTCATTGTTATTGGCTGCCATCATGTTGAGGTATTGCCACTGACATTAATAATACATCACATCAATGCTCAATGTTTTTCAGTCTCACTGAGTAGTTCTTTTATCACCATCTATTAGGACGAACAATTTTTGGATAAGGAAGGAGGAGCATATTACATCACTCCAGAGGGCGACCCTTCCATCCTCTTCCGTATGAAGGAGGATTATGATGGTGCAGAACCATCTGGCAATTCTGTCGCAGCCATCAACCTTCTGCGCCTGTCATCCTTGGTCACAGGAGATCTTGCCGAGAGCGTTCACACCACTGCCGAACACCTTCTGGTAACTTTTATCTGTCATAAATATTTTTCAATTCAAGGCCGAGATGTTACTGTGTAGATCATGCATATGCAAGCCTCTCACTGCTCTACCTCACTTAATAAATGCATGGCACAACGTGTAAATGTTATTAGTCACATTAGGTGAATTGCTTGCAAATTGGTCACGATTCGAATGATTAATTAAATCCTCATTATGGATGTTCTGTTGGTTTCATACAGGCTGTTTATGAGCAACGAGTAAAGGAGGTGGCTATGGCTGTGCCTCTTTTATGTTGTGCATTTGATTCATTCAGTGTTGCTGCCAAGCGCCAGATCATCATTGCAGGTGTTCGAAACTCTCCAGACACTGATGCCCTCATGACTGCTTGTCATGCTCCCTTCGATCCTGACAGAAATGTAAGAGCACTCAGATCTTCCCTTGTAATTCATCCTTTATTCTTTCGTTTTTCTTTCTTTTCTTCTTTACTTTTTCTATTTTAAAATTTAAAGTTGAAGTATTTTTCCTCTCATGCTGTTGGGTTTTTCAATGGTATTCTTTTGTCATGCTCTTGATGTTGAGGTGCTTCTGGACTAGCCTAGAGAACGTTGACTGCATTTTTCGGAGTAATGGAGAGGAGTCGGATGTGATTCTCCTCTTGATAAAATAACTGTCATTTTCCTACAGGTCATTCTGATAGATGAATCTAATCCTGAAGAAAGGGATTTCTGGCAATCAGTCAATTCAACCGCGCTTGCAATGGCACGAAAAGCTCAAGATGGAAGAGCACTCGCGTATGTCTGCCAAAACTTCACCTGCCAAGCACCAACTGGAGACCATGTCGCACTTGAACAGCTTTTGCGACAAACATTCACAGGTCCGAAGATTTATTCATTTAAAGCAGGTTTGGTATCAAAGTAAAGGTGTGAAACCTAGTTCTGTACAGGATAAAGACTAATTATAAATAGAATGCAGAACGTCCTTGTTGTCTACGGGTAGCTTATCAACAGCCAGTGAAGCTAGTCAGTATGATTCTTGGCTTCTGGATCACCTCTCAATCTTCAGACTGGTCTTCGAAATCTCACATGTGATAAATCTTTATGACAGATTCTGATCAACTGGTATCGTTTGCTTCTAAACCTGTAGTCCTTGTGTGCAATAGCTTGTTGAGAGGCATTTCAGCTTGCATACAAGCATTTACGAGGCTTGTGTTAACCTGCATTGAAGAACATGTTTCTGGAATCACGTGCGAACACTGTCCGAATCAAATTGTTAGTCAACTGTTACAGAGGTGTCGGCCCACAGGAACATCCAGCTCATGCACACTGAGCTTACGTTAGATTCCCAGATGTCATAAATGATGTTTTTCTATAGGTGGAGCACCATATTCTGAAACAAAATGCTTCTGATTACATTTTGGTAGAAAAGGATATTTTATTCTTAGAATTGGATCCAACTCTCACAGCTGTTCAGCAGGGATTCTTAAGAGGTTTCGGAAGTGCTTTTTCCTGAGACTGACTGAACAGTTGAAGCATGTTTTAGGTAATTGAGTTCTACTGTACTGATTATGCTCTGCACCTGGTCCACTGCAACTTTTCGACAAACTGCGGGTACTGCCGAGCAAATTTGGGCACACCAATTTATGTTCCAAACTCCACATTAAATACATATTTGAATTTGTTATGGCTGTTCATGGGCACTTGTCCTCTTTCAGATTTTGTTCTTTTTGTAGGAAAGTTCATTGCCAAGGGTCCTTTCCAGGATTCTGTGGCTGGATCCAAACATTATTCTTTTCTACGCTTTTTTTTCTTTCCAGATATTTAATGAACTATTCATAATCCAAACACCTGCTGTCTGTATGAACGGCTGCTGTGAACCGTTGACCGCAATGTGCTGGTATTTGTATTCAAGCATGCTTTTTATTCATATTCTACAAGCTTGTTAGTCATCAATTTGACCTTAAAGTGTGCAGTATTGCTGAGGTGGGTGTCACTAATATTTGCATGGAGAATGTGATCTGGAATTTTTAAATTCAGTGTTAAAAATGTACATGTTGAGCTAGATTCCAGTAGATGAGAACTTAAGGAAGAATTTTGTAAAAATTGTAGCTTAAAATCTTTATCATAATCGACTTCATTCTATTGAACAAAAGTATATGAATTTTTACCTTTCCAATAATTTGAGTGATTTCTATGGAAGGAACTACTCTAGTACGGCATTTTAGGTCATATGTTGTTTAGGTAAGGTATAAAATACTTTAAACAATTGAACCAAATGTGCACTTAATGATATTAAATACAACAAAACTGTTTTAATATCCAGTGTAATATTCTTTGTTTGTTGATCATTAAAACTTACTTTTAAAATGCTAATTTTTTAAAAATAAAACAAAGTTGAATGTATATGTATGTATATATATATATATATATATAACAACATCATCTAAAGCTGTTTTAACTACTTATATTTTTGTTATTTGTATTCTTAAAAAAATTTAATTGTTTAAAAATAATTACTAAATTATTTTTGTTACAATTATGTAGTTGTTGTTATTTTGTTTATTAAAAGAAAAAAATAGCTAAAAATAATTTATTTTTCACACTACAGTATAATTAAAGATAGTTTTTAACATAAGATAATTATTATCTACTAGCATAGACTAATTATAATTTTATTTTTATTCTACTAACATAAGATAATTATTATCTACTAGCATAGACTAATTACAATTTTATTTTTATTTTACTAACATAAGATAATTATTATCTACCAGCATAGACTAACATATCAATGTTATTTTTTTAACAATAATTTTAAGTTATAAAAATTTATTTCATTTTACATAAATTTTAGATTATAATTGGCTTCATTTATACTTAGTTCATAAATAAATTAAAAAATATTTTATAAGGAGCTTTAATACTGGTTTGACAAGACATCTTCTATGATTGTACAACAAAGATATTTTGTAGATAGGTATCTATACAACAATCTATCTATAGAATCTTTTAAAACTACTATTACTAAAATCTTTATTATTATTATTATTATTATTTTAATTATTTAGTTCATACACCATAATAGTTTTTGCTAATGCCATCACAAACTACTCTAAACTTAAGTTGCACACCACAATGTATTTTATGGCACACTTACAATACACATCACAATAGATAAAGTGCACATTGTTTATAAATGTATGTTTTGATGTTCCATAAAATGCAATGTGATATGTATCACAAGTTTAGCATAACTTGTTGTGATATTAGTAAAAATTGTAATGACATGTGATGGATGGCAAATTGTGGTGATATCAACAACACCATTTTTTATTATAACATTTTTACAAAGTGTTAGTATATGACAAAGAGGACCTAAAAAAAGGTAGGAAAGAATACTCAATAAAAAGCTACATAAGAAGAGAAGAAAAATAAATAAGTGAAAAGCTTCAACTAGAGAGTCTCTTTAGTACAACTTTTGATAAGAAACAAATGCCATTGTCCAACAATTTGCACATGATGTACATTAAGTTTGAATAGTTTATTTTTTATTTTTTTATATTTTACTCTTTCATTTCGTATAAAAATACATTTTTTAGAAAATAAACATTGTAATTAAAAATAGAATCATTTATTATGAACATTGTACCTTTTAAAAAAATATTATTTTGGTAGAATTAAATGTGCTTTAAATTCAAACCTGCTTCAATCAGTGAACAAAAAGACACATAAGTCAAACTTATAAACTTGCAAAGCTGTTCACGTGTTAAAATTTGACAAAAAGTTGCAAGTGCCTCAATATTAGTATTTTTTCAATAAGATTAAAAATAACATCATAATGATACTCTCAACTCTCACCTTTTACAAACCACATATGTTTACTACTTTAACAAAAATAATCACCTAATAAATGTAAAACTCACACCCACTATATATACATATATATATATATATATATATATATGGGATATCAATTACTGGGAAATGGGTCACGATCATTCCTGCTACACAATTTTATTGTGGAGGGATGCCCATTTGCACTGTATCATTTACAATACATGGGATGTCATGCGTTGCCAAATACAAAAATTTCATGTAATATAACTTCCTGTCCCTGACGCTCAAATTGACCATATACCCACTTTATATGCTCTAGAAACTTTCTTCACCTTGCATGGCTCTATCTTTTCAAAGGACCATATTCATTCATTAATAGCAAAGGGGTATACCATTTTACGGTTCAATTTCTTTTTAAATTATTAAAAAAACATACAAAAGAATACCAAAGTCAACAATGCAAGTACAATGACTATTTTATTTTTTCTAATATTTTGTACTCATGTTGGGTATCCAAAGTCCACCTGAGATAGTCACCCACTTGATTTTACCAGCAAAGCCACATCCTTCCAGGAATAAGAAATAAAAATTTTAAAAAAATCTTATATGATAGTGATGAAAGTGCACTTGACACGTAATTTTTTTTTTCAAAAAATATATTTTAGGAAGAAAAGAAAAGAAAAATAAAAGTAGTGGGTTGTAGTGTGCAATGCCGATAAGCTTTGGCTCAAACTGGAGGCCACAGGAAGATTCTATCATGTAGCCTTACACAAGAAAAATATATATATTTAGGATTATTGGTTAGAAATGTTATCCATTCCTTTCTTTTCCGTACACTCTTTGCAAGCTAATACAAGAGAAATAAAAGCCCATAACCTTGCTTCTCCTAATTATTCCTGATAAACCTTCTCCCATTTGGGTGGTGGTAGTATTACAATCTAAGTATCTCTAACCTTTTTTTTTTTTTTTTTTTTTAATTTATTTATTATGCATTTTGTGACTCATTCCTTGAATATGAGACCCTTTTATATGATAATCTGCATGGCATTGTGATGCTGATGTGGAGAGATAAAAGCAAGGATATGTCCCTTCTCCAATCATTGGAGACTTGTTCCTTTGTTGTCTTTTGACTTTGCCCACATGCTTCTATTTTGCATGTTCCGATAACTTTCATTGTGTGGGAGGATGTGAGCATGTTACTCATTGTAGCAAAGATGTGAAGCTTACCCATGTTGTAAAATTACTACTTTTGGGATTGATATTGCGTTTTTTGAAATGGTCCAAATAAATAAAGTAAAATATTACATAAATTAGTGAAATCAAATATGATCATAGTAGCAACTGTGAGCTAAAACTCAATTTGGATTCTGATATTGCATTTCATGCAATGAAAGAGCAGTTTATTACATATTTGACATATTCACAGACATCCAGTTTATTACAGGGACTAATCCTGTCGCTGTTGGTATACATTACTAAAAACTTTAATAAGATTAATTAAATGAAAACATTTCATAGTAAATGCTATGGTGTGGTTTGCGATGATCTCAGGCATCCAAAGGATAGCAGATTGGCACTGTGACAAATGCAGTTCTAATCCCAATAGTGTGTTTTTTTTTTTTTTTTTTTTTTAATCTTATTTGATGAACACAAACACGGAGATAACAACACTTAGACGTTCCCAAAAAAATAATCAAAAACAGCAAAATACAACTTCTTTTGTGAGCAAACAACACCAACCTTGGTCATTTTTTTCTATGTATATCAGCTGAGGTTATAGTTTATAATACATAGTTTTTTATATCTGCCGTAGTAGGTATCTCTACTTGCAAACCAGATATTTTTGGAAAGAAGATGATGAGTGAAATGAAGCAACAAGTGGGTCAGGCCCACTTCAAATGTCTGACCCCTCAAGGTAGGATGTTTGTTTGTGTTCTTTGGTTTGATTATTTTTGTAATTTTGTTTCCTACATCAAGGACAAATGGTGGATTCCACATATTATAGTTCCAATTATCTATTCATAGAGCGAGAAAATAAAATAAAATAAAAAAAATAAAAGGGTAGAAGAAGAAGAAGAATAAAGAGGCTCATGGGCTCCTTTGCACTTTTGCCATTAAATTCTCATCATGTTATTATTTCCCACATTATTTTGTTATTAAATTAATGTATCATGCCCTTGAACCAACTTGAAGACTTTATTTATACCACCCTTGCACAAACCCAAAACCGCCAATTTTTCTTGTGAAAGATTCTAAATACATTCCAAATCCACCAATGATTGGCAAACTTTATGAAGAGGAAGAGTGTGATTCAATGTGATGGAAGTGCATTGTTTTGCTCAAGTCTACGACTTGATTGAGGGATAAAACACAAACAACGCTTTGAATTTTTTTATCAATTCAACCACTACAATGATTTAATTTAATTTAATTTATTTTTTTTTTAGAGCACATCAAAACCTTATTTTTCCACCCAATACAATTTTTTTTCAAAAAAACATCCCCTCAAGATAGCTGAAAAACCTTAAGTTGACAGTTTAAGATACTCCAACATTATTAGTTTATTTTTTGCATGTTAGTAATTTTTTTTATGTTTTATGTTTTTTTTTTTTTTTTTTTTTTTTATCTTGATCCCATCAAATCAAAGTTAAGTAGCCAAATTACAACATGACTTAGTAGTGAAAGAGGTAAAAGATCAGTGTGGTATGTGAATTTGGTGTATTGCTCAAACTTGATCCACCGCAAGTGACTTCTAAAGAGCATTAGTAAAAAAAAAAAAAAAAAAAAAAAAAAAAACTGACACAAGGGGTGTACAAGGATAGAATTAGCTTGATTAGTTTTTAGAAAGATGTAAAGCATAAGTCAATGTTACTTGTATTTATATAATATTAGATGGTTCTCAACTTAGGGAGAGGTGCTAGTTCTCTTTTATTATACATTACTAGTCCAAAACAACACTTTTGAATTGGAGCATATTATTGACTTTGTAAAAAAAAGAGTTAGAACTTGGTTTAAAATGTGTATGTCTTTGTAATTTATAAAAATATATATAAAAATATTTTACTTAGAATTCAAATACTAATATGTTTAGAATCCTTGTGGGATTCCATCATGCATGTTATACTTTGGAGTGAAAATTGTACAACTAATTAAGCACGTACAAATTTAAATTTTATTAGCACCATAATGCAAGGGTTGACAAAGAACTATCTTTTAAATGGATATTAGAGAGAATGTATGTCTATAATAGGACTTTATCCAAATTAAGCATGTATATATATATATATATATATATGCATACATTTGATGTGCTTACCAAAGACTTCATGAGAATAAAGAGTCTTTTCTATCACAAAGGACAATCACCTGATTTTAAAATTTTAAAAAGCTTTTTTTTTTTTTTTTTTTTTTTTTTTTTTGATGTATTTAGTTACCTAAGGCTTCATAAGACAAAGGTCTTTCTTCTATCATGACAACTATGAATTGATATATTTGCAACCATCCTAAAAATCTAATTCATTCAAGCAAACTTCATTGTTGAAGATAACAATATGTACTACAATATTTATACACATATTAAAATGAGATAATTTTAATGCATCATACTGCATTAAATTTAGTAGGTTTGAATCATTTTAATATACAAATGATTTATTGCTAGCCAAATTTGTAAAATTAAGTTTTATGCATCCAATTATAAAAATACATTATTTAAGATAGTAATTGATATATTAGAATGGCCTAGTTGTAGAATAATAATACTAAGTCAACTTATCTAAATATTTAATTAACCCACTCTTAGTAAAATACAATTGCTACCTCCACACGAACACTTGTGTTTAAGGTGAGCTGATTTAATATTCTATATAATGTAACTATGTTTCTTTTCTTTTCTTTTTCTTTTCTTTCTTCAACAAAGATAGTCTCACGGTGGATCATAGCTGGTTGGTGTGATTCTTCGGCGAGTGTCGGAGACGGGATCCAATAGAGCTAACAGCATCTTCGTCATTGCATCTTGTAAATCACACATAAATGCAGATTTTCATTGCAAAGAAAGTATTTGACTTGGGCTTACAGACTGGTTCGGAGCCAAAAACTGTGATAATATGGGTCTCGAAAAGTCACTCTCTCATACAATGTGGGTCTGTGTCCATTTTGTCAATCCATTGGCATATTCTTTAGCAACGTCAGTTGCAGCCGCCGGAAATGTACATCCACCATCTTTTTGATGCATTGACTCTTTTCGAATTTAACCTAATCTTCTTGTTCCGTCTCGGTAGCTTGATGGCGATTAATGTCCCCGCCCTGGAGTCAAAGGTGAATTCTACATGGACAAAGTGATAGATAATCACAAACCGTCATCAACGCAACAAAAACAATCACAGATTTATAACGGGTTCCTTACGTCGTGTCACGTGCATTCATGAAGTATTCTTCGTGACGCAAACATACTATTTATAAACTCATTACAATAAAATAACATTGCGTCTCTATTATTATCAAGGGAACCGAAAAGCCAATAAATATAAATTAAATATAATGTGTGTGTGTGTGTGTGTGTTTTTTGCTGTTGACGGATTCACCTACTCCCCGCAATGCTTGGAATTTTTTGTCATCGAAGAACAGTCGAGGTCATTGTGGGAATCTTGCTGAATTCTCAGACGTAATCCAAAACAGTGACGAATCTAGCATGAGCTGAGCAATGACCTCGGTGCACATAATCCTCAAAACCACTAATTCATTCCCCCTCCACTGGCTTAGTTTTTCTTCACTCTTGCGATTACAAATGCTGTGTGATAGAGGACGACTACGAAGCTGCGAACGCGACAGCGGGGGCCACGAGGAGTTGACCAAGCAAGTGTGATGGCTCCGGATTGTTAGTTTGTAAGTGTGTACAACATTAGGATTTTTGTTTTGTTTTTTTTGTTTGTTTTTTTGTTTTGTTTTGTTTTTTTTTTCTCTGTGTGAGCTTGCTTCAGAGGACGAGTACCGCGCTAGTGACCACTGGAGTGGCGAAGCAGCACCGCTTGAATAAGGGGAAACATGGGCCATGTGGCACTCGTCATTGATGCTCTCTCCACGTACATACCTCTCGTATGTTCATCGATCTGTAGCAGCACTGTTGCAATTGTAGCCCCTATCTTGTCATTTACTCCTGGGACTGGTTCATCATCCATCATATTGTCCAGGCAGCACTGTGTTTTTTCAGAACCTAACTAGTCTCTTAGTATATGTTGTTGAGTTACCTTCTTGGGATTGTTCGCGGGTGTGCAGTGCATGCACAGGAAGATCAAGTAGACCCCGGAAGTCCGTTTGGACTCGTGGGTTGCATTGTAGAGGATTCGTGCGCGGTCCGGAGAGCATGGGGTAGACGGTGAACTCGAAACGTGGCTACAATGAAGAATTCGTGTTGATGTTCATGGGAATTCAAATCTATGACATAGCTTTGTGCTTTCTGAGGATGGTAGGATGTTGGTAACGACCAAATAAACTGTTTCCCTCACTCGCACGTAGTTGAGTTTAAAGCTTTCTGTCGGGGGTGTTGGCGAGTGTGGTGAGTGAGTCGTTTTCTTCGTTGTAATATGGGGTTGAGAGGACTTGTGAATTTTAAAATTCCTTGAGCCAATCTTTTCTTTTTTAAAGTCGAGTTTTCTCATCTCTTGTTGATTCGAGACAATGTGGCGGCCTAAACCCGCCACCCGAAATCTCCTTCTATGAGTGTACCGTTCGTGCTGGTGTTTTGAGGGACTTTTGTGTTAGTTTGTGTCGTGATTCATTTTGTTAGTTGTTTGGTGCTTTGCTCATTCAGTCTGCTGATGGTCTGTCTGGTTGCCCGGTATTCTTGCACTCATCACACCCTTTTTCTTATCTCACTGTTTCTCTACACTTTTATTCCTATATCTGGATTACTTTACTAGTGAAATTGCTGAGGCATCTTTCTTTATAGACTTTTGCCAGCTGATGTATGTGCACGATCATACTCTCGCTGCATCAATGGGATTAAGATTCTGCTGTGACCCCAACACTCTAAGCACAAGTGGATCTCGCTTCAGTTGACCATATTCGAATTTCGCACTGCGTTCAAGTTGGAGCATCTTTGTTGTAGGAGCACTAGTCTGGCATAGGGCTTTACAAAAGGAGCAGCCACGCGAATCTCGTAATTGACGGCAGGTTTACGGTTACTCCTTTGAAATGGACGATGAGCATGCAAGGCGCAGGCGCGGGACATAATTTACAGATACCACACCCTTCAATGCAATTATCCTTGCGCTCTTGTGACCGGTTCATGATTCACCCAACAGTCGCTTTGTAACCTCCTGGCGCTACAAAGAACCACCTCGTAAAAGGCACATGGTTACTGTGCCCAGATCAGACATGGCAACAACTGATGCAGAGACAGGATCTTCAAATTACGGGGCGCAGGTACTCCACCCTTTCAAACCGAATCCGACATGGGCCACTAGTACTTGAAAAAGTGATTGAATGTAATGAAAGATTCGAAGTCTATCCCCGGATAGGGAACCCTGTAGTTTTGAGTTCATAGTTCCGTTAGTTGGCGTGAGCTCAGGCTATTAACTGTAACTTCGGAGACAAAAGCGATGTCAGTTTACAGGTGATCCGGATGTGTAAATAGCGTTGTCATATAAGTGCGATGTGGTGAACCCAGTGTCGGTGCACAAGCACCCACTAGTCTACAAAATCCGGATACATCTTCAATCTGCAAGTTACCCTCTGAGACTGAACTTCCAAGGAGAGATTACTGCGACCAGTCAATTGAGGTTTTGTGGGTTTGTTGAACTGTAGGAAAAACTACCAATGAAGGCGCTCTTAATATTGGCATATCAGAGCTTTGGAGTAGTCTATGGTGACCTTACCACCTCACCTCTCTACGTGTACCGTAATACGTTCTCGAGTTTTGGGCTCAAAATACACGAAAGTGGTGAAGAAATTTTGGGCGTGTTATCCTTTATTTTCTGGACGTTGACGATTATTCCTTTCATCAAATATGTGTTCATCGTACTGTGTGCAAGTGACAACGGCGAAGGTGTGACAGTGGTTCCTTGAGGTGGTTTGCTAAGGGTTTCTCAATTGTGTCAAAGGATATATAAACAACTTTACTGATTTGCGCCGATGGTCCTTTCTGCCTCGGGGGACCTCTTTCCCAGACTAAGATACAAAATAAGACCAGCGATGTGGCTAGAGATGCCTGTTTCTAATATTGAATGTGTTTGAACAGGGGGAACATTTGCTCTTTATTCTCTTTTATGCCGCCATGCAAACCTGAGTTTGTTGCCCTATCAACAAGATGCTGACATGCAGCTGTCTACGTATAAGGTGGAGACGTCAAGGGAAGTAAAACAAGGGCTGCGGGCGAAGGAATTTTTCGAAAAGCATCCGCGATTTCGCACGGGGCTCCTTGTAGTCGTCTTGTTGGGGACTTGCATGTTCATAGCCGATGGTGTTTTCACACCTGCCATATCTGGTGCGCGGCAGTCTCGCAGCCTTCTCTTTCTGAGATCTTATGCTGATCGGTGAAGATAGTCTCATTATGTAAATACTGATCGCATCCAATGTTTTCAAACTGAGCTTTATTGTAACATCAATATCGTCCTCACACTTCTCTGAACTTAGTTTTGAGTCCAACAGTTTTGAATGATGTCAGGAGCTACAGTTTCTCACAAGTAGTCGCATCCAAGGTTCAGTGAGAAAAAAGCTCTCAATTCAGCTGTCAGTAAGCAGCTGTATCATGCACCACTGTGAACCTAAAGAAATTTATGGTACCCTTTTTGCTTTTGCATAGGCCAATATTAATCGAACACAGCCACCGTCGGAGGAGTGTGAATTGACAGTAAATAGTAGAGAGGCTACTAAGATGCTGGTTTCTCCCATAGTATTCGAATCTTCAGAGAGCTTCAAACGTGCCTAGTCAGAGTTGGCCGAAAATCCTAACATCCCTACACGCCCTCTGTACTACATTCTGCTTACTGTGCTACTATGCTTTGACTGTGATTGATAACTGCGCGTTTTTCTGTTCAGTGTTATCAGCGGTAACTGGCATCAAAGTTGCAATACCGAGCCTTCACGAAGGTAAGTGACATCTTTGTTGCACTCTGCTCATCTCTTCATTGTAAGATATACTCTAAAATTAGAACTCAGCATCGAATTCTCGCTCTGGTGTGAGTATAATTCAATAGGAACCTGCATTTTGGCTATTGGCTATGTTTCTAGACTATATCAATTGGTTGAAGACTTGTTAGCCATTCTCATCAACTTCGACAGATGGCTAATAGGGTCGGGGTTGTGTTGACAGATATTGTAATTGCAGTGTCATGCTGTATACTGATTGGCTTATTCGCTCTTCAACACTTTGGCACACACCAAGTTGCTTTCCTGTTTGCACCGATTGTGATTGCGTGGCTCTTCTGCATCGCCAGCGTTGGATTGTACAACATAATAATTTACAATCCGCGGGGAATCTGGGCTGCCTTGTCTCCAGTGTACATGTACAAGTTTCTGAAACTTGCTGGAAGAGATGGTTGGACCTCTCTCGGTGGGATCGTCCTTTGCATGACGGGTAGGTACCCTCTGGGGTCAACTGTTGCTGTTGTTAGAGGGAAGGGATCACATTTTTGACAAAGTGGTATATGTTTGAATGCAATGAACTAGTCTTACTAAATTCACTGGTCATACAAAAGTCATTCTTCACGGACTCCACAACAGAATGTTATTGTCTCGGGACTTCTCAGCTTAGCATGGGTCCTTTGGTTGTGCTCTGTTCTGTGGTTTTCGGATGGACTTATTTGCAGATTTGGCCACCATGTCTTAATTTTTTAAACAAAAATGTAAAAAGAATTAAAACCAACTAATATTTTCCGTTAGCTGGGTGCAGGAACTGAAGCAATGTTTGCGGATCTAGGCCACTTTAACCAAATGTCTATCAAGGTACAATTCAAACCTCGGAATTAGTGGTTGTAATCAGTTCTAAATTTGTGACTTAGCCCAATCATCAGCAGCATATCACCTCCGTTTACTCCGTCGCTTTTTGTCAGTTAATTTTTCATATGGCTCAAAAATCACAGCAGCATATCACCTCAGTGACCTATAAGGGACACAGAAGGTACACCTATGAACGCTCGGACTCGAATGCTCGAAACGGTGTTTCTTACTTTAGAAGTCCATCTAAATACTCCGTCTTTGGAATACTTAGAAACTGAGGCCTTAACTTGTACATGAGATCAACTGAAATGTGTCAAAACCTCAAACTCCCTGATCTCGAGAGGGGAAGAGCTCCCAGTCACTTGTGTCCCACTTCATAATGTCAATTAAACGGTGGTAGCAATTGGACCAGAGCAAGCGACACCAGGCAGATTTTCTCGGATCCTCCTGCTTTCAGGACGAATTTTGAGGAACTTTCCTATCGTCAATGTGGTTGCAGATTGCGTTCACAACTGTGGTTTATCCTTGTTTACTCTTGGGATATATTGGACAAGCTGCTTACCTGTACAAAAATCCAGGCGATGTTTCAGAAAGCTTCTACAAGTCTATTCCAAGTAGGACATCTTTGTTCCACTATTTTTATTTTAAAACTGATGCATTGTACAGCGTAGAGTAGTTTCGGTAAGCAGAGAGATGACGTACGCGTTTCTATTTTCACATTTCACGTATTGATTATGCACTTCAGGGAAAATGGCAGGTTAACTTTAGGAGCTGAGATTGTTTGTTTTTCATTGGGAAATGAGCAATTGGATTGAACAGAGTCTGATCATGTTATTGATGTGCAGGGCCTGTTTTCTGGCCTGTATTTGTTGTCGCTACACTGGCAGCTGTTGTTGGGAGTCAAGCTGTCATTACAGCAACCTTTTCGATCATCAAGCAGTGTCAATCTCTTGGCTGTTTTCCAAGGGTCAAATTGATTTACACATCCAAAAGAATTCATGGCCAGATATATATACCTGAAATCAACTGGATCTTATTCATTTTGTGCTTGGCCGTTACCGTTGGATTCAGAGACACAATTACCATTGGGAATGCATACGGTATGTACATGATATCAATAGTTCGATTCAATTTTTTATTTTTATTTTTTATAATTCTAAACAGTTTGGTTCAAATGAATACAGTTGAATCTCTGGCCCAAAAGGTTTTGTTGTGGAAGGATACTGCTGTCTTGCTGCTCAAGAATTGCTGGTAGCTTGGTGTTCTCGTCCAGTGTTTTCTTTTTCTTTTCTTTTCCTCTTTATTTTTTTTTTTTAATGTCAGCAGTTCCTTCGGTACTAGTTCGAAGTATCGCCTTGATCTGATTATTTGTCCGGAAACCAACCTGTTCGTTTTGATGCAGGTCTTGCGGTCATTACAGTTATGCTCGTGACGACATGCCTGATGGCTTTGGTCATTCTGGTAGTGTGGAGACGAAATATAATTGAGGCTCTAGGATTCCTCGTGATTTTTGGAGTTATTGAATTGTTTTACATCTCTGCCTGTATCATGAAAGTTCCTCAAGGGGGATGGGTTCCGTTGGTATTGACAGTCGTCTTCATGAGCATCATGTACATCTGGAACTACGGGACGATAAAAAAATACGAGTACGACTTGCAGAATAAAGTCAATATGGAAACGCTACTGAAAATCGGGGGAAATCTGGGACTTGTTCGTGTTCCGGGTGTGGGTTTGGTCTACACAAAGCTTGTAACAGCCGTTCCACCCATTTTCTCTCATTTTTTCACCAACTTACCGGCTCTTCATGATGTCCTGGTACTGGTCTCCATTAAATCTGTGCAAGTGCCTTACATTCCCTCGAACGAGCGGTGTCTTGTAGGACGAATTGGTCCAAAGAGATTGCGTATGTACAGGTGGGTCTTTCACTGCACAATGTTTTCATCTGTGTTGCCAAGGATGTTTTGAAATTTGACCAGAGTATCGGCCTAGAAAGTTCTTGTGAGCCTTGGGTTTAAACTCTCGGTTCCCTTTGACAGGTGTGTCGTCCGTTATGGATATAAAGATATACATAAAGATGACCACAAGTTTGAGGACAAACTTCTTCAGAGTTTAGGTGAATACATTTTGATGGAGGACGACGCCGAGGAGGAGGGAAACGGCTTCGACGATGGAGCCGATGGGAAGATGCATCTTCCAGGAATTCAATCATCCAGTTTGGTGCATGCTGTAAACAATGACGGTGCTTCTAAAGAGAGATTTGGGAAAGGAAAAGAGTCTTCTGGAAACTCTAAGGTACAACTTTCTATGCTTTCCTTGACACCATCGTGCAGATGGTTGGAGAGTACAGTTCTCTGTTCGCCGAAATTCTTTTGGCTGTCTCTAGTTCCACGCCAGAAAAGTATCTATTATTGATCTCGAACTCTCCTGCAAATCGTCTTTAATATTGTGATGGCATTCGCTAGTTGAGAATTCAAGTTTACTTTACAAATCATGAGGTTGAATTAGGATCCAATCATCTGTATTGGCTTGTGAAGGTTAGTAGCAGTGAGAATCCCTCGCGGACAAATGGCAAGAAGCGCGTTCGCTTTGAGACCCCGGCGCGCAAAGAACTAAATCCAGCCGTTCGTCAGGAATATGAAAAGCTCAAAGAAGCCAGGGAGAAGGGTGTGGTGTATATTTTGGGTCATTCCCACGTACAGGCATCAAGTGCATCGTCAATGATAAAGAAGTTTTCCATAAACATCGTCTACACCTTCTTGAGACGGATATGCAGAGGACCTGGGGTTGTATTACACATACCTCAAGAGAACTCCATCCAAATTGGCGTGGTCTACAGAGTATAGCGGGGTGTCTCCTTGTACTTCTAACTCGCATCAACCGTTTGCATGTTTATGACCTTGTAGATCCAAATTTGGCTTCTATGTGAAAGAAAATGAGGCTGGTAATGAAATTCCAAAGATTCTAGCACGAATCTGAGAAACTAGGAAACGTTGCATCCACTGCAAATGAGATTACTCGCTGTTTTTGTGTACTTGAAAGTCAAGCGAGTGTATATTAACATAATTATAGGATTCCCTTTTTGTACAAACCACAGATTTAGTGAAAGCTATAAGTATAATTGTTTTGCAGATACCGATGCAAGAAAATATGTTTGGTAGAGGGATATAATTTCGATGGGATTGAAAGGAAGTAAATGAGTGCTCACTGTGACGTAGTCTTGGTTCTTGACGATGCAAATAGCAAGTACCGTTACGATACTTTGATAGTCATTGGTTTTGATCGTGCGCGGAATTGTCAGCGTTTTCTTTTCTATAAATCAAATCTACGCGTAAGACCATGTCTTTATACTCATTTACTTTCTGTTATTTTTTGACTGTCCTGGCCTTGGCAATCCTGAGAAATTTTTTGAGGGCATGCAGTCGTGAATCGATGTCTGTAACTTCCTGCTCTTCATCAAAATCTCTCTCAATCATAACATCAAACCTCCCAGCTGCAACCCACACTCATGTGTTACAATCTTACAGTGACAGGTTGACTGTCTTATCATGGACTCGAATGGTAATTTACCCCAAGACCATGATGCATGTCTGATGCATACTGTATTTCTGCACGATAAATGAGTACTAGATGGATTGGATGATGCGAAGCAATCAAAAGTATGGAACTAGATTTGTCGGTCACCGGCGTACATTCACAGAAACTAACCTGATTTATCAATGGGCGATGAATCACCGTTGAAATCCTTCAAGCTACCACTCATGCCACGGGATTCTGTGTCGCTAATATTGTAACCTTCCATTTTTGCATATCTTCACTCATAATCCAACCAGTTAAAATGAGCGGCATGTGCACAGTTACTTGTGAAATATAGGTTGATGCATGTGAGAAAAGAGTCAAATCGACAGGAAAACTTGGTGGAATATTACATAATGATATCAATCGATAAGACATACTTGTGTAGTTTAGCTTTCACGTCTCTCAACAGAGTTCCAGGAGAGCTTGCCCTTGAACCAAGCCTTGATCCGACTTGGTGCTCCGCTACCTGCAGGCAGTCATGACTGATATTTAAGCGTTGAGAAACCAGAAATGAGCGACCTCAGAAGCTCATTTAACAGAGATTATATCAACTACCAACGATGGACACTGGTTTCATTGTATACATTACGGAGATGGACTATTTGCAATAAATTGGCACACGCATTGAATTTCCAACTCTGCGCTGATGTGCAGTCATGCAAGTCTATTACGGTTGTCCATTCTCTGGTATAGGGTTTAAATCATGCAAGGGCTTTCATTTCTTACCGGCTCGGAACGTTCATCATCAGTAGTGAAGCAAAGTGGAGTTGCTGTTGAACCAGTCTCTTTGTTGCTCAGAGCTCCTCGCAATGACTGAATTCTGATATCCTTATTCCTGCACAAGCTCCATGTGGGTGACCAACATAGCCACTGAAAATGGACGGTAATCAAGCATGCATTGAACTTGGAATGCAATTTACCAAGCTGGCGACGGACTAACGTTCTCTTGTGCATTACGTTGGCTTTCCCTTGATGCCTTGCTCCTCCCAGACTTTGAGGTTGTCTGTGTTTCACTCATCCATTGTACCAAATCAGAAAATTGTGTTACATGAATCAAAAGTGTGGGTAGAAGATTCAGAGAAAGGATGAATTACCTCAGCAGGAGATGCAGTACGTGTCCTGTTGGAGGTACTCAGTATTTCGACCTCATGACGGGATAGCTTTGTCACAACTGGACGCGTTCTCCCAGCACTTCTAGAAATCTCTCTGCTCATACGCGAATCAATTCCTTGTTTAATAAGAACGAAGCTACTTGAACTTTGTTGTAAAATAAAGGAATAATTTTGAGCGCCACAAAATTTTCTAGGCTTACAAGCCAAGTTGTGTGTATCACCAACTTCTGGATATGAAATCTCTACTCTCTTACCTGAAACCACCAAACAAATACAAGATCGGATAACTGAAGCGATTGAATGGCATTTGAATTCAAGAGAAACTCACCTGGCATATGGATCATCAGGTCTTGATAATGAAGGCCGCGAAGATACTGCACGAATTGACCCCTGTTTTCCAGGAGAACGTCCTCTAATAAGACTGACGACCCCTTCACGAGACTGGTTGCGCAAGTTTCTGAATGAGGGGCAAGAGGATGGTCGGGAACCTGAAATTTAGCAACTCATTCTGAGGAGGTAAGTCTGAAGTCAATGACCAACACACCTTTATACTCTTCTCAACGATTCAAATGTAAGGTCAGCGATGACTCATTTTCAAAACACGTCAGTTATGTTGAAACCAAATAAATTTGAATAAGACAATTATGCCACTGACCAGATGGAGTTCTCCCTCGTGTTGCTGTTTGTGTGTTTGAACGAGTGAACATTGGAGATGGCCTTCGAAGCCCGTTTGGAATTCCACCTCCCGTTCTCGTCGAAGGGCCCACTGAAGAAGTTTCCCTGTTCACTAACACAAACTATGAAAACTTTCTATCTTCATGCCACAGGTAAGTAATCACACTGCATGTCATGTGATGAATTAATTTTCGTCTTAAAGTGAATCATCATAGATGTACCTGGGCCTGGTTCGAGAGGGGGGCAGATCTCTGGAGCCTTGTATTTTCAACCTGCGTAGAAGCCATCTGAGTTACTATAATATGATCGATTCCTTATCGCCTAGTGCTGATCTGAGAGAAGTCACGTTACACATTTATTGTGGAGCAAGCAGCTTGTGCTGAGTGTCTTGATAGATGCAAAGTAGGCTCATGTTGGAGAAGACTTACCTCCTTTTCAAAATGTCAAGTTCACCTTCAGACTCTCGTAACTTCACTCTCAACCTTCTCTCTACATCTCGCAGAGTGCTTACCTGGGTAACCCACATTCCGGAGGTGCACTCAGCATACCCTTTTCCTCTTGTCATTGGGTTGATACAATTATGAAAATACAAATTCCCACGCAACCAATTCAGAAACAAACATGTACTCCGCACGATATTCCATTTCGCGGATTTAAAAAGTTGATAGCTGGAGCATCTATTAGACACTACCTGTTCAGTAAGGGTGGTATTATCTCTCGCTAACCGAGCTACAGCTTTCCGATGGACGTTGCGCTCGCTTCGTAAATCTTCCTACAGCTCCACAGAAGAGTCACATGACACATAGTAATTGAAAAAATCATGTCTAAAGACATGAGTAGCAAGAATGACATCCCAACATCGGCAACTCATACCCAGAAAAAACATTACGATATCTTCAAACAATTCTAGATCTACATGTATATGTAGAGCATTGTAAAAATTCATACCCTCGCACATCAACAATAGTGATGGCGCACTACCTAAATATCTTCACAGCTCGCGAAAAGCAACTGACCTGGACCGTCTTGTAGCTAAGCATCTTCAAATAGCGGCCAGAATTTCAAGCATGGAAGCACAGAGAAACAACTGACCTGTAAAAAGCACAAACACAACATGACCATGTGCATAATTCAAGTGTTGGCACCCCTTTTCGTGTAATTTAGAATACTGAAGCAGTAAAGCTTAACGCCTTCATTTAAGAATACCAAGAGATTGCCAGGTTGTGTTGTTTGCTGACCTGTAGTCGATCCAATTTTCCGCGCAACACTCGTGTTTCCTGCTTCAAATCTCTCTGCAGGTGATACTTCATCTCTGAGTACGTCGTGCTAGATTCAGCATAGAAATTACACCAAAATGATTGTAATATTAGCAAACCATGCATCTTAATGTTGCAAGTAAACTAGCTTTTGACTTTTCCCTATTTCTCCTCTTGACAGTTACGCGTGTGCGAATTTCTTCTTAAAGGTGAGAAGAAGCCAACCAACCTTGGCCTCTATTCTGGAGAAAAGAATATCACATTTTTTTTGAGTGAGTGCAAGTTCTTTCTGAAGCTTCTTCCGCTGCTCATCATCCTCTCTGCTCCGTAGACAATAAGGTTATTGACAAATTCGAGATCCTTGACCCATGAGGTAGAAGCAAGGATACGAAATCCTGAGCAAGCTAGTCAAGACAGGCTCTCGCAATAAGCAGAACGATGGATCCAGTATGCCGAGTTTAGGAAAGTCCGGCAATCGAAATATGGCAACACATCATGTGCATCCTCAATGCATCAACAGCATTGTGATAGTTTCGATTGCTTTTCTACTTTATGTAGGTGAGAAATACTAGTTTCTTGCTACTCCCGATGAAAGCAGACATCATCCTCAGCAAAGATTAAATGTTCCACCAGTGTACCTTCGGTCAATTTGTGTGCCATAGCCAAACATCCTGTAGGAGTCCTCCATGCAAGTGAGCTGTTACCCCAAAAACAACTCCAGGGACATCGTTAGATTTCAAGACTACCAAACTACTGCTTTCGCTTTTAAGAATACGACAATAAAGAGGAGCAGAGTTAGAGACTCGCCTGAGAAGTGAGTACAGAATTTTCCTCTCTAAGCTTTCGAAGCTCAGCACTATCAGAATTTGTGCGAACCGGTTCATCGTCATCAAGTAGTCCATGACGATTCTGGTCCATCCTCTTTTGTAGCTGGGCCTTAACGTCCTCTAATTCATCCCGCAGACGACGAATGGTTCGTTTTAGTGCTTCTGGTTCGGGATTAACTTCATGCAACAAAGGTAGGGGGTAATGAACCCTGTATACAAAGGTAATTCCTCCGTCAAAGTCAACACATTGAATGGATCTTTTATGATCAAATTGACATAATACAAAGGTATAGAAGGTGGAAATGAAGGATACCGATCAAACTCTCCAGTGTAGGTAAGTATGAGATATCGCTTATTATTTGATACACTGCGAAGCGCCTGAGATCCCATATCTCGCATCTTTCTACTGCATGGTCCCACAAGGCTAATACGTCAGCTTAACTACACCGAACTGAACATGAATAAGTGGTCGGATTCTAATTCAAAGGAATGCATGGAAAAATTAGACCAGACTAATCAAACCAATTAATACTGATTAAAATAATGAAAAAATAACCCGCTCAGAACAGTACAAGCATTCTGAAAATGTTGATACGCGATGTCTTTAAGGCTAGAAGGAGAGAGTAGATGTAGTGCTCTATACGTTACTCCTCACAGTGTCAACCTTTGAATCAATTTGCGGGTGTAGGCTAAAAGTCTCACCTGTTTTTCAGCATTTCAAAGTCCTGGTAAGTCAAAAGGTCCACGAACACGGAGTCTGATTCCTGAAGTATAGCCGATCGAAGCATCTTTACGAACACAGAAAACTTCTTCAAATTTCCAGTTTTATGAGTAATTTCTTCTATGTCTGTACATACACGCATACATAAATACATAAATATATGCATACAACCGGTCAGTGATGGCCATCCTACTGTTCTCAGATTGAGTAGCTTGAGTTTTAAAATCGAGTGATAACAATTAATGAAAATGCCTTTTAAGATTCAATCAAAACAAGATGCTGCAACTTCTGCAGGTAACACGTTGCGTGCATCAAAACATTCTGAAAAGGTTTTTCTAGAGCAATTCGATTCTGAATAATTAGAGCATCTAATTTTGTTTACAAAATTCTAAGATTGCTTCCCCAATCATCCCATGCTGCATGAGATGTTTGCAGTAATAAAGCCACTTCAGCAATCGAGAAATACTGGAAGTTATCACGTTTATACATGTAAATGTACTACAGAACATAGACACATAAATCTTGGAAAGATTGGGTCGAGAACTGACATCTTGCCGTAAAGTCCCCACGCCACCGAGATCCATCAGTTTTATGCTCCGCCTCGACACACAGGGTATCACCCGGGGCCAGTGACACTGTAAGCAAGTACTGCACATTTTGAAATACAAGCTCTACCACCTGCTCAAACTCCGACGTATTACTCCGGTTGCTCATTTTCCAACAACAAGGTCGGTCGATTACGGACACATTATGCATACGCTCCTATGTCAATCCCTCCTCTCCTCGCCTTTCCATAAGTATCATACCGTATTTCAACTCAATGATCACCAACTCTCTGGCAACTTAGCTGATGTGCTTGCGATTCTTCACCCAGTGTTGATGATCCCGATTGATCAGTCTTCAGCAATGCTAAGAGTTGTCCTCGTCCACAAAGCAACAAAGAAGATTGAACTAGTCTCTCCACTTATTTGATTTCCATGTCAACGCTGAGCTACGAGATGAATGAATCTCCTCGACCACAAAATTGAACACACAATCAACAAAAAAGCCCACTCCTACATAGCACAACTACTTCGCGAAAGGGCTGAAGCTGAAGCTGAGAAAAATGCTTGAATGGTTAAGAATATTGGGATATAACAGGGAGATTGACAATTGCAGCAATAAGCTTTACTATGGCATCCAGTGCAACTCAACAAATGGCTTCAAGAAGAAAAATCCATCTCAGCAGTGGCAAGAAACTGGAACTGGGGCAGTAGAGTTCCATTCACACTGCCACAAGCCTCAGGTTTCATGCCATCACAAGTTTCACTTGCAGACTCCTGGAATCAGTGGATTCTAGCTTAACCCGAAATTTTACCTAGTGTTTTTACGAGTAAGAAACTTACAATTGATAGCCAGAAACCATGTAAAATAGTTTGAACCCATGAAACAAAATAATATGATCTATACAAGCGACCCACAGCTGTTCACGTTGGATAAAGCAGCAAAAATCAGACCTTGCGGATCATAAGTTCGGCACAAAATCCCAAACTGGAAATGTATACATCCACGTGGGTTACAAAAATTGGACCACAACTGTCGAGAGACAATTCAACAGTGTCAAGATCGGGCGGCATTGCAAATTCGTGGAGATGGCGGCCACAATACCCGCTCTTCACTCTTCCACTTGCTTGGAAGCTGATGCAAGGTTGTCCTCAGAAAAACCTGTCACATTCTCTATCGGTAGAGTTCCATCTTCACCTTAAAAGAATCTTAAGACCCATTCATCGGAATCACTAATGCTCGGCTCCAGCGTAGATTAGGGCTAGGGTTTAAGAGAACGATTATCCACCTGCATAGGCTCTGCGAGTGTGTGTGTGTGTTGATCCGGTTGCGCTGCGATGGACAACTGCACTTAGTCATTGCAGAGGCAGTTGCGATCACCGTTCACTGGGTTAAATGTATCGCACACCTTCACTTGCAAGGCTGCAGGTGTTCGATCTCGTAGAACCACCGACACTTCACACTTACGAAACCGTCCTTGCAACTGATGCTTAGGAACGTTCGAATAAGATGCCGATTGTCGACGATTCAGGGACGGTCTACGTGGCTATTGTGTCAGTGATGATGGCAATGTTCGATACCTACACTACGTGTAATGTTCAGCACTGTAATTTGCAACTTTATTGATGTTAATGTGAAACATGATGATGGTGATAAGCATTACTATTTTGAAATTTAATTTAAGTGTTTCATTTATAACTTGGAAAAGAAAATTTATATAATAACTAGTTGAACCCATGACATTGTCAGGGAAAGTGTGCAAAGAATTAATTAATGTGATATCCTCTTTTGAGATAGAAGTGAATCATGTGTGGTTAGGGCCTTGTGAATATGTAAACTTAGTTCTATTAAGACCTTGTGAATTGCTGCATAATTCAACTTTTCGCTTCACTTTTGATGAAAATAATGAAACATCCGGCCAGTTTTTGTCTCCTCTAGTATATCCGGTTGATTTATCTCACTGAGTTGTTTTATGTAAGAGATTTTTTAGTGTCATGTAAGAACTATCAGTTTGATGGTGTAATAAGATGGGCACATTTTGCTAGCACTTCAAAACAGAAAATGTTTTCTTTGTTTTAATAAATATTCAAGTAATGTCAAACACTTCATTGAATGATTACTCAAATATTAAATATTAACTATTGAAAGAATTTTTAGTACATTTTTTCTTCACAAATTATATACAATTTATGATTGAGCAATACATAACAGTATGTCATATTTTGGGCATGAATGTTTTGGTACCCTTCTTGATTATTTTTGCATTTATTGGAGGTTTTTATTGGTTGTTTGAGAGTGGATGATTAAAAAAAAAAAAAAAAAAAAAAAAAAAAACTAGTGGTTACAAAATATTTTATATTCTTAAATAAACCAATGAATAACTTTAGGGGATACCAAAATTATAGGTAATAATATACCAATTTATAATATAAATAAATATATTAATAATAAATATAAATAATATATAAACATATAAATATATAAATAATATAATATATAATATATAATAAGAAAAAAATAATATAATATAATAATAAAAAAACAAAAATAATCTAATAATATATTTGGTTTGCTAACCAAACTATTGAGATCATTAAATATAGCCTGCGCTCTCCATAATATTTACTGTAGACTACAATAATTACTGTAGCTACAATATTTAGAGTCTAGTGGAGAAGTACTGTTTATCCTCTCCTCTTTTCTCTTCTTGTATACGAGATACAACCAGATCAATAGAATTGTGTGTGTGAAGCTCTCTCTCCTTAGAAACCCTCTTGTGTGTATGACTTACTACTACTCTTATGTGTGTGTATGACTTACTATTACTCTCGTGTGTGTGTATGACTTACTACTACTCTTGTGTATGTGTATGACTTACTACTACTCTTGTGTGTGTGTATGACTTATTACTACTCTTGTATGTGTGTATGACTTACTACTACTCTTGTGTGTGTGTATGACTTATTACTACTCTTGTATGTGTGTATGACTTACTACTACTCTTGTGTGTGTGTATGACTTACTATTACTCTTGTGTCTTTCTAAACATTCTCAACACGTTATCAGCACGATTCTCTTCTACATATTATCACAATTTTTTGCTCTAGTCTTTGACTATTCAAACTTATTGCTACTCTTGCTCAGTGTCTGCTTCATGATTTTGTTCTTCTTGTTGGCCCCTCACACATTAGCTGCTTGCTTAGAGCACTTGTTCCACTCTTTGCCTTGCTTGCTCTGAATACTTGATCTAGCCCAACTCCACCCTCTGCTTGCTCCTTGCTCCCTGTTGCGCCTCGCGCCTGCCATCAAACTGTCGCCGAATTTGTCGCTGCCATCGCCGCCCTTATACCGCTGCCGTCGCTGTTGCCCGCCACTGCCGCCCACCGCTGCCCGCCGCCACCCGCCGCTGTTGTCTGCCGCTGCCATCCTGCCGCCCTACCGCTGCCTGCTGCCGCCATCTTATTGCTGTTCTACTGCCTTAATCTACAACTCTCTCTTTAAATATATATATATATATATATATATATATATATATGTTTGTTTATTTCAAGTTCAAGTTTATCATTTTATTTGACTTAATATTTTAAGGTACGTTTTACTCAACTTTTCTACTTGATCTTGTATTTTCTTTATAGATTTATTTATAATGAGTGCTTCAACATCTTCAACTGCTTCTACTATGGTTCCAATTATTACCAGTGCATCTCAACATTTTTAAGCTCTTTTATTTCTATCATTGACTGTAGATGGAAACAATTATCTATTATGGGCATAAATGGCAAAAGCAAATTTATTTGCAAAATAACTCTCGGATGTCATTATGTATGAAGAATCTCCTACAACAAGTATTTCTATATCTCTTTCTATTCGTTGGAAAGCACTTCTTCTCCTTCGTCGTCATCTTATACCTGCATTACAACATCAATATTTGGAAATGAAAGATCCTGCAGAACTTTGGAAGAATCTTAAATCTAGGTTTAATCATCAAAAGACCATTTTTCTTCGACATGCACGTCATAATTGGACACATTTACGTGTCTTGGATTTTTCAAATTTAAATGCTTTCAATAGTGAAATGTATAGTATTTTCTCACAATTACGATTATATAGACAAAGCATTTCTGAAGAAGAAATGATTGAGAAAACTCTCTCTATATTTCCTCTTGTATTTGCTATGCTTGCACAACAATACAGGAACATGAAATGTCAGAGTCATTCTGATCTCATGTCCTATCTACTTCTTGCAAAGAAGCAAAATGAGCTACTCTTGAGCAATGGGGAAGCTCGTCCTATTGGAACTACAGTTCCAAAATCTCATGCACTTAATATTTCAAAGTCTAAGAAGAAATTATATAAACATGGGAAACATGCTCATAAGTATCAAGGTAGTCATAGTCAAGACCATTTCTACCCATATATTAAGAATAAATGTTCTACTATTAATTATAGTAGAAAACAAAAATCAAAGATGCGTTCTTGCCATAAGTGTGGAATGATTGGACATTTAGCATATGCGTGCCATACTTTAGAATATTTTATTAAAATATTCCAAGAAAATAAGAATTACAAGGTGAGGCTCGTGAAGTTCATACCATGGATGTGTCCATGGATTCAATTGGTGTTGATGACTTAGAGGCTTATATGAATGATAGAACCTCTAATGATGAATCAAATGATGCTCTCATTTATTCTGCAACAACACATTCTATCTTGCGAGATAGACGATTTTTTATTGAAAAATCTTCAACTTGACAAACTAAAAGTATGATGACCATGGCTGGAGCAAATGCGTTTTGTTTCCAAGAGGGCACAACGATGGTAAAATTACCTATGGGTTCCATCATAAAATATAAACATGCGATGTTTGCACCTTCAGCACCTCGGAGTCTGATCAGCTACCGAAACGTGCGTATTAATGGTTATCACCTCTCGACCACCACTTTAAATAGAAAAGAGATTTTGGTTCTTGCAAAGAATCATAAAGTTGTTGAAAAAGCTTTTGCTATAGAAAATGGTTTATACCAAATTGTAATTCGGCCTTCCATTATATTTAATTTTGCATCATCTATCTCAGAGAGTCGTGTTTCTCTCTGGTATGGACGATTGGGACATCCAGAATCCACATTATTTAGAAAGATCATTCCATGTATAATTGGACACAATTTAAAGCTTATAGATGTAGACTTTATGGAATTATGTCGTGCATGCGTGCAAGGTAAAATGATTATTCGGCCTTCAATTTGGAAAGTTCCATAAGAATTACCACCAATGCTTGAATGATTGCATGGTGATATTTGTGGTCCTATTAATCCAATATCAGGACCATTTCGTTATTTTTTGGTCCTTGTTGATCCATCAGGTAAACAATCACATGTTTCATTATTATCAATTCGAAACATGGTGTTTGCCAATCTTATATCTATGCTTATTTGCTTTCGGGCACATTTTCTTGATTATCCTATAAAAACATTGCGTATGGATAATGCAAAAGAATTTGCATCAAAGTCTTTTGAAGACTATTATACTGCAATAGGAATCGAGTTGACATATTGTGTTCCATATGAACATGCTCAAAATGGACTTGCAGAGTCATTTATAAAGCGTATACAACTCATTACCTGGCTACTCTTCTTTCACGCAAATCTACCTGCATCTATGGGGGTCATGCAGTTTTACATGCTGCAGCATTAATATGCCTCCGCCTTTCTTCTCTTGAAATTGTTTCACGATATGAGCTCATTTCGGGTCGTGTTCCAAATGTATCTCACTTACGAATATTTGGTTGCCGTGCTTGGATTCCAGTATCAGAACCTTAATGGCATACCATTGGACCTCATCGACAAGAAGGCATATATGTTGGTTTTGATTTACCAAGCATTATTCGTATTGTTGATCTATTAACTGGCACATTATTACGTGCACGTTTGTAAAATTGCTGTTTTCAAGAAAATGTATTTCCATCTCTTTGAGGAGGAGTATCCAATCAACAAAGAAATAAAGTACTCATATTTAAAGCACCAGAAACATTTACAATGAATCTCGATCCTAGAACATCTTTGGCAGAAACTGAAGTTGCTAAGATTTTGTATTTAAAACGGATCGCGGATGAAACATTTGATGGCTTCAATGATACACCTAAAATTACAAAAGTTCCTATTAATGAGGCTCAAAATGCACCTGCTCAGATTCCAGTGCCATTGACTACAATACCTCAAGTTATAACAACAACAACTAAAAGAATTCGTGGACCACATAAGCAACCACGTAAGAAGAAAGCTATAAAATTAATTAATTCTGGTATTATTTCTCAAGAAATTGCCACTCATCTTGCAGGACTACCAATTCATGATGATATATCCATGCATAATGTACCTTCAATTCCTATGAAAAACAATCTTGGAATTGGAAGGAATAAGAACAAGTTGACTAAAGAATTATCTATTATGTATTATGCTACAAATGATATTTGGGACAGACCATCTATTACGATAGATGAATCATTTGCATATATGATTATAGAAGCCATTTCTTGCAAGGAAGATGATCCTGAACCTCAAACCATCGAAGAGGTGATGCATCGCTCAGATTGGTCAAAATAGAAAACTGCTATTGAAGATGAACATTCCTCTTTGCGTAAGAGGAAAGTCTTTGGTCCAATTGTAGACACTCTTACATCTTGTCCTGTGAGATATAAAATAGTATTAGTACACAAGTGAGATGCTTAAGGCCAAATAATCTGCTATAAAGCTCGTCTTGTTGCTCAAGGATTTACTCAACATTTTGGCATTGATTATGAATCCACATATTCTCCAATCATGGATTCAATTACATTTCGATATATTATTGGAATGACAGTTTATGCCACCCTTGAGATGCATCTGATGGATGTAGTAACTGCATATCTATATGGTTCTCTTGATGCAAATATTTATATGAAAGTTCCACTTGGCTTAGAAATAAGAACTCCAAATCAACCCACTCTAGGAAAATATCATGGTATTAAATTATGTAAGGCCTTGTATGGTTTAAAGCAATTTGGACGAATGTGGTATCAACATCTTCGAGATTATTTAATTACAAATAATTTTATAAGTGATCCACTAATCCCTTGTTTGTTTATCAAACGGGATAAAATTGGTTTTGTGATCATCGTTGTATATGTTGATGATCTTAACCTAGTGGGCACTACATCTGCATGTGTTACAGCTACAAACCTATTTATACGTGAATTTGAGATGAAAATCGTAGGAAAAATAACTTTCTGCATTGATCTTCAGATTATGCATCTTACACATGGTAGCATTTTTTTTTGCCAACTAACGTATATTAGACGAATCTTGCAAAGATTTAATATGATTGATGCTTATCCATTGTCCACACCAATGGTTGGACGTGGTCGTGATGGTCATGATCCATACCGTCCATGCGAGGAGGAGGATGAAATATTGGGAGACCAATATCCATACCTCACAACGGTTGGAGCACTTTTGTATTTAGCTACATCTACAAGACCTGATATTACATTTGCAGTTAGTGTTCTTGCAGGACATAGTGCACATCCAATACTACGACATTGGAATGTCATCAAACATTTATTACGTTATTTAAAAGGTACTGAAGACTTGGGATAATATTATACAAAATCTGCAGATCCAAAATTGGTTGGATATTGTGATGCAGGATATAAATCTGATATTGCAACAACTAAATCTCAAACAAGATATGTATTTTTAAGATATGGAGCTACAATATCATGGAAATCAGTGAAACAAAAAATAACTGCAACAACTCATCCAACCATGCAAAAATTATTGCCTTACATGAAGCATCTCGAGAATGTATTTGGTTGCAATCAATTGATAAATTCATTCAAACAACCTGTGGATTTTCATATGATGATTCTCCAACTATCTTGCATGAAGATAATAGTGCTTGTATTGCACAGATGCAAGTTGGTTTCATTAAAGGCAACAGGACAAAGCATATTGATCCAAAGTATTTTAGTTATACTCATGACTTGATTATTGATCAAGCACTTATAATTAAGAAAATTGAATCTACAAATAACCTTATTGATCTCTTCACCAAAGCTCTCCCATTAAGCAACCATTGTCGACTTACTTATGGCATTGGTATGCGGCGACTTGCTTTTCTTGAATATGAAAGTTAATGAGCTCTTGAAATAATTAAAGAAAATGATGTTGTACTCTTTTTCATTTATCTATGGTTTTGTCCTTAAATAAAATAAAGTTTTCCTAGATAAGGTTTTAATGAGGCAACAATTTTTGATCTTGCAAGATCACAGAAAAGTATAGATCATAATTCTATACAAATTTTATATTATGTAAATATTATGATGAGTGAGGAGGAGTGTTGAGATCATTAAATATAGCCAGCGCTCTCCATAATATTTACTGTAGACTATAGTAATTACCATAGCTACAATATTTAGAGTCTAGTGGAGAAGTACTGTTTATTCTCTACTCTTTTCTCTTCTTGTATACAAGACACAACTAGATCAATAGAATTGTGTGTGTGAAGCTCTCTCTCCTTAGAAACCCTCTTGTGTGTATGACTTACTATTACTCTTATGTGTGTGTATGACTTACTATTACTCTTGTGTGTGTGTATGACTTACTATTACTCTTGTGTGTGTATGACTTACTATTACTCTTGTGTCTTTCTAAACATTCTCAACACAGACTACTACATCAACTTTGAGAATCTGTAAAAAGGCTTGGTGTGTTAACTTTTTTCAAATTTATATTGAAAAGAAATAACTTTTACAGTCATCACTAAAATTTTCCCAAAATTTTTTGTAAGATATTTATTATTTTTTATAATTACATTTTTGAAATACTAAGTCATGAGTTCAAGCATTTTCATGCAATTCTCATGTCTGAATTCAAATGCTGAGATTTTCCTTTCTTCAAAAGTTAAGTGATAAGGCATCCCCCCCCCCGTTTATTTAATGTATTTACTGACTAAATTATTTGTGTATAAAAGCATACATATATTAATACATTAATACAATATCAATATACATATTATTTACCAGAAAATATATACTTAATTAACAACAAATTGTAACTCCTGATACGTACACTTAAAGCGAAACAAAAATCCTAAGTAAAATGTGGAAATAACCACTTCAAACAGCTACAGAAGCACTGACCTCTGATATGAATTATAATCCAAAGTTAGATTTTTCCTCAGAGCTAAAACATTTTACAGTGATTTGCATAAAAATGACCATCTATATCTACTTCCTGCTGGTACTAGAGCTTAGCATTTAAGAAAGAAAGGACAATAATAGTATGCTGTATAGTAGTATGTTAATGAGATTGTGATGAGAGCTACTATACATCTTGTGTAGGAAGTACAAATAGGCTTGTGCTTGTTTTTGTTTCATTGGCTCATGCTTCTATCCCCTTTTTATTCCCCCTGTAGGGGCCCATGCATTTTGTGTGCATGTTGGCCAAATGTTGATGAATCCAGTTGAATTATAGTTGAAGTCAGTGTTTCAGTCTAGGCAAGGAAACTTCCATACCACTGAAAAGGCCTGGAATTGGCCTAGAATATACTCTAGGGACCATCATGCTACTCAGATTTTTGTATAGGGACTTTAAAAATGTTGAAATGTTTGGGGTTTGTTTTAAAAAGTTGTTGATAAAAAATGAAAAAATGAAAAATAAAAAGTGAGGAATATCCCAACATAAGTCACTTTGGCATAAGTTTAAATTTATATTTGAAATGGTTACAGTTTAGGTCATAATTGGTAATTTTGAATAGTTGTTTATTCAGTTTTGAATACTGAGGGAATTTTATTTTAGGGTTTTATTTATTTTTATTTTTTATGGTTCCACAAAGATAGGGGACAAAATCATTCCCTTAGTGATCCATAAATTGGAACAGATGCATTAATGTCACCTAATTTAAGGATTGTGTAATCTCAAGTTGGTTTTAATACAAACTTGCACAGCAGAGGTTCAAACAAACCAATATTTCAACAACAAATAAATTTAAAGCTCAGGCACTAATCAAACCCACTAAAAGTTGGTATGGTCGCACTACTTGTAGAAACAAAGACCACGAGACCTACCGCCCAACATTGACGCTGGTGGTTCCACGATCCAATCACAAAACAGTATGGCCAATGGACCATACATACTATTAAAATATTAAGGCGTATATGAGATGAAGTCACTTTTTACGTTTACTTTTAAAGGAAAAAGTCAGGCAGGGGAACCCAGCGACTGGAAGGGTCAACAATCGCGTCAGTTGGAGGGGAAGGGGCACGACCGCTCGACGTGCGCCCCGTCCTCGGGGGATTTGATACCCTCTTGGTGGTCGGCGTCTGGCATTCGCTTTCGATCAGGCACTCATCGTCCTGCGGTCGGCGCCGCCGCACGCCGGTGAGAGTGGAGCCTCGTGCTGCGGAGCTCGTGTGAAGTGGGAGAGTCCCGCGACCTCGAGGACTAGTGGGATTCTCGTAGGCCGCGGTAGGAAAGTCGTTGTGATCGTTTGATCGGGGGAGTTCACGGCTGCGCATTTGGGTTTGGTCTTGTCGTTTCCCGATTTGGAGGTTTTTAATGCTTGTTTGGACGGAGATAGAGGCGGGCGGGCGTGAGAACGGTGTTGGGTCGTTGCTGCGTCGGGCTGACGTAATGTCATGAATGCGAAGGCGTGCAGGTGGACGAGGGGATAGTGGGTTCGACATTGCCGTCGCCTACGTGCGCAACTGAGCTTTGTGAAGGGGCTCTTGAGGAAATTTTTTGAGGGTAGGAGTGGTACGTGAGTGGGGACTGTGAGAGTGTGTGGGGGGGAGAGGCGATTAATGCGGGTGTAGGGTTAAGCGTGACGGGGTGGGGAGATTTAGTGTGTGTGTGGTGATGGAGTCGAGTTTGAGGATGACGGGGATGAGGTGTGGCGGTGCAATGGCAAGGGTTTGAGTTGCGTCGAGCACAGAGGATCACGACGCAGGATCTGTGGGTTGCTGCGGTACGGACAGAATCTCGTAGAGGGGTAGCTGGTTACACGACGTCGTTTCCTAGTGCGGGTGTTTGAGAGCTTCGTGTTGTACGAAGAAGATTGGTTCACACCACCGGGTTCTCAGTGCTTCAAAATTTGGTGGTAACAGCGTAGTGTCGAAGGTGAGAGTTGATGTCAAAGAGTAATGCCTTTTGGGATACGGTGGTGATCTTTCAGATGACGCAGCTGTGATTAAAGCTGGATTCTTTTTCGTCTTCACTAGTTATGTCTATTTACAACCTTGATCCCTGGAATTGAGAACATTGTGTGTTGAAATGGTATTTGCGTGAGAACCACGTACTTTAAGACAAAATTTTCTGAATTGGTTCTGCCCAGTTTTGTCAGGGTATCTGACGTAAAAGGTGCATTCTTTTTGCGGCCTTATGTTGATCCATTCGGCGTGCATTGTGTTTTCTGTACAGGTCGCTGAAGTGTGATGATGAAAGCTGTTTCTGGGTTTTTCTGGTCTGGACACTATTCATTTTAAATTCAAACATGAGTTTTCAAATCATGGAAAGAAAAATTGAAATCCCGGAGTTAAGTGAACACGATGATGATGAAACGTTGGAGGACGCCGACCCTGCAGTGCTAACATTGTCTTCTAGTGAGGCTTCGGAGAATTGGGAAAAGATAAGTGAAGATTGGGTTTCTCTGTTCCTAAACCCCGCCGTATTAGACGAGCATGCAAGACCTCTTCCTTCCGATCTTGAGAATTACTCGCAATTCGATTGTACTTCAAAAGAACCGAAGGATCATTTTTACCCTCAAGAGCTAGTGTCAGATTCTTTGTTACTCCACTCCACTGACGATCAATTGTCTTCCGATCTGGGGCTTGGAACCTCCACAAACGTCGTGGAAGATATCTTTGGGAAAGAGGATCCTTCCATCGGCGTTTCAGGACAACCAGATTTGATACATCCGAAAGGAGAGCCCCTTGGACACCATGATGCAGCAGAGACACATTTTCCTATCGCTCCCCACTCACATGTAACACAGGTAGCATACGCATCCACCCGTACGGAGGTGTATGTTTCAACATCTCCCGCGAGCAGCTTGACCCAGGTGAGTGGAGATTCAAGCTCAGGAATGGAGGTTGATTTATGGAAGGACAAAGAAACCGTCCCAGACTCGTCGATTACTCTTAAACGAGAATTAACTGAAGAGGTCTCATCTCATTCGGAGAGCCCAACGTCTCTGTCAAGTGTCACTGAAAGGGAAGGCGGGGCATCTGAAATGAAGGAGAAAAATCCTCAGAGTGATGAGCGAGGAGTAGGTTCTCGAGATGTGTCAGGCACAGGCTCCGCAGCTGGGGTGGCAACTCCTTCGGCTGCAGCGCAGTTGGCAACTTTCAGTGTGCGACAACTTCAGAATTTTGGTAACGTTATTAAAGTAGGTTTACTGGCAAGGCCTGGGGACAGGGGGGTAAATGTAGAGGACAGAGAAGAGTCTAACAAGCCTCTCATTCGGGAGAAATGTGAAATAGAGTCTGTCAAGATGCAAAATCAGGAGGTGTCGGAAGACCAGCAGAGCGATCAAAGTGATGCTGACAGAAAGGGGGAGGCTTGTGATGAGGATGACGAGAAACGACGTGCTCGGTTGATGCGGAATCGTGAGAGCGCTCAACTTTCTAGGCAAAGAAAAAAGGTTTATGTAGATGAGTTAGAGGGTAAACTACGAACTATGACAGCAACTGTCGCGGATCTTAATGCTACTATCAGTCATTTGACTGCAGAGAATTTAAATCTTCGGAGACAACTTGGATATTACTATCCAGCTCCAGGTTAAACCTCACCTTTTTTGTTTTCTTCCTATACGTAATTTAAGAAAGCATTTCTTTTGGTCTGTGTGCTTTACTTACCATAACATTTCGCTAAGAATTAACTAAATGGCGTTTAAGCTCTTTGTATTTTAAGCATGAAACCTAGTCTGGGTATAAAAGAATACATGTCTCGCTGTTTCACGGTTTCAAAGTTTGTATTTTACATTTTGTTACTCTTTAATGATCTTTTTGGATTTTCCAGGTGTTTGTCCACCAAGGCCGGGAATGCCAATGCAAGTGTTGCCTATGGGACCCTACCCTGGAATGGTCGCTGGCAGGCCAATGTATCTAGGTGGGCAAATGCCGCCTGTTCCAATCCCACGGATGAAAACACAGACTCCTGCCCGCAGTACAAAAAGAGCAAAGACAGGGGCGACGAACGAAGGCGGAGACAGAAAGCGGGTGAAATTAAAAGCTGCAGGTGCTGCGTCCGTAGCAGTTATGGGACTTCTCTGCGTGGCCATGTTGTTTGGCTCAGTTGACCCAGGTCTCAAAGGCTCCAGCGGAGTCAAAGATAACACGCGTGTGGGGAGCGTGCGAGTTGGGGCCCGTGTGCTTGCAAGCTGGGACGAAGCTGGTAATCCTCTGAATCACATAGGGGTTAGTTCGTGGGATAATGAACCTGGGTGGTTGCCATTACGTGAAGGAGAGTATGGTCCTGAACGAGAGGGAGTTCCAAGTATACACACACGACTAGCTTCTGAGAAACTACAATACGCGCCTGAGAAGTCGCAGATCCCAAAAACTGAACTGGAATTTTCAGCCCAACAATCAGTGCATGGAAACGAGACTCTTGGACTTTCCGCTGAGCAACGACGTCAACCACCGTCAGATTACTTCAGTTCCGGGAAAGCTCCATTACTGATGGGGAGTGAAATGGTTCCTTCCAATACAAGTCAATCGTTTGCCGCATCTGTATTTGTTCCTGGCGCCAATGGTCTTGTAAAAGTAGATGGGAATCTGATCATTCAAGCGATTATGGCCGGCGACAGAGCAGCAAAGAAGCAGTCTGAGAAAAAGAGCAAGAGTGTAGGGAAGAAGAAGGGAAAGAAGCAATCAGAAAAAACTATCTCTGAGGGTCAGGCAATGAAAGGTCTTTCCGTCAAAGTGTGGGACAATCTGGCTCCGAGTAAAGCCGAAGTTATACAGAATGCCACGACTGGACCTTTTGTAACTGCTAGACCTCTTCCAGGGAAAGTGAAGTCTGTTCTCGGAACGAACAATCCAGTTTCGCCAGTGCTTCATGGTGGAGCTTTGCAACAGTGGATGCTTGGTGGTCTTCATGGTACTAATTCTGTTTCCCTTTCGAAGATTTTCCACCTTATGCTTTGTGTCATCGATCTCGTTCTGTGGTCGCGGCTTCGTGTTTGTGTTATTCTTCGAGACTTGACTTGTGTTTCTGATCTGGATACTTGAGTAATGTTTGGTTTTGATACTCCTCTTGGGCTTTGTTAGACCCAGAGACAAGTTTTGTTGCAAGCGAACTGACCAAGATAATGTCACAATCACCTGCTGAGCAATCTGTAGATAACTTCAAAGCTGTAGCTGCCACCCAAGTAACTTTCTATAGTTTTATCCATTACGATGCGGCTTTCAGAAAGCCGTTACAGTCGGGGCTTTTTTCAAGCCTTTCCACAGGTGCAACTCAAGTTGTCGTGTGTGGAATTCATACCTGACCCAATTCCATTCTTTAGGTTCGCATTTGATGAGTTTAGATAGACGTAGTGTCTACACTATTTTAAAACTGAAGTGTGAATCCTTAATAGTGTTAGAGTCTCGGAGTGGTAGTCTATTGACTGAGACATAATCTTAATGCGCATTGTTCATGGCTGAACTTTTCTTTTTGTTCTTTTCTTTTCTTTTCCCGATATTTTGAGTACTGTTTGTCTACGAGGTATTTTTATTTCATCATGTTGTTTCAATCACTAATTTCACCTGGTTGACATATGAAGAGCCTAAAATTTGCCAAAGAAATATAAGTGACACCAAGGAGAGTATGCCTTCGCTGACGAGGAATGATAAAAGCTCTGGAGCCTCGATTCTTGTTCAAACTAACTTGCCACCTTTGACTTGTAATAAGCTCCTTCATAGAAAAGCTCATGACAAGGATACTTGCTGTGTGCCTACACTTGGTAATCTACATTGGGCAGCAGCTGCTGCGAGCACTGAAATAGCAACAGCTGAATCTCGACAATGCCTTTCTGCTGATCGTAGACTCTATAACCTTAGCGCTGCCTATTGATTTGTGAATGCCTATCTTGAGTCTTGTATTCCCCAGTAGAGGGCTCCGGATTGCTCATGATGCTTCTCAGAACATTCTTAGGTTGCAAATAATGTGGTAGGATTTCTTCGAGTCTTCTATGACTACTTGCTTATGCTTGTTTGGATTCCTGTGATATAAGATCATGTAGTGCTGGTAAGTCGTTAGGCTGTCTATCCTATGCGATCGTTTTCTATATGATTTCAATTCAAATGGTATTGGTTGGCAGTTGACATGTTTAGGCACCCTTGAATATTCGAATTTGAATCTTTCGGTCTGTACATGTGTGTCATCCAGGATATAATCACTCAGACACATTCTTTTATCTGGCAGGGCCTGTACTTAACACAGGTATGTGCACGGAGCTTTTCCAGTTTGACACAGCAGCAGCTGCTAGTTCAGCAGGGCAAGCCTCCACTTCTGAAGCCAAGAACGTGGCAGAGTCAGTTGCAGCCAAAGCTGCACAGGGTAGTCCCCACAACATTACTTCTACACTGTCAGGTCCTATCGGACCTCGTAGCCGCCGGGATCCATTCGCAGTTCCCCTCCCCCCAGTGAATTCAAAGCCTCCAGCTAAAGGCGAAGGGCCCCGCAATGGAACGGATCCAAGGGTAGAGAATTTAGTTAGAGAGCAGCTGCACGGACAGAATCTGCGCGATGGAATTTCTAGCATGGTGGTGTCAGTAATGGCAGGACCCGAGGAGTACGGAGATAGTAGGAGAAAGGGGACCAAAGGGTTGTCTCGAATTTTTGTAGTGGTTCTCGTTGACAATCAGAAGTACGTTACGTACTCGTGCATTCTTCCTTCCGGTGGCCCTCAAGCTCATGTAGTTGCGGAGTGATACGCGGATAGGGCTTCAGTGGACAGGTGATCTTTCTCTACTTTGATCTGTATTGTCTATAGTCCACTATTATAGTCAAATTCCTCTCGATAGGTGTTTGGATTTGTTCTAATCAGTCATTCTGTAGTACTAGGTTTGCAGAACTTCCTCTTTGCAGATTTATGGCAGTTCAAAAATTTACGAAGAGGGAATTCTATAGTAGAGTACGATGGGGCTCACTATCACACTACCAAAAAACTTGAACTTCACAATTGGAAGCAGTCGTTGGTCATATGGGTGGTATCTGCAGTAAATTCATGTGACGTTACTAATTGTACCTGTTTGTTTGGATAGCCAATTTCGTCTTATTTTCTTACTAATCGAGTGGATACATTTTTGCTCTGCCATTGTTTAATGAATCGAGTTTTTGAATACAGGACGGTTACATGTATACAAGCGCTCAATGTTTCCTGTTCAGAATGCTTCAACTTCAAGCTCCACGTTTGTGCATATGTACAGTAAAGGTTACTGTACCTCACTCCACATTCAGTGTCTCAGCAATCAATACATTCTTTTGAGACTTGGACAGATGACAGGCCTGGACTCCACAACAGGCTCAATAGAATTCAGAGCTAACGAGCTCGTTTTCAATCTGTAGTGGAAACCTTCTTTAGATTTGCACTAATTAGTGTAGTTCAACATAGATCTGAAGTGATTAATTTGAACCTTGTTCAAATCAAACGGGAAGCTTGGAGGCTAGCGTCACCATTTGCATGCGTACACTGCCAAGAATAGAATTCAATGCATTGTGATGGTTTTGATCGTGGAGAGTTTTTGAGTTGGAACATGTAGGGATTACCAGGGTCTTCTTGTCAGAGAATATTTTCCTTTTAACCTTTAACCCATTTCCTACCATCCAGTGTATCACAGTAAATCATATCTTTTCATGATTCGGTTTTGGAAGCAAGCTGAACCATTCTTCCGCAAGTGACTCTGAATTGAGTTTTTGATCCTGAGTAAAGTGCACTAATGAAACATACTCTGTTATATGCATCCTCTAGAATTTGAAATGTTTAGGAAACTTATTTCTATGAAAGAGTTATTTAACATATAAATTATTTTGTTATGTTTTTGTAAAAAGTTTCTTTTACTTAGATGGGACTTTAGTAGTATGCATTGTGCATTAAGATTTCAATACAATAATAAAGTAGAATCATTACACGATACTATCAATATTAAACCTTCTTGGAAATTAAATAAAACTAAATTCTATACCAAAATGAATGTTTGAAAAATCTAAAGCTTATTACACATGAAACAAATAATATAATAATATAGTATAATATCACATTCATAAAGGTAAAAAGGAATTTTTTAATTAAATATTAAAAATAATCATTTAGTATTCAAGTTTATAAAAATTATAATTAAAATTTTAAAATTAAAAAGATTAAAAAACATCTAATCTAGCTCCAAAGCTGACTCCAAAGAATTTTATTCCACACACAGAAAATAAACTAATTTCCAAAAAAACCATACTAATATGTTCATTGTGAACTTTACTATGAACATCCAATAAATTCTTCTAATTGACATTCAAGTCTAAATTGATCCTACAACTACCACACATGATATCTTTTTAGTCAGTATACAAGTCAAAATGGAAGAGTACCTATTAGCAATGAATTCATTTGATGTCACATCCGCAACAAGCCAAATTAAGTTAACACTAGAGAATCCATGCCATGAATCCCAAATATATATATATATATATATATATATGTATATATATGTCGTGATAAATAAATATATAAATGATGAACAAAATGAGAGGTCACTACAAAAGAAAAACAATGTAAACTATACCCAATGTGTGCACAAAGCAGAGGCAAACCTATATAAAACATATAAAAGTATACCTTCCATACAAAGTCATTTACACCAAGTTTAACCCTTGGGTCACTTAGCTACAACAGATTTATTCGTTAAAGGTGATCACTTGCTTTGACGAGTCCCAGGTCAGGGAAGAAAACCTGTTCAAACTGCTCACCTCATACTGCAGCCCCACAAGGTGACATGGCAATGAATTGACATGTGAATGTCACCAGTTAGACAAGTGGGACAAAAAGAGGGAACTCCGTGGTCCAGCAATGACAAACCCTCTAAAGTCCAGAGGAACGTCTACAAGTCGAACATCTGTGTCGGCTCACACATCATTCAGGTCAAGTCCGGAGGGAAAACAATACCTCAGCTATTATCCAAGTCATCCTGAATCCAGTTTAGAAAACTGGCGATGAACAGTCCACTCCTGCAACCAGACACGCAATTCAACCCCACCAAACCAATCCCACTTTTTCTCAACCGCATCCGTACAGTGAGCCTAAATTGAGCGCTTCATCATCATCCAGGTACATTATGGCAACACAACATACCTTTCACAAAACAACAACCCGCTTTATATACAATCGAGTATTTCTGTGACGGGAGAGGCATTTCACTCCCATTTTCCACCGTACAACAGTGGTTCAGTCAACTCCCTGTTCAGCAAGAAACTCCATTTATCACTCGAATGGTACACTGAACTGACTATAATGCCAACTGACGTACGCAATTCTACAATGTAATGGTGACATAAAATACTTGGGACTTGCAATAAGGCAACAAATACAGATCGTCACAAAACGATCTGCACATCTTGCACAATCGTGACGGTGATGGATTTGATACATCCTGTGCCAAGTCCGTCGGGCCTCCTATAGTGCCATCATGTCCTCGCCTACTACACTATCAGCTACTCCACTACTCGGCTGTGACAACCGTCACCCACGCCCTGCTATGCACACATTACATACACACGCCTCCAGTCATGAACCTTATTCTCAGCTTCCCCTCGCCTCCTCCCTAGCTACAGAAAGCACCCGAAAAATACTGCTCCACCGACTCCACCACGTACACGTTCGGCGCGATCGGTGAAGCTCCGCCGCCCGACACATGCAGCTGGTGCCGAACGAACGGCGCCAACCCCGCATTGATGTCCCTCGACGTGTCCACATGCCAGTCCGGCTCCAGCTGCCGCACGAAAGACGTCCTCCCCGTCTCCGTGCTGCAAAACAACACCTTCTCCCGGTTCAATTTCCCCTCCGAGAACAACCCCACCGCCTCCAGCGCCCCCATCACCAACCCCTCGCTCGCGTCGTCCACCACCCGCGCCACCAAGTACAGGTCGCACGTCCGGGCGATCTCCAGCAGCACTTCCACCACCGCCGGCCGCACCACCGCGTGCTTCTGCACCTCCTCGGGACTGCTTTCCTCCAGGATCACTCCCAGCAGCTGGCACGTCATCTTCCTGCTCCCGTTCAGCTGCCGACGCACAATCTGGGCCACGCTCAGCTCATCTGTCTCGCTCACCCTGCCCTCCGCCGGCCCCCCCCGCTGAGTCGCCTGCGTAATGGACGTCGCCACCGCCGTGGACAAAGCCCCTGGCCCGGAGTCCATGGAAGCCCCCGCAGGTGCCCGCGTTGCCGATGCCGACGCCGCGTCCGCCCCGTCCCTCTTGTCCACGCGAGGGTGCGGCCGGGCGCCCGGGATCCGCCAGCACTTCCACGTCCACCACAGCGCAATGGCTAACCCCGCCGCGGCCCCGATCGAGCTCGCATTCTTGTTCCGAAACACGAACCCCAGCAAATGAGACAGCTTCACCGTCAAGCTCGCGTTGATGCCCCGAAACAGCTGCACGAGCTCTTCCGCTATGGAATCGCCCATCCTCCCCACCCGCGCACTAATACCTCCTGGTTGCCCTTTTCTTGGCAAGCGATGCCCTGCCTCTCCCACGCGCCCCCCCTTAACCCTGATGCGCAACCCACCTCACACCTCACTCACTCGCGACCATCGTATCTGCAGGGCGCGCACGCGAGACACCACCGCGACCTCGAAACGCCTCCGCCTACAAAAACCAGGCACGCTAGTCCTGCACTCCCTCCATGTCCTCCAGCACGTGGCCCACAACCAAACCCTCCACGACCAGCCAAACCACACCAACCCACCAACCACCGATACTCACAGCGCGCGGAACATCCAACCCTTCTACCCACAACACCCACCGAAACCCTCCGGAGCCCCCGAAGCCCGGCCTTCCGTGTCGCAGCTGGTGCAATCAATTCGTGGATCGGTCAATTCCGAAACGAACAAGAACTGGAAACCCTAGACAGAGCGTCGCGTATCGTATCTAAGCCCCTGCGCGCGATGAATTGTATTCGGGTCGCGTGGCGTGGCGTGGCGTGGCCTCGGTCGCGGCAGCTGGGAAGCAGGATTGCTCGATTGCCCGATTGCCTGATGGCCCGCTTGTGCTTGCGCGTGAGATGTGGATTGAGAAGGGATTATGGTGGGTTTCAGTGACCGGGCTGGGCTGGTGGAGCACGAGGGCCGCGTTCTCTGCTCTGCCCCCCGTCCCCCTCCCGCTCCCGTTGGGAGAAGAGGCCAACAACATGTGAATGGATTAGGAGGTTTACCTTTCATTTGGCATTCTCAATTATAGTATTTTTTCTAAATTTTTCCTATATAGTCTTTTATATTTGTTTCTTTTCTATTACATAATCTAATAAAATATGATGCAATTTACTTATATATATACACATATATATATATTTGATATATGTGATACTATACCAAAATAGCATGTTAACTGTAAACATATGGAAACAAAAAACACACCTTGTACAGCAACAAGGAACTCTGAAAATTTATTTTAACATAACTTTAATACGAACTCAAATGTGGATTGATGTGCTTAAAAAAAAACACCTCTTACTCACATTTAAAGATGAGTCGTGTCACCTTATTTAATTTTATTAGATTATGTAATAGAAAAGAAACAAATATAAAAGACTATATAGGAAAAATTTAGAAAAAATACTATAATTGAGAATGCCAAATGAAAGGTAAACCTCCTAATCCATTCACATGTTGTTGGCCTCTTCTCCCAACGGGAGCGGGAGGGGGACGGGGGGCAGAGCAGAGAACGCGGCCCTCGTGCTCCACCAGCCCAGCCCGGTCACTGAAACCCACCATAATCCCTTCTCAATCCACATCTCACGCGCAAGCACAAGCGGGCCATCAGGCAATCGGGCAATCGAGCAATCCTGCTTCCCAGCTGCCGCGACCGAGGCCACGCCACGCCACGCCACGCGACCCGAATACAATTCATCGCGCGCAGGGGCTTAGATACGATACGCGACGCTCTGTCTAGGGTTTCCAGTTCTTGTTCGTTTCGGAATTGACCGATCCACGAATTGATTGCACCAGCTGCGACACGGAAGGCCGGGCTTCGGGGGCTCCGGAGGGTTTCGGTGGGTGTTGTGGGTAGAAGGGTTGGATGTTCCGCGCGCTGTGAGTATCGGTGGTTGGTGGGTTGGTGTGGTTTGGCTGGTCGTGGAGGGTTTGGTTGTGGGCCACGTGCTGGAGGACATGGAGGGAGTGCAGGACTAGCGTGCCTGGTTTTTGTAGGCGGAGGCGTTTCGAGGTCGCGGTGGTGTCTCGCGTGCGCGCCCTGCAGATACGATGGTCGCGAGTGAGTGAGGTGTGAGGTGGGTTGCGCATCAGGGTTAAGGGGGGGCGCGTGGGAGAGGCAGGGTATCGCTTGCCAAGAAAAGGGCAACCAGGAGGTATTAGTGCGCGGGTGGGGAGGATGGGCGATTCCATAGCGGAAGAGCTCGTGCAGCTGTTTCGGGGCATCAACGCGAGCTTGACGGTGAAGCTGTCTCATTTGCTGGGGTTCGTGTTTCGGAACAAGAATGCGAGCTCGATCGGGGCCGCGGCGGGGTTAGCCATTGCGCTGTGGTGGACGTGGAAGTGCTGGCGGATCCCGGGCGCCCGGCCGCACCCTCGCGTGGACAAGAGGGACGGGGCGGACGCGGCGTCGGCATCGGCAACGCGGGCACCTGCGGGGGCTTCCATGGACTCCGGGCCAGGGGCTTTGTCCACGGCGGTGGCGACGTCCATTACGCAGGCGACTCAGCGGGGGGGGCCGGCGGAGGGCAGGGTGAGCGAGACAGATGAGCTGAGCGTGGCCCAGATTGTGCGTCGGCAGCTGAACGGGAGCAGGAAGATGACGTGCCAGCTGCTGGGAGTGATCCTGGAGGAAAGCAGTCCCGAGGAGGTGCAGAAGCACGCGGTGGTGCGGCCGGCGGTGGTGGAAGTGCTGCTGGAGATCGCCCGGACGTGCGACCTGTACTTGGTGGCGCGGGTGGTGGACGACGCGAGCGAGGGGTTGGTGATGGGGGCGCTGGAGGCGGTGGGGTTGTTCTCGGAGGGGAAATTGAACCGGGAGAAGGTGTTGTTTTGCAGCACGGAGACGGGGAGGACGTCTTTCGTGCGGCAGCTGGAGCCGGACTGGCATGTGGACACGTCGAGGGACATCAATGCGGGGTTGGCGCCGTTCGTTCGGCACCAGCTGCATGTGTCGGGCGGCGGAGCTTCACCGATCGCGCCGAACGTGTACGTGGTGGAGTCGGTGGAGCAGTATTTTTCGGGTGCTTTCTGTAGCTAGGGAGGAGGCGAGGGGAAGCTGAGAATAAGGTTCATGACTGGAGGCGTGTGTATGTAATGTGTGCATAGCAGGGCGTGGGTGACGGTTGTCACAGCCGAGTAGTGGAGTAGCTGATAGTGTAGTTGGCGAGGACATGATGGTACTGTAGGAGGCCTGGCAGCGAATGGTTGTGTTAGACTTTCTGTGCAGTGTATTAGAGGTAGGCATCGGATTTGGTGCTTGTTTGAGCTGAAATCTGCGAATTTCATATCCCATGCCTGAAGTTTTGGAAGTGTGGTGATAGCTGTTCGAATGAATGCTGAGTGGTGGAGGGTATATCTTCGGAGGGAGGATATATTCTGTTGCGTTACTGATAGTTTCGTGCAAGGTAATGTATGGTTGATCTGGTTAAGTTCTGCAGCATTCTTACTTGCAACCGCATGTTTGTTTTTGTAGTTGTCAGTCATGTGGATTGTGGATGAGATTGGTGTTGCCGCTGGTCGGGAATAGTTGCCAAATTGGCGTTGGGACAGAGTTAGTGACACTATGAGACAATTTTCCTAGATGGGCAGAATGTCTGATGTCGATGTAGATGTCAATTACCGTTGCACAGGTGAAGTTGGGGTGGAATGCCTCTACTGCCGCAAATATACTGCATTGTATGGAAAGTGTGTTGTTTCGTGAAAGATGTGTATTGTTTCACAAGAATGCACTATACTTGATGATTAAGTGGTTACATTGGGCACATCGTCAAGAGGTGTACATATGTTGGGGTTGAAGTGTGAGGCTTTGCAGGGATTGAAGTAGTCCCTCTGGCCTGTTATGGTTTGTCACTGCTGTACCATGGAGTTTCATGTACGATTTGCTTTGATGATTTTGTTGTGAAGGGCTGAGCTTCAGTAGTGAAACTACTGGCGTTGTATTCTACATTTTTTCTGAAATCCCTGTAATCGACGCGATGGTTTTTCCACGTCGCAACGGCACGTCTTTCCTTCACTACTTGCACTTGCGATTTCTAACCGCATGTCATGTCGCACAACCGTCACTCGGTCGTGGGAGTGTTTCGATGAGTAGAAGTAAAGAGTGGATCTTAACTTGGCCGTGTGTTACGGACACTAAGTGCGAGTTGTAAGGAATCATTAGAATTGATCCAGCAGAAAGTACTAAAGTCGTCCCAGTAAAACAGGGGTTATGAAATATCCTCTACATCTCGTTGGAAATATATTGCAAGTTTTCTACTCGGATTCCGAAACCCTTGTCTCTCTTCTCAGACTGTTAGCAAATCAAAGGAGGCTGACTTGAAAGAGCTTGAAATGCTCCGAAGTTTACTGGAAATTATGAAATCAAATTAGGCAATGTAGGTCGGTGATACTGCCCGTAATGACCATTTACTTGCGTTTCATCACCAGGGAAAGCTCGCTGGTAGTCAAATTACTAATTCCTGAGAAATTTCTCTACCATCGTGTTATGAACGATGGCACTTATCACTAAAAAAAATTTGAATGATCACCCTTGATCACTATTCAACGAAGAATACTTCTACTTGCCCCCAGAACCCCGAATAGCAGAACTTTAACTTTCAACCTGGAAAGAGTGTCCACACATCACTTTTGAAGACACTACTGATGGTTCTAGCGACTAGCACGTTGGCGTGCGTTCGGCACAACGAAATGGAATCTCGTACTTTCACTGCATGAACATAAGTAAATAAATAAAATTGCGCTTTTAGTATACATACCTTCTTACATAAAGATTGATATGGGAACCTTAGATATTCACAAGCATTAGAAAGCGGAACTGGCTGATTTTTTGGTCTGTAGGTTTCGGTCACGTCCACACATCTTCACAGGTAAGTGCTCCGCAGATCATACGTTAACGCAAGCATCTCTAACAAAGTTCAGTCTCATCTTCCTAAGATCATAACTTACACAGTATCATAACGCTGACTCTTGGCATTTCACTTCATTCTCAACAGGAAAACGCTCAAATTCAGTTTCTTCGGACAAGATAAGTGACGTGATTACGGATTCTATGTTGTACCTGGTGGAGTATGTATTTCTGCATGTAACCGAATTCATACAGATCAGCTAGTGCTTGAACCCTCACGAGAATGGATCCTACCGCTCATTTCAAGGATCCATAGATTGTCTTAAGTAACCGGAATCCTCAAAACTTTCCCTAAGCCTAAGACTCTCCCGTGGCAAGTTCAACTCCGGGTGAACAATCCTCTACAGTTACCAGTCACAATCACCTGAATACCTGAATTCTTAAACCAGTCCCCCAAGTACTTTTTCATTCGCAAACGTTGCCTGAGAATACATGTGCTTCAAGTGCAGGCATTAAACTTGGAAAAAACGAAGATGCATGACACCCACTGTTACATCGCACAGACAACTCCACTCAAGTCCAGCAGATGAAGGTCCTCCGCGAACAAAAATTCACACAAAACACAATCCATCTTAGACGTAGTGCTCCTTACACTGGTCTTGATACACCCTTATTGATCAGGATTCATGTCCCGCAATTGGAAACGTTCCTTATAAACATGTGAGGAATCAATGTGTTCCTCAAGAAGAAATGAACCATCACAAGACCGATAAAGAGCTGGAAGAAAAAAAATCCAGAAAGAAACAAACCCAACCGTCGAATTATTTCTCACTGAGCTTGGGTTGATTCCGAACGGCTCTAATCACAACTCGAAGAACGAAAATCATAGCTACTTCAGCATTGAATGTGAACACCTAACCGCGAAACCATGAACAGCTCGCAGCAATTCCAAGAATCACGACAAGGCTGTACACCACCAAAAACAAACGAAACCCTAATTGGCCTCGGCTTCTTCCTCCGCTGCGAGACGCTCCAGGGCCTGCTTGTGCGCCCAGGACTCGATCCGAGTGTCGGGCTTCGCTACAAGCCCGACCGTGAGCATGAGCGTGGTCAAGACCCCAGTGAGATAGTAAGGTGCTTCCCAATCTTCCCATTTGCGCTTCTGGCCGGGTGCGAGGGGCGTCTCCCCGAACAAGATTCCATTGGGACCCTCCTGCGTCCCCGGCGCAAACCAGCTACCCCCTCCGCCGTGGCCTCCCCGATGTCTCTGCATCTGCATCACTCTCCGCACCAGCCCCATCCTCGACGCCATCACTACCGCTGAAACCCCGATGCGATTGAAATGTGCGAGCAGAACGGAGCACGACAGGGTGCCAAGGCAAAATACGCCCTCGTGACCTGCGCCCTAAACCGTGACACCGCACAAAAGGCACTGGAGCCCTCGAAGTGGTATCCCATAACCGTGAAATTGCGCCTTCGGGAAAAATGAGCCCTCACGGTTTCGCCCGAAAACCGTGAATACTGCACCGAAGGCAAATACTGTTCCAAATTTTGTATTCCTCCCTGACTACATTGGGTCAAACGATGGAATGAAGCTGAGTGAAACCCTAATTTCGTTGGTATGTTTAGCTTTTTTTCTCTCACGCTGAAAAGATTTTGTAAGCTTGCATTTCCTCTCACGAATCCAAGACTGTCTTGATTCACCAATACTTGAGAAAACTATAGTATACAGTTTGTGTTTACGATGAAAAGGTAATTTGTTAAAATGTTCTTAATATTGGATCCAGCAATTTGTGGATCTATCGCATGTATGTTCGTATGCATGGAAATTTGCATTAGAACAAAATTTGACACAACTTCCTCCTCTAATTGGTAATAACTTGCAAGTTGATTTTTTTTCTCTATGTTTGTTTGGCTTTTAAACATAAGTTTCTCAATCCAGAATATAAACTGAGAGTACAACTGGTAAGAACAACTTTTCTTATTACATATTAGTGGTACTATTAGAATCACGTTTGAGTACTGTGCACATTCTGGGATTTCTTTTGGTGTAATTGGTTTCATGGGTCTTGCAATTAGTCCCATTCAAAGGTGATACATAATATAACTTGGACTGACAGATATGTCAATATACATAAATTGCAGATTTTAATACAAAAATATGATTTCTGAATAACCTCCTCTTAGGTTTCATTAGGTTTCAACAGCTTAATTCTTTGATTACAGAAATATTTCACTAAAATAGTTGTCTTAAACAAATTTGACTGATAAAGTCAATACTCCAATAATAATATAAGGCTGGCTGTTGCTCGTGTTTGCTACTCGCAATTAGATCCACCACAAATTAACAAGTTAAATGAGGTAAAAATGTACAAACAATAACGGGTCAGTTCGCTCCATCCCTAGGAAGTCGGATATCTAGGTAGTTCACAAACACGCTATAATTGGCCAACACTTGGTTCAAAACATCATGATCAGCTTTCCAAATCAATGCTTCCTAACCCAGACCTCTGACGAGGACTCAACATCACATTCGTCGCCAAGGTCCTGAGTTTTATTTTCCAAACCAAGAGCCTCCTTGATTACGGAGTTGCAACTCAAGCAACTCTACGAGCATTATAAGTTACAAATGTACAGAAACATATAACATTTACAGGCAGAGTTCATAGCGATAAATATTAGGACAGATCATGTTCCGTAGCCTCAATGTTCATAACCAATTGAAAAGAAATTCGTACAGGTGATGTTAAGCTGTACATAGAGAATTCTTCTGGATCTACGCAGTGAGAGCTGGGTTTGAGGTTGATTTGTTCTGTTGTCTGCTCTTCTTCTTCTTCCTGAAGATAGCCCCTTCTCGCAAGTACCGAGTAAATGAGCTCAACGGGTCTTGCAGACCTTCCATTTCATACTTTCCAAAGCGCCAGTCTCGGACCGCGAATGGTCGATCCATCGGCACATCCAGACCCCCTGTTACAGCAAGCCTCTCAATATTGATTATTTTACAAGTCGTGTAGCAAAACAGATGAATACTACAACTTAACATAACACAAAAGAAGCAAATCAACGCAAATCAACGAAAAAACTTCGACACCTGCAAACATAAGGCCTTGATCGTTGGTTTCTCGACAAAATGGTCTCGTCTTGCCCTGCCTAGCTTGCTCCTGAAGATCTTCCCATACAGCTTGCCGCTGCGACTTCGTTACCTTTCCGGTTTTTGACACCTGTGACAAAATGATCGAATAATGAAACTACAAACTCCCAATGACTTCAGATTTTCTAACCATTTTGCTCGTAATCTGAACCTGACTACACTCAATTACATGAGTAACAAAAACACCAATGTAGGTATCTATGTCAAAAAGTGAAATATAATACAGCACTTATATAGATTTTGTTACCTCTGTATATAGATCATAGGAAGGACGAGGATGACGAGCGAGGTCTTTGTGTCGATCCACAGCACACAAACCAAACTTTGGACCATACCCATCAGCCCACTCCCAGTTGTCTGAGATTGTCCAGAAGCAGTAACCTTGAACACGTACACCCTGCGTAAATCCCGGGCCTAAGGTTACTGTGCAATCGTATGTGACGTTTTAGTTTTGATGATTTCTAACTGGTTTTAGCTATCTAATATTCTGATGAGTGACAGAAGCTTTTGGCATAGCAAACTTTTCTGTGTACCTTATCCATCGCTGCTCGAACCGCAAGCAGATGCTCAATGATATATGGTCGACGAATGTAGTCAGTGGCGTCTGAAACGCCGTTTTCAGTAATAATGAATTTCATATCGTGCTTTTTGTAGCGCTCATGAAACTCGATCAACATTCTGTACAATCCATCCGGATAGACACCCCGTCCGGATTCGCTGTATTCATCATTCTCCACGTTTTTCAGACCTGGAGCTGAGACTACCTCCTGAAGATTAAGAATTTCCGCAGAACAATTAAATACTGATAAAAAAGAGAAAATCCACAAATCCCTCCGGCATTAAATGCCTATCTCAGTTCAATAAATTGGAACGTGCAAGTAATCTTCACCCACTTCTACCAGGACAAATGCACGTGCCAACTTCGTATGCCAACCTACCTGACCATAATAGTTAATGCCCATAAAGTCACACTTGTGTGCCACATCATCACAGTAAGCAAATCGTGTCATCCAATTGCTGAAGACCACCAGAGGCGTGTCGAACAACCCATATGGTCGCATGAAGGACACATGATGTGATATGCCTACTCTTGCGGGCTTCCTGGATTTACTGTTAGAAAGTACCACTACCTAGGTTAGTACAAACCAAAAAACAAACAAAGAAAAAAAAAAAAAAAAAAAAAGGAAATAGTGCGAGATGGCATGAATGAAATTAGACCACGCTAAAGAAGCTAAATCTGGAAATAATGAAAGAGGAAGTACCTGCTGCCATGGATGATATCATAAGCGTCAATGTGAGCATCAGCCATGGCCTGCATGACGACCTTGAACACTCCTCTTGGCATTGCAGCTGTGACTGTCTCCAGCATGTCAGGATCTCCTCCTGGCCATGCACCAGCGCAGTAGGTGAGCATAGCAAATACATGGGGCTCATTGAAGGTAATCCAGTAGTCAACAAGGTCTCCATAATTATCCACAACTAACCTGCAGAAAATACAATTGCGCTCGTCAGAAATTGACCCAAAAAAATACATACCCAAAACACCGGAATTCCTCATAACAGCTCAAGAGCTGAATCACACTTTCTTCATGGTGAACATGTTAATCAACTACTGAAAGGTAGTAAGAACCATAAAGCACAAAACTGATGTGCATAGTTCAAGATACTCTGTAAGGAACAGGAGACTGCTGAAGTTTCAAAGAGGTATATTGAAAGCTGACCTTGTAAAATCTAGGAAGTACTTGATAGTCTTAGGGTCCTTCCATCCACCATACTTTGATGCCCATTGAGGAAGGGAGTGATGGAAGAGGGTCAGCATCACTTTCATGCCGTGGTCCAATACTCTTTGAATGATATACCGATACCGATCTACAGCTGCCCAATTCACCTGGTCCCAGAACATGACGAACGAGACAGGTAAGCGGCTTGAACACAGAGATGGAAAATTTCACAAAATCATGGCATGCAAAACAACAGATCCCACAATTAGAACTTGAAAATTCAAAATTGCACCGAAAACTAACTCTCACACGTTTGGAGTCATGCGTTCAAAATCCTTCGCATCGGAGTTACAAGAAGGGGAACCTCGACAAAAAGACAAGAACAACAATACCAGGATGCACAAAAAATGACACTCACCGAATTTTCAAGACCATCGACAGGTTCGATGGGCATGATTCGACTCCAATCAACACCCATTCGAAATACTTTCGAATGTGTACCTTGAGCGAGCTTAATCTCTGTGTCGGGTTGTGTCCAGAACCGCAACCTTTCCTCACTGTCAAATGCAGCAAGAAAAGTATTAGTCCATGAATATACCAGTCCTGGAAAACACTGATTTGGGAGCAGGAGAGAGAAGCCAAGATGAACTTCCTGCCTCTAAATGACCACAATAAATAGGAGGTACTCACGGGTTGATTGCGTTGTGCCATGCAGCCACGTTATGTATGGCTTCTTCTTCAGTAAACTTCTCAAAACCTCGAATCATAGCTTCCATTGACAATTTTGCAAACTTCTTTGCTCTACGAGGAACATTCATGAGACTGGGTTCCGCTGTATTTTTGCTATGAAAGCCAACACGTCGAGGCTTCTTGGGAGCCTCGGGGTTTAATTCTTTACTCATGGTCTCGAGCCTTTCCTCTTCTGAAATTTGTTTGCGACCATCTTTGAAAGTTTCTTCCACAACCTTGGAAGCTTGTTCTAGTTTGCTAGGGCTCTTATCAGTCTTCTCGGAATCAGTGTCTGACTTGTATTTCTCAGATACAACCTCCCATTCACCACCTAGCCCATCACCATTTTTTCCATTTCCACCTTCACTAGAAACCCGTTCAGTCCTAATAATATTTGGATTTTCACTGGAACCTTTTTCTCCTGAATCTACATTTTCTTGAGAAGATTGCACCACATCCGAAATCTCGTCGCTCGAAACATTTTTCTCACCCGAAACTGAAACCGAGTCCTTTGTACCTGCATTGACACAAAGCGTGAGCAGGATGCTCAGCGAGAGAAGAGAGACACAGACGTGAACAAATAGGATTCGCCGGTCTAACTAATATATATTAGAACACAAGAAATATTCGTTAGTAATTTTTTTAACATCGTGCCATCACACATAGCATCGGAGATAGAAAAGCCAATTAGCCCATTACCAATACTAGTTAATACCTCAAGACTTACCCAGGGTTCAAAATTCAACTTTCAGTCTCCTGAGATACTTTACAATCCTTGCTTTCAGGTGTATTTCTGGACATGTTGACAAATAACCGGGAATAGAAACCTACCTTTCTTAATATCTTCAGCCTGCGCTTCTTCAGTCAGCGAAATTCCAGAATACGATGCGGCAGAATCTTTTTCACCAGTACGGGTCTCGGGCGGATCTCCTGCAGGGTTGTCTTTGGGCTCACCAGCTCTTGCAAATTCCAGCCAAGCATCATCTAGTTTGTCTTCCACATGAGCCGGTGCTGTTGCAAGTGCAAAGAAGAAGCCTCCATCCTCAACTGCATGCAGGGGGTTTCAATTAAAATTCATAACTGGGCCCTAAATATAATATAAAGTAGGCAAACGACCAATATAGCAGTGAAACCTTAGCTTCTGGGCCAGAAGATTGTCGATATTCACAGGTGAGTCTCTGAAGGTTTTGTACAACATGTTCACAACACGCACTCCCTAAACGTGCAGATCCTATGATAGCGCCCAAACGGACTCCAAACAGAGGAAGACATCACCAAATTTCAGAACATACAAAAAAACACAAAAGGATGAGGGAGAGGGATAGGAAGAGAGATATGTATTATCATTCCTACTCTATCCACCAAGAAGCTTTTATTCTCTTCAGACGTAATTTCAGCTGTCAACGGATGAATTAGAGCGGGCATACGCTTCAAGGTAGGTCTCCAACAAAATTGAAGCTCAAAATAACATAAGACGGCCGTGAAAGGTAATCATAACTTCTCGAGCATGACTAGCTTAGAGAGAAATAAGACAGAGTAATGTAATAATCCATGCAGAGTGGCTATATGTACAAAGAAAATTTGCCACGAGGGAAACGCATTCCAGGAGAAAGATTGATTTAAGCGGCTCATTACGGGATACATTACACACCACTTCGCTCAAGGTTTATTCTCGAAAAGAAAATACTGAAAATCCAAATAAAAGGCAATCAAATTTGCACATCCTGTAAAAAGACTTCGTTCCACGCCGAGAGTGCAATCGCGAGTGAGCTGACAGGTGAAAGAGAGATTCGCCATCGTTACTGACAGGGGACGGAAAGCTACAAGGCGAGAAACACTCACCTTCTTTGTCAATAGGAAACTCGGCCAGGACTTCCTTCGACTCGTCCACCGGGTCTGGGAACGGGGCTATATTTTTACGATGGAAGTGCCGAAACGTTAACGCATTAGCAACCACCGTAATTGCGCCCACTAGGCCCGCCACCTTGGTAGCATTCAGGAGAAGCACCATCGGTGCCATTTCTACGAGTCCCCCTCTCTTCCCACAACTAACTCCTCGCCACCAACAAAAACCCCTTTCCCCTCGCAAACGATCCCCTTGTCTCCCCTCTCAAAGCTATTCTACAAACTCAACATCCAACGCCAATTCTCACTCTCACTAACTCCCCCGCGTCATTCCATTCTCAACCTCCCCCTCCTTGACCTTCCACAACGATGCTTTCCACCGAACGAAGCTAAAAGCGCCACGCTTCCCCTCCCCTCCTGACACCACACCACCACTTCCAATTGTCAAGCAACGCCAGCACGACACATAGTCACCACGGACAGAATCAACAGTTATCTAATCAACCTGAATTGAAAAGCAACCCTACCTACAAATTAATACAACTCTGAGCGAGACCCGGCATCCACAACAATGAGCTCGGTAGAATTAACTTTCCCAAAAGGACAGCCCGAGCTGCAGGCAAGGGAATTTCAAAGGCGAGATGCTGCTGCTCAGGGAGAGGAGAGCAATGCAGGCCATCCCTTCGATAGCCCTATCCGAGCAATTTGCGTGGTAAACTTACACAACCCCGAGATTAGCCGCAACAGTGGACGAGCTTCTGTCAGGGATGACAAAGGCTCTGTTCGTGGGAGAAGCTCCTCGCATGAGTGCCATTCCGTGACAATACAGCACCGCTACATCTAGAGCCTAGCCCTAGATGCTGACAGTAGCGCAGACGCTCAGCTCCGATCGCCGTCGATGAACGAAAATCGGTGTGCGCCGTCCTAACATCCTGTTGTCCATAACTCTTCAAACTGCCCTGTTGAGTGGCGCACAAGCTTGCGTTCCTTCGATCAGCGCCTCGACGAAGAAACGTCAACAGATCGCCATTAATCCGCTCCAAAAATCTTGTTCCGCTGTAACCGTCGCGCATCAATCGACGGTAGAATCGTAGTGCGAATGGCGCCGGATACTTCGGGTGGAGACGATCGTGCCCCGCATGGAAGAGCCACCCTCGACGACGGTGCAAATGGATTGGCTCGCCCGTTCCCTTGCCATAGGAACCCTGTTCGCCACTGCGTTCTCGTTCTTCCTTGCCATGTCAGCTCATGTGCACTGAGACTGTGGCGCACAGAAACTCCCTTGAAAAACAATTATGAAAAAAACAAATAATTTTAACTATTTGCGTTTAAAGTACCAATGTGTTCCATGTTTCTTGTGTTTAGAATTTTGTGATTTTGAGTAGGACGTTCGTAAGAGAGGGGATCAAAATCATTGCATTTGCATATAGTAGACATGGTTGATTTCAACTTGGAGTTATAGAAATTGTATTTGTGATAATATTGCTTCGAAATTGTTCATGTGTGTGAAATTTAGAGGGGTTTTGATGTTTTAGTAGTTTGAGCAATGTGTAAATACATAAGTATGAATCAAAAAATTGTTACGAATGAGCAAAGTTTATAATGTGAAAGGGTATGTGAGTTTGTGTCAATTTTTGTTCAAATTCTTGGTTAGCAATAAGTGTACTTGTAACAAACTTGGAATTTGAAGTGATATTTTGTAGAACTTGTTACATTTTTTACACAATTTGTATCATTCTTTGTGCCTGTTTTTCATTTTTAGTGAAAAACTTTATGATACACGTTTTGCTAATTGTGATAGCACATTGTGTTTTACAATACAATGGTTAATTTTTTATGTTTAATGTAGTAAAATTTCAATGCATGAACGCTTTTTGAAAAAACTTGCCTACTTATTTCCTTTAAAATGGATAAAAAATAGGATTTTATGTAAAATTAAAAGTGCAATGAAAAAATCAATTATGAGCACATCAGCCAAATAATAAATCACAAAACTGAGAAAATTTCATGTAATGTGTGTTTAGAATGTCTTCTCTGAGGTCCAGCAGTTTTAAAGCCCTTCCACCTGATTGTAAGATGAGTACACCATTTACTTGGAAGTAACACTATTTCATCTGTAAACTTGGATTCTGTGATATATTATTTTTAATTCAGTTCTTAGAATCAGTTACTATTAAATTAAATCAAATTGAAATTCTCCTAGTAAATGAAGTATCTCACACACATGAACGCAAAAACGTGGGTCTTTGAGCACAGTTTAGATTATGTATCTAAAGATTTATGAAGTTTCTATTGAATAGTCAAACATCAAATAAGTGATAAGCTTGGAAAGTTAAATGCTTCTCATTTCAAGACTGCAGGAACACACTGAGCCATTCTTATGTACAAATACCATTCTTAGCCTAAAACCTAAAACCCTCAACTTGTGTTACACTCTCTTTCTAACATCTATTGTCATGTTACAAATAAAGAACTCCGAAATCATAGAGAATGGAGGAGCGAGTAAATAACAAGACGTTGCAGATTTAAAGAAATTTTGGTAACTATTCAACATAATATTTTTTATTTAAAAAATTAAAGCGGGACATTGGAGTGAAGCTAATCTTTCTCAATGCGTACGTTGACACTATATGGAAGCATGCTTTTAATTGAAAAGTAATTAAACTGTGCGATTAAGACTCGACAAGGTTGAAAAAAATCAGTGCGCCATTAGCTGAAGTTTGCAGAAAAAATCACAGCTACAAACGCTGCCTCTTCACCCACTTGGGTTATCAGTATCCAATGACCGAAGTGTACACCTCAGAACCCAAATACTTCCTGAAAGGAGCCGTTACAAACTAAACGATCCAGCAGATATGCAGGGCAGAGGAAATCTAGTAAATTCGCTGAAACAAATTGCGGATTCACTCCAACTTTCTCGACGATTTGGGTTCATATTCGTTAAATGAGTACTAAATCCTGCATGACATTCTTTCAATGACAAGTGATGTGCTCCACAGGGTCTTCCAAGAAGAGCATGATTCTCGACCACCAATCCGCAAGAATAAAGCTACAACGCATCAGCTGCACGCAGAATTTAGTTAGCAGCAACTTCACGTCAATGTCAAGCAACAACCTTGCTGGATACGTCTGAATCTGTAGATTTGTTTTGCAAGGTGACTGTCCCAACCATCAGTGCCACCGTTGCCGCCTGGAACCCAACACGGGCCCTCATGAACATCTGGCTTCGGTTGAAATTTCCTTGTCTGAAGGAAATTAGACCAGCGACCAACACGCCGGCAGTTGCAATCGCCCCTGTCATTTGATGACAACTGTCAAGCGTAAGCTTTTATCATATGTTTTAGCAATATTAGTTCGGTCAAGATTCGTAACCGCCGTCTATGAATAACACCACATGGTCTTTCTAACGTGAATCAAACACTCTTCTACGCTGGAGATCATGTGTCGAGGGCAGCCAAGCCGTCAAGAGAAAGTTTCAAGAGAAAGTTTGAGGCCTTCTGCTGAAACCCCATGAAAGCAACTAAGAAGTAACCCACAAAAAAATCTCAGCTTAACAATCTAAATATCTCCAACATTACAGCATTAATAAAATGAGATGAATTACACCATCAGCAGTAGTAGTCAAATCTTCTTACACTGAATGTCTCACCAGGCACCTGCAACCCGGATTGAATGTAAGAAGGCGAACTAATACACTGTATCCACTACTATTTTTTTGACATGCTTCAAATCTGGACTGCGGCACATGAACAGTGTCCCCATGAAAGAAGCACAGAACACTCTTCAACACAATTCAAAACCGAACATCGAGCCAGAAAAGGCTAAGAGAACCCACATAGTCCGAATTGCATCAACTGATACCGCTCAGAATTTCCATACTTTCAAACGCAGCAAATCACCAATTCCGAAATCTCGAGGTGTGCGGATCGACACTCAAAATTATCTCGGAGCAACCATAATAATTGAGGTCGATTGTGAAAACCAGTAATACCTCCACTCATGTGCACTATAAATGCCTAAATTCTCTTGTATAGCGAGGAATCCACCACAAAGAAGATGAACAGAAACGATTCAATAGCATACCACACAGAACCAACGGATTCCGATTCGTTTTTTTGTTGCCGAACATGTCCTCATCTTCGTACATCTCCACACCCCGCGACGCCATAGCCACGACTCCCGTCACAAGAAACACCGAAAACCCCACAGAATCCCGTCAACTCCACACCGTGCGATGCCAAAATTCCTGCTGCAGAGTGGAAAAATTGCAAGAAATGCGTCTCAGCATGGTTAGAAACACGCTCGACTGGGTTGCTGGGGGGAAAGATGGCCACGACATGGCCAGCAGGAAGCTTCTCTCTCACCAAAGAAGTAACAAAAAACCCTAAAAGTTGTCCGTAGCACCCACACCCTCCACCCCCCGTGTGCTTCGGTCCCGAACCTAAGTCTTCCACGTGCAGGAAACTTATTGGCCTATGAATCAATTGTGCAACACAAAACTTCCTTAATAATGTTAATCGTAGGGAATTCATATTTTTAAATGTTTCATTTTTACAGGTTGTTAGAACAAATTTACCTTGTTGAAAAATTAATCTGTAATCTGTTTGTAGACAATAAAAAGGAATGTTGGGTTTACATTATTACAAACAATGCGTAGAAGTAAGACAGATGATTTTATTACTGGTATAAAAAATGTTGCATTGCAAGTTCAACAGATATTGAGTGGTGTATATTGAACAGTGTAATTGCAAATATAAAGGTCATGTGCCTCTGGTGTAAACAAAACAGCCACTGCAAGTTGGTGAAGTATTATTAGTGATGGATTCAAATAATTTGTTATTACTGTTAAAAGCTTGTTCAAGAATTGAAGACATTGGTATGAAAACTTACCTACATTCGAGCCCCAAATCCCCTGAACCGCCCTCCAGCGTCGGAGCCATCGCTAGCCATGTCACCCGCTTGAGCTTATTTCAACAGCCACTCGGGCTTTTGAAGGTCCACTGCTATGAACATCCCCCTCCCTCCTCCTTGAGATGCTTCTTACCGACTGACCGAATCACCGAATCCTTAAGATGCTTCTCATCGAATCAAGGACTGGATCAGCGCATCAATGCTCGAAAGATCCTGTGACCCATTGACTCGGAAAAAAACACGGTCTTGTGTTTCTCCAACGAGTGCTCAAAAACAATAAACTAAGTCACGACAGACCTGATCCAAGGTCTCAACTACGTGAAAGAAACAGGAAGAGCCAAGCCTCGTCACACGAAACGGCGCACTTTCTTATTTTGTCAAGCGCATGGCGATATCCAACTTTTTTCAAGCAAAGTCGAGTACTGAAGGTCGGATATCTCCCGAACCTCGTCATATAGCCCAACGACAACCCCAACGACAAGTCTCTCAAATCGCATTCAAATTTGCAACCTCCGGAGCTGTCTTGTACATCAGCAACAAACAACACCAGCAGCATTAGGAACCAAAACACTGAGCACTGCGAATTGGCAGCTAGATGACGATAGCATCGCAACACAGACTTCACCCGCAGGTGTCTTCTTCATGTCCCATGTTTGTTCATCTGCCGATTGCACTAAAAGACGACCAGGATCATGACGAAGACGCTGATTGGTTGTCTGGGTTTAGTCGCCATCTGCGGTCTAGACCGCGGGCCCTGCAGATTTCGCCACACCTCTTTTCAACCCAAAAGTACGAATGCAGAGGGGGGGTTTGTTTTTGGAGCATTTAGTCACAAATCTGAGGGGTATATTTGCTATTATCAAGAATACAAGGGTATTAATGATATTCTAGCATATTTGAGGGGTATATATAATAGTTTCCCTGTAAACACTATTCCTAGGTCGTTGAACTCATGAAGTTGTTCATTCTCGACCTCGTAAACTCCATTTGCACGGACGTTGACTATGCATGCTAGTTGTGCATTGGTTTAGGAGGTTTCTCATTGATTCAGGCAACCTTCATTTAAAACTTGTACATTTCATTTCCAAACTGGCCAATTAATTGAACATGTGATGTCTACAACACACTCTTTGGTCATTTGGTGGTCTTTCGTTGCTTTCTATACGTATGTAAAGACAGAAGGATTTGTAGATGTCTCATACAACATGAAATAAACAAATCCATTTTTATGTTATGTTTTGTAGTTTTTTATTATTATTTTTTTTTATTACTATAATGATTGTTGGAGCAGCATGAAGGTTTTATATCACAAGATTGTTATTGCATGTAGTTCTAATTAAGCTACCAGTAAACTCTTTTGTTTTTAATAATCATCTGTTTAATTCCTTGAAGGTGCTAACATTGTGTTTGGATTCTTGTTTTTGAACTTCAATATATTTTTTGTTTGTGTTTAATGTATGGAGTTGATATTTGTATTAAAATTCTTTTCATTGAAATTGTTTTCACTAGGGTCTTCTAACTCTTTAATGTTACCATTACAAAAAGTGGTTTTTTAAAAGTAGTTCTTATTTCAATATTATTACATTTTAATATTTGATTTTAAACCAATAACATTGAGAAATTTTATATATATTATTTTTTAAAAACATATTTGATATGATTATAACATGTATATATATATATATATATATATATATGACAAATATGAATTCTTAAAAAAATAAAAAATAAAATAATCATGTGCCAATATTTGATTCATGTATATATATATATATATATATATAAATACACACACATACATATAAGCACGTGTATATGCATATTGTCTTTTGTTAGTTTTGTGCATAATAATTATGACAATGTTGTGACTTTTATCTAAGTTCTAAAGTACTTAGAAGAAGATGTAGTCATAAAAGATAGTATAATGGGGACTTAGTTCAAATCAATACAATGGCTAATAAATATCATTACTATCTAATAAATCAATCTTTTATTGTAAGGCATAATATTCAAGACCAATTAAGACTTGATAGACATGCTTCATCCTCAAGTCTTTTTTTTTTTTTTTTTTTTTTTTTTTTTGTATATATATATATGAATAAAAAGTAAATTGATGCACAAGTACTTATATAAAAAAATGAAAAATCAATCTATTAAAAAATATGTATGTATATATATGTAGAGAGTTGTTAAAGCCACATCCCTATTTACCATCTTATGATTGATTTTGTCTCTATCTCCCATTTTCCTTCCTTATTCATGTTCCTTGTTCTTGTCCCTTATTCTTATTTCTTATTTCATGTCCTTCGTTCTCATCCCTTGTACTTATTCTTTATTCCTATCCTCATCATTCCCAACTTAGGACTAGCTCCCGCTTTCTACTCCATTCCTCCTCTTCTATTTGCAAAACACAATGTCTAAGGAAGCACCACCACCACCATACACACAAGTGAATTGTGTACATCAAGTGTCACTCTTGTTCCTAGTGGATGGTTGGTTGTTAGGGCTAGAGAGATAATTTTGATTTCAACAATTAGTTTCTTCCTTCATACATAAAAACTTGTTCTCTATATGTTCAAAATGGAACTTGTCTAATAGTTGCATAGAATTGTTGGTGTAGTACAAGAAAAAATTCAAAAGCTAATTGTGTTTTATTTAAAGCTTGGAAAAGCATACATTTCCAAGACACATTTCCAAGACACAGTAGAAACACAAGTTTTGGATTGTTCACTAGAATAATCTTAAACACAAAGAAAAGAAATATTGACCAATTAGAAGGGTGTGGCTTTATCAACTCTCTCTCTCTCTCTCTCTCTCTCTCTATATATATATATATATATTAGTAAAATTTTAAAATATTGATCAAATCTTTAAAATTCAATTTAATAGGTTTTCATCAATATTCAAAAAACCAATATAATATACATATTTCTAATGTATATATCTAATATTTTACATTAGATTATAATTATTCATTAATTTACTTTATGAATTACTTTATCTAATTAAAGAAAGATAGTGTCTGAATTTGAAACTCTATAGCTTGTAAAATATTTTTCATATATATATATATATATATATATATATACACACACACATATACAACATGTAATATGATACAAATGAATGCAGTTATATGCATAGTTAGAAAATGGTTCACAGGTAAACTCCAAGATATGTTTTGTGGGCTACATTTCTCAAAGAATAGTAATACGATTAACAATAAGAAAGACAAAACAACGATGAATAGATTCATAACAGCTAATATTTAATTTAATTTATTTTATTTTGTTCAATGCAACTAAAATTTATTTTATTTTGCTTGGGTATCTAACACTGGTTTCCCAAACTACTTTAGGTGGTATGATCTGTGGCCACCAAAAGCTCACCAACTTTCCATTCTCATTACAATAAAACAAAATAATAGAAACTCACATTTTTAAAAGGCAAAGAAAGGGAAACCAACTACTGTATGATATACCCTTTCTCCACCAAAACCATACATACATACATAGTACAATACATACGATCCATAAGATGTATACGGTTGGCGGCGTGCTCTGTGATTGAGAGGCCAATTGCCTCGACGAGCGACTGCGGCGACGTCATTCGGAAGCTCGAGGAGAACGCGCCAGGCTCTCTGCATCAGTGCTCAGCTCCAGTCTCATGGCCAGAGATCTCCATACCCACCACTGTCATGACACTTGACAGGCACACTCTCTCTCGCCTCGGGGCCGCACATTCGCTGCTGCGGTGGTTCAAGCTCGGCAGTCGCTGTTGAGAGTCACGTTGGTGGTTCGGCGTCGGGGAGCGATAACCGAGGCGTGGTTGCGATTGTAGGGAGCGCCTAGGCACACACTGGAGTGGCGATTTGGTGGGGGACCCGAGTGGGTGAAATCGTTAGGGTGAGGAGGTGATAGATGACAGGAAGCGTGTGCAAGTAGCGGTGGGGGACAAGAGAGTGTGTGCGTGGGTGCTTGCGAGGCGATCAGGGGAGACTAGTGAAATCTCGGATCGGTGCTGCTGGTGGCGGCGAGCGAGGTGGGTTCATTTGAGGCCTCTAGAGGAATGCTGCACTATGCTGCATGCTGAATTGGTGCCGGGGGATCCGTTCTTCTCAGCATGTTGTTTTCGTTGGCGAAACGAAGTAGCAAATGAGTTTTTGCTTGTTTTCTGAAAAAGTCTTGAAACAGGCGTCGTTCCTGGGGCTTGTATTTCATTTTCCACTGGATTGATCGTTTTGAAGTTGTCTATCTAGAGCCTCATAGATATAATCGAGAAGCACGGAAAAGAAGTGGTGGTCGCTTGTGTTAGTGTAAATTTTAGTCGTCCTTGTTGCACACAGTGAGTTATATCGGCATTAGTTTCCCTGAGTCCATAGCTGTTACACTTGGTTGCTTTATTTGTGCATATTGAGCCCTACCTTAAGCTTTTTCTAGAGATTATCATTACGAGTAATCTCAACTCGGATGCACACGACGACATTTTCAAGAGTTCCTGAAATTATTTGCGGGGATTCAAGGCCGTCTTTCAAAATGTTGGCGACCTGTTAGGTGCACCAACTATCGCCCTCTGCGGTCACTTGACCATGCGTATTGCAAGTGTCTAGATTGCTGACCAGCAGGTTGTATTAAGGTTCCGAGATTCCGCTTCCCAAGTTCCGAGGTAGAACCGAAGAGACACCGTCGCAAGCTTCAACAAAGAACACGAAACCACAGTACATGTGAGTCACGATCGTCCTCTTTCAACAATTTAACTAATTTCCTGTCATACAAGGGTGTTCATACGCATTACACTGATGAAGAACTATAATAGATGTCCTGGTTTACAGGAGCTCGTTTTTTTGAAATGGCATATAATGCGAAATCTCCCATAATCGAGATGTTGTATTGTCTAGATGGCTTCCCTTGTGCAGTTGCGCATACTGTCGGAGTTTGTGGTGAGAGCGAATAGAGTTACTCGGCGGAGGGATGGCACCATCAATCGCTGGCTAGCGGACACACTTGAGAAGAAGGTTCCGGCTAATCCGATTCCAGTGAAGGGAGTATCCTCGGCGGATGTCACAATTGACGCCGAGGCCGGAATATGGGCTCGGGTGTTTAGTTTGACCGAGGAGATAGAGGAGACTTCGTTGCCAACGGCAACCGACGGAAATCAGAGGCTGTTCAAGACGATGCCAATCATCCTCTATTACCATGGAGGCGGATTTGCCGTTCTTTGTCCTAATTTCTATTTGTACGATATATTCTGTCGGCGCTTGGCTAGAAAATGTAATGCAATTGTTATATCTGTGCATTATAGGTAAAGCACCTCAACCCGTGAACTAGTGTTTCTGTGCCACATGAAAGCCGTTGGTTCGCGTTGTGCAATTATTTTAGTTTTGATAAACGATTAAACTTTTGTGCAGGAGAGCACCAGAGTTCAAATTCCCCACAGCATACGACGACTCGTACAAAGCCATGGAGTGGCTCCAGTCGAAGGAAGCAACTGTCTCCCTTCCCCCAAACGTGGATTTCTCCCGTGTATTTCTGAGTGGAGACAGTGCGGGCGGTAATATTGCCCATCATGTGGCGCTGCGAGCAGCTGGAAAGGATCTGGGTCGCTTGAGCCTTAAGGGCTTGGTGCTGATCCAACCCTTCTTCGGAGGGGAGGAAAGGACCTCTGCAGAGCTCCGCCTCAAGAATGTTCCAATAGTTTCTGTGGAGAGCTTGGATTGGCACTGGAAGGCCTACTTGCCTGAAGGCGCCAATCGAGATCACCCTTCCTGCAATATCTTTGGGCCTAACTCTCCAGACCTGTCGGATGTTCCATTGCCGCCAATTCTGAACATTGTCGGCGGCCTCGACATCTTACAAGATTGGGAGGTTAGTTTGGCTTATTAACAATGATTAAACCCTCATACAACTTCCTATTTTCATCTCAGTTAATGAGTGTTTGAAGTAATTCCGTGGTAGCAGCTGTGTGGGTGTGATTTCTACATGTCAATTCTTAACTACCCTTTGCCAGTTTAGCTATTGGAAGCAATATTTCTTTAGTGCTGAGTTGATGGGCGTAGAAATTAGAGAATGAAAATACCACTTCCTAGAATAGCTTGCTCTTGTTTCCTAGTTAAATTCAAGAAAGTAATATTTTTTGCCATAGATTAATAATCGGCTGTCATTGACTGTTCACGGCAGATGAGATATTCGGAAGGTATGAAGAAAGCCGGAAAGGAGGTGCAAACGATTTTCTACGAGGAGGGAATTCATACCTTCGCTCTCCTGAATCAGGCTAAGCTTGCATCACAGATGTTACTTGACGTTGCGGCCTTCATCAACAGCCATTAGGGCGTGTTTATTGTAAGAGCTGAAAGGCAGCTCTACTTCAATTCCCTTCTCTATTCCTACGAAGAATTTATTCTACATGAGGTTACAGCAGACAATCAGCTCGTCGCTTTGTACATATCATAGTACTCTGGCACACAAGATGCCTGAAAAATAGGAGCAACAGCAGACCACGTAAGTTAAATGTTATCAGCTCCTGTTGGTAAGTCTACTGATTGTGCAGTGAAATTGAAGGACTACGACATTTTCCTTTCAAATGAAACTTGTCATTAATGAACGAAAAAGATTCCATTTCATACGACGATCAGAAGACTGAAATTTAAGAAGCCTTCTTATCGGTATGAAAATTATTGGAAACTTTTCTCATTAGTTGATCGATGCAAAGGTATGATTAAGTGGCCTCTTGTGGTTCTGACAATGTAAAACAAGTAATAAAACATGTCAATAAACCGCCAGCGAGTCTTACTTCCCGAGTACAAGTAATTATTGACAGGGTGATGGCGAACATCATCTGGGAGCAGTGAAAAGTCTTATTCAGATAACTATAAAAGAATAACCATTCACGGATCTTGATCGTTCACAAACTGTATAGTTATACTGCGAGACTATGTTCTGCGCTTGCAGTAAGCAGTAGAATTCTAGCCTATTATTCCGCACAATCATGACAATGAACTCTTCAAAACTTTGAGATTCTCAATTGCAGCTCAAATGTTGCATAAACGCCTTAATTCGTTCAATCTACTCGGTAAAACAAAAGATGTTCAAATATGTAAGCTTCAGCCTAAACGTGACTGCCGCAATTGGGTTGATGAGAGATCCGACTGGAATAAGTTCTCTGGAATCTCTTGGAACATACTCTGGACTTCACTTGGAACTTGAATATCAGAGAGTACCTGATTGAGAGGCCAACACGATGGTTAGCACATTGCGAATCAGTAAAGTTATCCCATCTTTACACGCAGAATTTTCAGGCCATGCACAAATCCTATGATTGCAAAACTCTAGGGTATCAGATCTACAGCAATGTTTTTTTGCAGGCAGATATCACTTCTTGCTGACCAGATACATGAGTGGAAGAACCAAAGGGGGCCTGAGAAAACTTCCTTTTGATTTCGTGTAACTTATTTTGAATGCGGGATTGAGGGAAGCTCCTTAAAAATCAACTGAAGGGTTAAAATAAGTTAAAAAAAAACTGAAGTTATGAAATATCATGACCAAGACTGTGGGCCTTGCCTGAAATGTTCCGTTCACTTTCCGTCCAGCTACCAAGAAATCGCAACCGAGTTGGTTAATTCCAAGCAACACCTCCAGCATGCGGACTTTGCTGTCGCCGTAATATTTTGTCTGCAAATACAAAGAATGTCGTGTTTTACATATTTGTTCTCTCACACCGAAGAGAAGGAACATGAGAGATTCAGAAAAAAATTGCATTGGTTTACCAATGTCCCTCGTCATTCACCCTGTTTATCAATTACCAATTTTGAGCATAAGCTAAAAACAATTTAATGACAGAGAGTGGAACAGTGAAGTTTGCAGAATACATGAGATAATTTAGGAAATAGCTTACATCTAAGAGTCTAAGAGCCGTGTCCACTCCAACAACAAAGGTGCTGTCCGGGAACAGCTCCGCTTTCCTATAGAAATATGGTTGATTCGTCACCACTAACGTCTTCCCTATTGAGGACATCAGAAACAAAATTTACGGCTTATCTATACCTCATCACATTATCAGCTCCAATAACAGTATTCAGTGCTAGTAAGTGCGTTGAACCCAAACTAAGCTACTTACCAAGCAATGAGAAACAAAAACTAGCAGTTTTATTTCATCTTCACAAACTTCCAAACAAATCGTACTCACTTCAAAACGTTCTCAAAACAACATTTGGGTCGTCCACATACCAACGTAAGAAAAAGCTCAGCAACCAATACATCTAATGAAAAGTTATAATTTCTATTGAAATATCTACAAGGCTATAAAAATACCAGAGCGAAATTGTTTTAAGCGCTCCTTTATATCAGAAAGACCCAATGGTGGTTTATCAGCGTTAATTGCAGATATTTCATACATTGGAAGCCCACCCTCGCGCAGGCTGCAACCAATAGTAAGACACTCATAAACAGGCTACTCGACAGTTCAGAAATAATTGTTGAATATATGCCCCCACTCGTGCATACGAAACATGAAATATTAAAAAAAAAAAAAAAATCTTTGGAAGAATTAGAGTAGCAGGAATAATCAGCAGTATACAATTAACACGAACATTATTTAGAGGCATCTATGCAATCGAGGTCCACTGACATAAGAATCTGAACTGAAAGTTAATTTAAACTCAAGAAAGAAAAAGCCTTCAAATAGAGAGTCGTGAAACCTGCATGCTGCATCCAAAAGCTCGATATGTCCATCATGAAGCGGATTAAATGATCCGGACAACACCACCCTTCTAGTACCCCAACTGGGCGTGTTTGAGCCACCTGCCTTGATATTTGATACAAAAATCATGAGTTATCCTATAAAAGCTGGATGATGACAAGTTAGGTAACATGAGTATAACATTAAACAGTCCAAAGCCATAGAGATACAGGTATCTGGATTCTCGCTCTGAAGGGCACGAAGCCGAATGGAAGTGAACAAATCTGTGAGCAATGTACCATGCAGTGCACTTATTGTTGATAAAACTATGAGCAAGTTCAACATTAAATCCGCACCTGAGAAGTTAATCATGCAGATCTGGCCACTCAGCAACTGTTGTAGCTGTTCTTCTTCACTATAAACCACTTTTAACCCTCGCAATTCCTCCGCACCATCTTTTAAATCCAGTGGAACGACTTCCAAAACTCCACATACATCAGCTAGCGTCTGCAAAACACAGCAGGCTCCGTCAAAGGAACACAAAGTAAATCCGGAAAAGCATTTACTGGAAATTCATTGGCCTTGAACTCTACAATAACACCATGCAAGAAAATGATTGCAGATTAACTTGCCTTCACTACCACACAACTTGTCAGATAGTCTTCAGCATACCGATCTCGATAGCCCTTCAACAAGAACAACAAATATCACAGTAACGATCAGAAGCGACATTTCTCCAAGCTTAGAAAATCAAAACAAGGACCGGGTTTGCCCAAGTCTCGAAGCCAACCTTTGCAAGAGTCAAATCGTACTGCCATAGTCCAGATTGTGTTCGAGCTGTCACAAAGCACCTGAAAGAATGTGATGGTGCCATCACATGTGCAAAACATAACCCTAAAACACATCAGAGATCGATCTTTACGAGAGCAACATATCGAACAGACGTGAATCAGAAACCCTCAACACAATAGACCACCTTATTATCATTCAATTTTAATCGCTATTAAAACATTACAACTTACAGACGATAGTCACAAAAAGCTCAAATACCACAAAGGGTAGTCTTCATGAATCATACTCCAGAATTCTATGCGTAGGTAAATAAGGCCGGCAAAAATAAAATGTTCAATTATTACCCCTAAAACAGAGCACATTAAAGGACAAGAGCAGAAACCAACCTGTGATTCCCACGCTTGGGCGGTGTGGAGGCTAAGGCACCTGTAAAACCGATTCCGGCTACTTGTACACCTGACACACTCAAGGACACAGTAATTTGGTAACTGAAATAAGTCAAAACTTGTGCAATTCAAATCGAATACTCAAAACAACTAAGCACCGGCATCATAAGACTTCGTTTTATCAAAGAAGTCTTACCACGTTTTCAGCAACCTTCATTACCAGCTTACCACTATCTTCGGATGATTATAATATGACGGCATAAACCCATCATTAACATGTTATCTGCCTTGTTATCGTTAACAATTTAAGCTCTATGATGTGAATTTATCAACAAGACTTGTAAGAAATCTTCGTCTACATGATCCACAGGACTAGTCGAACAACACCGTTGATAAAAGATACAAGATATCAGTACCAGGCATTGAGAGTTTCAAAGCTCGATTATACGCAGCCATCGCAATTTCGTCTGCAGTTTCGCGACAAACAGACTGAGAGGGAACCTGTAATGAAGAGCTAACAAGGCAACAATCAGATTTCCTGAGCAACAATTGATTGCATTAAACTCCAATTCCAATGATTCTCTTTTTCTAAAATCTAGATGACAAGATTCTGGCTTTTAGATACAAGAAGTGCTCTGTACACAACGTGAACCACCAATATCCCAGAATGCCAAATAAGCTACACTACCAGCAAGTTATGAACCATTATAGCTAACTGAATGTAAAATCTAAAATTCCAAACAATACCTTAATTTATAAAAAAGTTAAGATCAAAATAGATTAAATTAATTTAACAAATCAGTAATACCTTGCCCAGAAGTTGAACCATCGAAGCCCTGGAATACGGGACTGTGGCCTCCAACACCGTGTTCGAAGCTCGTGGCACTGACAGCAGCCAACCTAGGGCCTTTACATTCAACATTCAAAACATCCCACCTTTGAGAACATAAACTTTACAATATTGTCTTTATCAGAAGTATCTACGTAGTCTACACAAAAGCAAGACAAACAACTGAAAACCCTCAGCTCATCATAAAGAAGCGAGAGAATTCTAATCCTTCAAAAAGCCGTAACCAAGTGCAGACAACAAAATCGGCAAGTACAGGGACGTGTAAATCACAAAGCTGACCTGGGCTGCGCCACCGGAGAGGCAGAGGACAGCACGGGTGGGTGACGAATGAATAGCATCGATCACCACACGCAGTGCGGGGTCCATCCTGCCCCTTATTCCTTTTCTATGGAGCTCACACTTGCGACTGCAATTGAGTCAAGGGATTTGCGATTGGAATGAATTGTCGTCGCACAACTGCCATCTATCAACCCAGTATTGCGGACAGCTAGACAACATTCACGAGCTGCATCATACGCCCCCGCTTAAGATTCAGTTCGCAAATGCTGAAACAGACATAAACGGGAAGACACCGCAGATTATTTACTCCAATCTCCACTCAACCGCCACAGGGCGTCGCACCCAACAACAACAACAACAACACTAAATTCAATTTGCCAGATTGGCAGAGAGAGTAAATAACCAACAACCATACACTAACGCGCAATCTCGATCAGACCTCAAGAGTCGAACAAGAGCTAAACATTCCTAAAACAAAAACCCTACATTCGCTTTAATCCTGAATGTTCGTCAACTCCGCTCAAGATTCGGAAACTCTTCAGAGATTCAATCTCCACCCCCTAATTCAAGACTTTCCTTCCAAACTCATCCTACTCTCCGCATTACAAAGCATATTCCAAAAACCTGCTCACGACTGTAACAAACACAAACCATCGCCCCCTCACCAGTTAACGATTCACCCCTATCGCAATTCAAACGTGCTGCAGTGACGCAGCCAAGATGCAACGCAACATGAAATGCTCCAAAAAAAATAAAAAAACATATTCAACACTGCAACCCACACACCCCCCGGGAATTGAAACTCACTCAACGCTGTAGCATTGACCAACACGAGCAACAGGCGACAAAAAAAATGAAGAAAAATAAAAATAAAAATAAAACCCATACCCACAACGGTGCCGGGAAATGGGGCGTAGAGGAACTCTCGAAGCATGGGGATAATCGGACCAAAGCCACTGGTGGGTCACAACCAGCACAATCCCTTACGCACCTGGGGAAACGACCCGGCGCGTTTACTTACTCATGGAGAGTAAGAAAACCTGCGAGACAATCTTGCAAGTCATTCATTTACAGCGATGAATTCGGCGAAGTGACGGGGATTCCGATGCTCCGTCGACTGTCCCCGACTGATCCGTTTTTTCTTCTTCTTCTTCGATTGGCAGTTGTTATCGCTCCTTCGGTCACTCACTCACTCACTCTGTGCTACCGACTTTTGACGCAACGCTGCAGCATGGACACTGCCCCAGAATGTGCAAACACTATGTCCACTTTCCGTGCTCACTTTGCTCTCCCTTCCTCTCGCTTCCTTGTTTGTTTGTTTGTTTGTTTGTTTTTTTTTTTTTTTTCTTCTTCTTCATATCCTTCTTCTTCTTCTTCTCACTTCTTCCTTGTCTTTGCAAATACACAAACACAGACAGATAATGGCTGCATTGGTCAATGGAGCAATGGGCGAAGGCCAAAACATCCCAGCTCACACAACAATGGCGCCCATTTCCTTGTCTAATAACACCCATGGCAGGGCCTCGTTCGGTTGTTGGATTTTCTGTTGTTTGTTTGTTTGTTTGTTTGTTTGTGTTGGCTTTATTGTGTAACCCTAATTTTTTTATTGTTTTGTATATGTAATAATCATGCACATGAACACACATACTTCAAATAAATAAATAAATCTAGTACATCAAACATGTTTAGTTTGACGTCTTCCTTTTAAGTTCACATTTACTACCTAGTTGATCTTTGTTTTTATGAACATGTCAGAAGATTCATCTTACTTGAAAATTCAGTTTATTTAATGTAGATCCAAGAATTTTTGTTTCTTTTTATTTCTTGGGTTATTTATTGTCTAAAAATAGGTTTGCAATTCTTATAGATAAATATAAAACAAAAATCATTTTCTACTTATTTTAAATATAAATATAAAAAATTTAAGGGTTTTTCATTATTATTTTTTTATCTGAACCTATTTGTATTATATATTGACTCAAAAAATTATTCAACATTTTCAAATTTGACTTAATTTAATTTTTTCATGAAATAGAGCAATAAATAGGTATTAGGTCCAATAAGTAAAATTGTTAGTATTTAGTTTAAGAGACTTTGCTATAGAGGGTTCTTATGAAATAGGTTTGTAGGTAAAGAGTTCTTTATATATGCATGTATCATTTATTAAGACAATTTTTCAACTCCTTGCTTCTTACTCATTGCAAACACTAGTGTGACATCTATTTTCACTCATCATTGCACCACTTTATTTGTCAATGTACTTCTTTTGTTTCTTTAACTTTGTAAGACATTGTTGCATTCTTAAGATGTCAATTCAACTTGGTATGAATCTTGTAAGAATTGATTACATCTACAGAAGGTGTATCCCATGATGTTTTGTTGTCAAAGGGAGTTGACAACAAGTTCTATTTGATGTTGATAATCAAAAAGCTATGTGCAAATAGATACTATAGTTAAATCTTTTTCAAGTCTTATTTATAACACCAATATAGTTGTGTGTGTTAATACAATACAATATTTTCTTAAAGAAAATAAATTGCAAGTGATACCAAAGACCAAGAAGCCACTATTATTATACTATCAATGTCAAGTGTGTTTAGACTTTATCAACTAATATAAACAATAGATTATTAAAGATGAAAAAAAAAAAAAAAAAAAAAAAAAACATATATAATTTGATGAAACCAAGATAAATTAGTTGAGATTAGATGGAAAAGTTTAATATTAGAAGAAAATAAGAGAAGCATTATTTAATTATACTTATCAAGTAATTATATACAATGGTGTTTTGATTATGGTCTAGGGTTGTATGACCACGTATGGCATAGATTACTTCACAAAGATTGAAGGAAATACAAATACAAACTTATATTGTAAAATTATGCACAAAGAGCTCATAGAAATCTCAAGTTATTATAACCTAAGTGCTAATGATGTGATTTTCTAGCAAGACAATGACCTAAAGCAAACTTCCCAATAGACAAAAAGTGTTTTATTGAACTTAGTTTGTGAATGTTACAATAGGTAACATAGTCTTTAGACCTCAATCCAATAGAATACTTGTGAGAATATATCAAACATTGTTTGAATGCTCAACCAAAACAATCATTTTGGATATTGGAGTTATAGAAGAAGATAGAGGAAGAATAGAAGGGAATGAATCAAGTAGTCATTCTCAATTTTATAAATAGTGTGTCACATTTTTGGACGAAATTTAAAGGCAAAAAGAGAGCCAACAAAGTATAGACTTATAAGTTAAAAAATTGTCTTAATGTCTTCTATGTACATATTGTCTTATCATTCTTTAGTAACACAACCAATTAATGTGATTCTTATACTAGACATAAAATTATTTGTATTTAGTTTATTATTGAAGCCATAGACCATTTATAATTATAGAGGAATTTCAATAAGACAAATAGTGGAATTAGTACAAATATTGAGGCAATTTTTTGTGTCACTATAAATTATATTTTAAGTTATTTTTATATTTTTATTGAGATTTATTACTACGATATTTTATTGTTCAAATATTAATAAAGAATCAATCATATATAAAATATTTTTTCTTATTTATTTAATAGATATAATATAAAAATACATACATATATATACTTTTTAAAAGAAATTAAGTTTTTTCATATTAAAGTCATAATTTTTTATAATACAAAGGTTTATGTTTCAATTATCTAAGAAAACCAATAATTTTTTTTAAAAAAAATAATTCTAAGATTGTATGTCTATAATAACATAAGTTTGTACATGTAACAAAAAACTTATTTTTTACACCACTTCTATTTTTTTTTATTAGTCTTTAGTTCAAATTTATTGTTATTTGATTTATTATCTATATCAAATCTTAATGTTGTATCAATCAATACATATTAATAATGTCATTCATCACATACTATCAACATTCTACTTCTTTTATTTTTACACTTCTTATACTTACATAGATTTAGAAGGCTTATGATATATCATTAATTGTGGATTAATCAAAATCTCATGTTTAATAGTTGTGCATATTATACACAAAGACAATCCTTTATATTTAAGTTGATATACAAGAAACAACACAAAGAATGTGTTAAGTATAATGGTGATCCTAAGTTTGTATTCAACTACAACTTGATCTTATCCATTTTCTTAAAGTTAGAAATTAATCTAATTTATACTATCATGGATAATGTAGATCAATAACATTTGGACAATTGCACAAGTAAGACAATGAAAAAACTTGAAAACTGGGACTTTATTTAATAAGATATCTTATATAAAAATCAAATTATAATACAAAGAATAAAACTATCAAATAACTTCTATGATACATTATGGAAGTTTCTATACATAAAATAAATAAATAAACAAATCATATTTTTTATATGGTTCTTTCAAGAAATAGAAAAAGTCTACAATTGATTATAATATATATACATATTTATTTATTTATTTATATTTTTAATTAAAGCATCCAATAGTAATTATTGTTTATTATTTATTCTTGTATTGTTCTATTATTATATCTTTATCTTCTTTATTTAATTGCTCATCATGTCACTTGTTCTTTTATGCAATTATTTAAATAACTTCTTCATTATATTGTCTCTCGCATTCATAATACATAGTTGCTATTTTGTTCCTTTTTACTACCACACATATCACTTATTCTTTTGTACAAAATATATTCCCTTGATGTAATTATACTTTCATCTCATTCTTACATCTTTTATTTCTAAGTAGTCACATCATACACACTTGGCAACAATAAACAATTAATCATCTATTATAATATAGCATGGTTATAGTGTTGATACGGACATGTTGAAATACAACTCATTGAGATTAAATGCTTAAAACAGGCAACATAGAGACAGAAAATAATGGATCTTTACATTACGGGCATGACTGTCATAACCAAATTATTGATTTTAACACATGTTGACGTTAGGGAATCAACATATTTATGCATCCGAGTTTTCTTGGAATCCTGCAAAGCGAACGTTTCATGTGAGGATTCGACAGACAAAACAGGTTTGGAAATCGCATCTCAGCATCCTTGACTGAGTTTAGCATAACTGATTGTAATTTTGATAAACTAATTCAGAAAACAAGAGTTGTGATAAAAAATACCAAAGCTCCCAGAGCAACAAGAGCCCTGATCGGACTTCACCGTCTGCTTCCAGAACATATGCCATCTGCGCGTGAAGTGGTTGCCCATAGTGAAGGATGTGTTGAACCTATTTTTTCCCATTAACCTCCTCTGTAGAATTTATAATATTTAAAATCGGCAAGCAGCTCAGATTAATGTGCATTTCTAGCACACAAATTCAAAGATGAAGCTGGCATGATGCCCATCGCGTATCATTCGTACAATATTTTCATAAACTCCAGAACGTTCAAATCATAAAGACACTAAGTCTATGAGCCTCAGCGTTAACATTAAAGCAAAGAGCTCGAGAGACACCTTTTTCCAGCGGCTGACACGTTGGAAAAGTAAGAAACTTGTTGAGGATGTAGAAGCGTCATCCTGATCGAGTCCAAAAAACCAAAACAGATTGTATTTCGATTGCTTGCTCCCCGTAAACTCGGTTGCGAAATTCACATTCTGACAAAGAAGGATAGGCATCCCACACACCTCGCTAGCGGGCTGGTAGAATTCAACAAACCCAATGATGCGAGAACATGCAGAGTTCCTATACCTGGAAAAAAATAAAACCAATTTTCTAGACGCCATAGCAAAGCCATCTGTGTATGGTAACGTGGGTTTTCCTTGATGTTTTCAATCACAGCCTGTGCACGAAATGTGTCCGACTTGATGCCAAACATTTGTGTGCCTGCACATTAGTTTCGAAGCTTACAAGAACATGGTTACTTTATCACGACCACATTGCAAACGGCCCTAAAAGCATGAGTGTAAAAGACATGGAGATCTGCGTCATGTCCAGTGATGGTACCTCAAGTAAAATACTTTTACACAAAGCATAGAAAGTACTCACTCCAGAAATCTATAACTAACCAGAATGGAACCAACTGAAATCGAAAAGAAAAGCAAAAAACAAGATCTACCAAGCTAATTTGATTAATCTGCGATGAACTTACCTCCAACATTGACAGATAATTTTTGAGATGGCAGCAATGGAACCACGTCTATGTCTATTCTGTGTATGATCAACTGAATCTTAACGTGGACGAGGAAGAAATTTTTAATCAAATATCATAAGAAAAGTTATGCCTTTTAAATTTAAGAGATAGCAAGTGGGGCAAAACCTTCTATCCAAATATCACCCTATATATGAAAATCTAAGAATAACATTCACTTACTTGGTTTTGAATTTGGAGGTCATTTCGTAAAAGAGAGAATAAAGAGTAGTAGTAGAAATTTCACAAATTAATAATCAAATATGTCCTCTAAGAATATAGTTGGGAAGTAAAAAGACTCAAGGGTCAAAGATCATGATGAATATTGGAATAGACAACATCTATTACAATTAATGGATAAATAAAAAAATTGGAGATTCTCAAAACTATACAAAAGTATAATTGTAATTCTTATAGAGTCTTTACTCTTAAAAGCCCACTTTAAAAGGCTATGGTTTAAAAGTATTATAAAAGTCTCTACTTGGTGAAGAAAAACTCTTTTTTAGAAGTGTTTGCCATTGAATATGATGTGAAATAAGATAAAGCCATGAAGTATATATATATATATATATATATATATGTATATTGTTGAAGGACTTTAGGTTGATTTTTTAAGAATAATACCAATTAAATAGGTATATATATATATTTAGCCCATTAAAAGTTTTAAAAGTCATAGTCTCTCACATTCTCTTCTATGTATAAAGACTTTCTTATATTTTTAAAATAATCTTTGTTATTTAACTAAATATAAAAATAAATAAATTTCAACAAGAAGATGAATTCTAAATTATAACATAATGCATTATTATATTATAATTTTTAAAAATTTATAATTAATAAATAAGAATAAATTAACAGGCTTTAAAAAGTCGCCATTTACTTGTAAAATAAATAAATTTTATTAATCCAAATTATTTTTTGCATTGCATAGTATAAAAACTTAAATTTTTATTTTATTTTAATATGTAATGCATATTAGAATATAAATAAACCTTATATAAAAAATAGAAATTTATAAATATTTTTAAACACAAATAAATATAATTATTAAATCAAAATTATAAAGCACTTTCAATCAATTGTAATTTTTTTTATTTGTTGATATAATTACATATATTCATGTTTAATTCCTTTCAAATTTTAATATGTTTATTTAATTTTCTTTTAAAAATCATATAAAATTAACTTCATAAAAATCTACATATGCATTGTAATGAAGAAGGTCTTTGAGTTGTAGAATACTAAACACAAGAACCAAAATAATGATAAAACATATAGTCTGTCTATTAACATGGTTAATGATAACAACCATTGATGCATTATTCAACTACTAGTTTAAACATATAATACACTACTAATCTGAAGAGTCCTTTTTATATTATACGAGAAACATCAGTATTCTGGAGACCACTAGAAGCTGAAGACTTACACGGACTTAACTAGTAAACATGTTAAAGCTCACAAGGCGTCTAAGCCCGTGTTAAGTCCACGTAAGCCTCAACCGGTCCTGACGCAACTCTTAAGACGAATGAAGTTATGACGAATGAAAGGACGAGGAGGTCAGTTGACTTAGACGGCGTCGTATGAGGACGAAGGGAAACGAACGATACATTTATCGTCGGAGAAACGACGATGGACGAAAACATTGAGGCTCCTTCGTCATCGCGAAGCGTTTTCCGGCCGGGACGCTGTGGTTGGTCCTCAGGGGGTTGTCATGCCGGAGCCTTACCCGTCCCCACCCAGCCCGTGATTTCTGGGCGCACGCGCGCGTCCCCTGTACGGTGACAGGGCTACGAGTAGCCCGGCTGCCGCCGTGCCGCGAGTAGCCGTCGACGCACGGCACGTCCCCGAGAGGGAGAGAGCGAGCGAGAGTGAGTGTTGCAAGAGGAACTCACCTCGCGCGTAACCCTGACGATTTTAGGAAAGTGTGGCTAGTGCGCGCGGATCTTGCTTTGCTGCCTGTGTTGTTAGACATTCCTCCTATGTGCGCCGACGTCGGCAACGAGTTGCGGTGAACGTTCGTCCTTGTGTGTGTGTGTACTGCCTCCGTGGGCGCATGTCTTAGCGTTCTGAATCGGTCGTGTTACGGGTGGTTTGAAGGAACTAGTATGGTGGAGTGGTGAATAGTCGGGCGTCGTGGGATCATGGCTAGGTGAGGGGTGAAAAGGGTAGCGGCCATGGCCACAGCATAAGAGTCACTTCCATTGTGTTCACGGTTTCGTCGTTCGGCTCTTTTGCATAGTTTGAAGCGACTCCCTGATTCTGTTTGTGCGTCAGATTTCAGTGCGAGTCTGTTGCTTTTATTTTTATTTTTTTCTGTCTATTTATTTATTTAATTTGGTCATTTTTCGTTTTTCGTTTTGTTTTTACTTTTTTTCTACCCGGAAGTTCGTTGGAGGTTTGAGGACTGGAGTGAGCTCGAGTGAGCTTGAGTGAGCTCGAGAAAGATCTTGGGAGTCTTGCTAGAGCTGCTGGTATATAATGGGCTGGGACCCAGCTTTGGAACTAGTTGAATCGTAGCTGCTATGCACGGGTGCCTGGATCATGCGCATTTTGAGGTCTTTGCGGCCAGATTCCTCCTTTTTTTTTCAAGCCCCGGCGGCCACTCTTTTGAAGCCGTGTTCTTTCAGTGACATTGAATGACAGCGGACGCTAGAACTTACTTATGCGAAGAGTTGGAATCCCGCGTCGTCTTTTTCTACTTACTTCCCCTATCGAAGGTTTGAAGGTAACGGCAGCAATTGTACAAGTCTGTGGGTGCAGCCAAGCCAAGGCAATACTAAGCCTGGTTAGTGACAGTTATCATACTTGGGCATTTGTTTTTGGAAAGCGAGCTGAAATGCGAGTGATGCGAGTAGGACGAACCATCGACAGAGCGGTGTGGCTGGCCAAGCGCGGCGGAGAGTGTCAACGATTGGATCCTGAAATAATGGCCGGCATTTCGTTTCTACAAAATCAAAATTTGTATTGTTGCACTTTATAGTCAACGACCTCTTCGCTCGAGCCAAGAAGTGAGTACCTGAATTGAATTTTTTTAGTTGTCTTCGCGTTACTCCACCTGGTTTGCCACTCAGGACTCGTAATCTCATTTTGCTTTTGAGCTGAAATCTATTGAGTTCTAAATGCACGATTTGAGTATGATGTGCTACCACCTGGAGCCAACGAAATTCTTCTAGTGCTTCCTCATTTGCTGCAAAAGCTGATACTGAGTTACGAGCTGCAAATCCACTCAAGCATGCTCAGTTTGATTAAAGAAGGCTGCGTTTGGCCTTTCGCTGTATTCGATCCCAACTAGGCTTTGCCAATTCATCGGTATTTGATTAGTTCAGTTCTAGTTTGTCATGTGGCATGAAAAACCTTCTTACGCCTCAGTTTGAATATTGTGCTCATATTGAAGTTTAGAAGTGGTAGGTGTTCGGAAACTGCTGTCTTATTACTGGTTGAAGCCGGTAGTGTTTGGATCAGTCACGTCTGTCTAAGTTCCATTCGTGAAGCATTCGAATGCTCTCATATGTCTTCGTTGTCGTGTATGACATTTGTGACCAATTTTAGTGGTGAAGGGCTATTAATTGAAACTGCACCCGGAAGAGATATTGTGAGTGAAGATTAGAAGGTCGAATTTCTCACTGAGCTTCTATGAGTCTAAGCTCTATTCACCATTTAGAAATATTCAATCCACGCAGTAGTGTATCCCCTAGGTTAGGTTGTATTGCATCGATGTAGATGATGGTGTGGAACTTATCATCTCCATACTTTCTACTTGATTACATTTGATATCGTTTAAATTTTTCAGAAAATTTTACAAACTTTATGCATTGCTTCAGAAAGCAGGGCTGGACAATAGAACTGTAATGAGCTTCGGGAATAGAAGGAGGCGTCGCAAGAAGGACCAGGATGCAAGATTCTCATTTCTCTGAGATGCGGTGGGACTCAGAGATCTCGACTGCTGCGTTTTGTGATTCTCTAGATCTGGTATATTTTATTCCCTGGTCGATTTGATAGTCAGGAAAAGAATAACCAGGTGGTATCTTCTCTCCACATCCAAGGAGATAATTCTGGTGGTACTTTGTGGATTCACATGTCGTATTGAATGATTGCTAGGTGCGGCAATCTGAATGACCTAACCAGCTTATGTTGCTCATGGCTTGCAGCGGAGGCATATCTTACAGAAAAGGCAGTCTTTTGGGAGGGGTAAACGAAGGCCTCCACTACTCGAACCTGCTAGTGCTGAGTTTATTTCTGCTCTGGCCGCTGGAATCAATTCACGCCATACCCTCCAAGTAGGATGTGGGTTGTCTACCCTAGCCCTCGCTGCAGGTAGGATGAGACATTTATTCACCTTTTCATTCGTTGTCATCCTTTTTTATACTGCTTTCTATCCATTTTTTTAGCCAATTGCAGAAAACGAGCATATTTTGTGCTGTATTCTTACATTCTATTGCTTCTGCGACAGCTGCGAGAGCCACCAACAGCTGCTTGTTGTCTGTGTATCATGAAGCAGAGAAGCAGCAAGTTGTTAAATATTTTCTTAAGGACGCAGGGCTGCTCAGTTATGTGGAATTTGTTACAGAAGATCCCTTGACTTATATTCCTCACTTAAAAGGTAACCTGTCCTTGTGCAGGGTCTTTATTTCATGATCAATCTATGTGGGAGTAATTATTGATGAGCACCAAATTTAAGTCCTTGGTTAGGGAAGTAGATCTAGAACAACATGATCCATGTTCTCATATTTTTCATGCTTTCTAGGGTGTTCATTCTTAAATACTACTGTGGTGTCTTAACTATATTGTACTTAGAAGATGCATGATTAGGAAAATATAACAGAAATTGATTTGATAATGTGGCATGCAGGTCTGGAATTCGTGTTATTCTCAGGGCAGCCTGAGCAATACATTGAGCTTTTTGATCTCCTAAAGCTGAAGAAAGGAGCAATTGTGGTCGCAGACAATGCTCTAGATGACGCTACAAATGACTACATTCGACACGTTCGTAGACAACCAGGGGTTGAGTCTTCAACCTTACCTCTCAGTCGAGGCATTGAAGTTACCAAGATAGTCACTTGGGGAGCGTTCAATAGAGGGTGAGTTTCAATCGAATTCTACTATGGCCACCTTAAAACATACTTTCGCTGATATCCGTAATTTGCATATTTTAGTGTACTTGTGAGTGCACAGACCGTTCTCAATGAAGTACGGTGATGCCCATGATCATCAATAAATAGTTCTGCCGTTGACACCCTTCCGACGGATGCTGTGTTTGCCTTGTATTTCTATTTATCTGTTATTTTGGCTTTGACGAATTATTTTTTTTGTTTTGGACTAGTCTTTACTAACTCTAAACTGCAAATGGCATGTAGCTTTGTGTTTTGTCCCAGTCATGTTGGTTTTGCCTATTTATACAAGTGTTCACCGCAGGTTGTGATTCCTGAATCTTAGCTGGAAATTTATCTTGTATTTGAATACGCCACAAAATGGGACTATTCCATCATTTTGATTCATCAACGTCTGACTTTGCACAAGTTAAGTGAAGAACAGGGCAATTGATGAAACTACAGTTGTTCTGATACTTGTTCTTTGCGCGCAGGAGGAAGAAGTTCGATGGCATTGAAGAGCTGATGAGTGATAAGGGCTACATGCGCCGGCTTGATTTACAGAATGTAACTGTTTCTAGATCACACAGCAGCCCTCGGTTTTCTGCGCATTCCGAAGACTTTCCTACGCATAGCTCTGATTTCGATGCAGAGGATGACCACATCCATTCAGAGCCAAGCGAACCTGAAATGGTCGAGAGTGGCACGGCGCACAAGATGAACACTGATGGGCTTGATGAGAGCGAATGCGAAACGCCAACAGGACAGGATTCAGATAAGCTGGAAAGATCTAAACATGGTGAGTCACTTAGGATCTTACAAAATATCCCAATCCCACTTTTTAAATATAATATTTTAAAACCTCAACGTTAATGCAAGGATAAGTTTTTTAAGTAATTGGATTGTATCCTAGTTTTTTTGCGATCATATTGCTTCATGATCTATCGACCTTTTAGGACGTATTGAATTTAATTTTGGAAAATGCACGCAGATGTCTATTCAGAGTCTTCCTGAGCAGTGACGGATGCAGTTAGCTGCACTTGGTCGAAGTTCTGATGCATGATTGTCATCTGCAGGAGAAGTAAGGCGTGCAAGTTCGGGTTTAATACATGTTGAAACACTCTTACGTAATATCAACAATGAACTGTCTGTGGTCTCACCACACCTTGAGGCATCAGGGGACCTTGAGCTTGGCATTCCTCATAAGGTTTGTCCTCTATATTCTGATTATTGTGTGCTTGAAGGAATGTGTAGTGTTGTCAGTGTGTAGCTCAAGCTGCGAATCTGGTTAAGCAACAATGAGTTCATTGATAAGTATTTGACTTTTTTGTTCTGTCTGTTCTTACAAAGGCGAGATTAGATTGTTTTACTGTGCCTCTATCCTCAACTGAATTACGTGTTTGCAAACCCAAGCTTTTCGTACCATATCTTCTGCTTGTATTTGTATATATGTTGAAGGTTAGGTATGTGTTTCTTTGCAGAGGTGTTTACATCGGTATTTGAGAGAACCAGTAATTAAGTTACTTGGAATTTGCTCCAACTTTCAGTCTGCTGGTTTTGGTTCTAGTTTTCTTTTCTTCGATTTGTTTGTTTGTGGCCTAAATAGATAAAGGCAGTTGCCATATCACAATCTGTTAGTTATTTTGTTTCTTGAATCCTTAATGGAACCTTACTTTATGCTAAGCTTACAAGATCACATGATCCCATAAACCCTGAACTTTTTATACGACAGGCTTCTTTCCATGGCCTATTACGAATGTAATGCTCGTTTGACTTGCTCGCCTGAGTTTGTTATTTGTTTCTCTTTGCGACCTCGTGGCATTTGAATTCATAGAATTGTGCACTTCGTCTGTCTAATCAGACCTGCGTGGCAAACATGAACAGGTCTTTGATGTTCAAGACTTTGCCACAAGACTCCACTCGTGGCACTTGCTTGTAAGTCTTCTATTGCACTTTTTTCCAAGTTATTTAGCATGTCAATCCTTATTAAAACCATGAATTTACATTTTAATCTTCATCACTTGGCTTAATTGTAAGGAAATCGTCTTTTTTTTTTGTCTGTTCCTTTTTTTCGGTGTATGTGGATCCAACCTTTAGTAGTGATTCTCCTATTTATTATATAGATTTTATTAACACTTTCATGTATATCCTTCGCGCTTGCAAAAGATTCAGCGAAAGTTTTTGGTTCTATTGTATGGTTTCACTTACGTCACGGTACTGCAGTCTGAATATGTTTTCTCTCTATGTGGCGAAGATGCGATTTCAATCTGGGCAGCTTCCAATTTTCGATGCGTGAAATTTTTTCCAAGTGTTGTTTCTTTCTCGTTTGGAGGGTTCTAGAAATGTATGTGGAAACCATTCGTAGGATTGGTGCTAATTGGAATTGGACTTTTTAAAGGAGCTTGATTTTGTGAGCCAAATGATTTGGGATAAAACAATCTACTTCTCCTTTTCAGAATCTTTTTAGAAGCAAATAATCTGAACGTGACATTGAATTTTGTTCACGGTATTTCTATTGTAACTCGTTTCTGTTTGACATACTTGCAGATGGACTTGGAGAATAATGGTGCCTCCTTGCCTTCAAGTGACGCATCAATAGCTGACAGAGTTGCACCTGAACCTCTCGATTCTGCTGGGGATGTGCTTGCTGTGGAAGACATTTCTTTTGTCTTAGAAGAACCCGCCTTTCAGGTTCATTTCCAAAATGATAATGGACAAACACAGGTGACAGTAGAGGGAGATGATCAAGACCAGTTTCTCTTTGACCTCACACATGCATTTAAGGAGACGGTCGTCAGGTTTTCTCCTACTTTCACTTCGATTCTCTCCTCTGTATGCCATTCACAGAAATCGGCATATATTTCTGTTTCCCAGTTCAACTTTGGGAATTGTATAGTGTATCTGTCTTATCTTCTGTTTGCTCTGGTGTCAGGTGGTTCTAGCCGTCGACCATAAGATTTGTTTATTGAGTTTTATTTGAAGACTTAGTTTTTAATGTGTGCCAAGAGCATCATATTTAAATTTCAGCTAATCTCTTGCTGCGTAGTATCTGCTTGGGTATGACTGATATGAATTAGCATAAGCTTGGTTTTGAGTGCTTCTACCTAGTGTTGTTACTGACCTCTAGTGTTGTGTCCCTTGCAGTGTCAAAAAGGCCAGAATATCAACGCAAGAGTCACGAGTATTAGATGTCTTCCATGTGGTGGATGGGAGAACCAAGGGACCTCTCTCAGCATCGCGCGAGGACGAGGTTAGGAATCGCATATTGGATCGACTTAAAGAGCGTCGCGGGAAACTGAAAGACCGTTGATTGATGGCTTGACCCTCCTTCACTATATGTGGTCAAGATCAGCATATCATATGCTTATATGCGGATTGCTGTAGTTCGCAAGCTATTACCCCCCTTATTAATAGTCTTTTCGCTTAGGTGAACTTTGAAATTTTTGTAATATACAGTGCTTGTGACAAATGTAAAAGAGATATCTCTGGAAAAGGAATTGTCAATCAATTGCTGACAAACCTATACTCATCAATCGATTGCGGTGGCTGGGTTCTTCTAATCTATCAGCCCAGGTGAAGTACAGATGTGTTTAAGACCTATGTCATTCCTATGCAACTGACATGTCCAACAGAACTACATCGTTGCAAAAGCTACAATCTCATTTTGTTGTTCAGGCTTTTTATCTGGTTGCCATCACTCACTTATTAAACTCCATCATAAAAACTGTATTCAACGGTGCAGCTTCAGATGCAAACATTGTACCGAAACATTTCGTGGATGCATTGAATTTTTTCTAGCACTTTTAAAATAAAAATAAAAATAAATAAAAATAAATAAAAATAAATAAAAATAAATAAAAATCCTTACCCACTTGTTGATTATCTTCGTTTACAACAAGATATAACAGGCCTGACAAAGTATTCAAAAATAATAATAATACAAGAAAACAGTAGAAAAAATTTTAATTTGAAAAATCCGGGAGTGAAAAGGTTGAAAATAATAAGTTATGACCATACAAATTATCAGTATTATGTATATATATATATATATACATATTGAATAATAATAATAATACAAGAAAAAATAATAATAATACAGCCTTGTCATATGTTTCTTTGTTTCTGAAGTTGTTCCTTCTTGTCTTGGTTTGGGTCGGTCGATGTGGTCAAAAATTATTCAGGATTTGTCTTGTAGTACATTTACACAATAGTTTTGTTATAAAGCAGAAGCATTATTTTTTAGTTTTTAAATTTTTTAAATTTTCTTTTAGTGTCTCTTATTCTCAAGGTAGTATAAAAGGTTTGGGAATAATTGTTTAACTTCTTGAAGTATTCAAACCTCAACAGTGCTTTGATAGTATAAACTTTTTGTGTTGTTTTGTTTTGTTTTTCCTTTCTTTCCTTTGTAATAGTGATTCAGGCAATTTACCTCAAGCATTTAAGATCTTACCAAATTTGATGTTGAGATTAAAAATTAGTTTACGACATGCTTTCTTTATAGTCTTTCGATGATACTGTTTCATTTTATAATCCAATTACACCTGAAAAGGTTATGACCTTACCATTTACTTCTCATGATAATCGAATAAATGTTTTGTCATTATCATCATCTCCTCACGTCCTTTAGTTTATGATGCCAAGGTATAGGCAATCCTTTATTAGCTCAATTATTGTTGTTTTAAATTTAAGTTATTTCTATCTAAACCTAACCATTCTATTAGCTTACAAGTTTAGGACTACCAATAAAGAGGCTTTAACATTACTTACACCATTATGAGAATTTTTTATGTCTTTATAGCAACCCATGGAATTGACAAAGAATTTTTTTCACTTCATTTTTTTAATGTGATACTTTATGTAAACTGTGACACCCTTCTTTATATTGATTCTTTCTTCTTTTCTACACTTTACCTTTCTATTTAAATTATTCTAAAATTTCAAACATATTGTCCTTCCATTACATTATGAAATGCAATGATGTGTTTGTGTTTACAAATGAACACACGTTTTTATTTATTTGTTTCCTTCGAATAACACAAACAAACATGAATTCATTTATTTATTCCTTGCATGAACGTCAACAACATGTTTTCATGTTTTATTTTGATAAATGACGAGGACCACATATCTTTTCAAAGATTATACTATTTCAAATCGTTGTGCCTCTTTATTGTTTCAGATAAATACCATTAACTAATCTCAATGGAATGTAAATTTGGCCTACATACACACACACACACACACACACACACACATATATATATATATATATATAGATTCTTTTTATGACAAGCATATAATTTAGACATATACATATAGCATATAAATATTCATACATACATACATACATACATACATACATACATACATACATAAATTTATAGTTTTAAGTATAAAAGAAAAGAATTAAGATCTATTATTTTTTTTTGCCTCTTTCCCATTCACTCAATCCACACAATTTTTATTTTTTATTTTATTTTATTTAGCAGAGAATGATAACACTATTCACAACTGAAGCAGCCATCTGGGATGGATATAAATCCTACAAGAGATTTTAAAAAAGTGGGGGTAGGGGGTGCAAATTTACCTTTGGAATGTTAGTGTGTCTCAGTGCAACAGAAGGGTCAAAAGAAGGCAAACCAAAGCATGGGTTGTGCCACCATCCCCCCCCCCCCCTCACTCCCTCCCTCCCTCTTGCTGGGTTTAGGAGCCATTCATCCCCCCATCCAGCCAGCCCCCCCCCCCCACCAAAACGACAAAAGTGAATTACTAAAATAAAAAAATAAAAAATAAAAATATCAACGCACACCATCCTGCTTCCTCTTTAGCAACTAGACCTGACAACAACAACAACAATCAAAGGCCCCTCTAAAAAAAAAAAAAAAAAAAAAAAAAAAACCCCCCCACTTGGGTGAAAGCCACGACCCTGGCTCTCAGTCCAGTCAAACGGATGAATGAAAGTAATACAAGACGAATGAACAGAAGCATGGATGAAGGAGAACATGGGCGTGGGGGACACGGAGTAAGGGGACCAGCCACAACATGGCACTGTACAACCCTCGCCACACAACCCACTTGCATGCTCAACTAAAGATCTTCTTCTCCTGCTTCTTCCACCACCACCCACCCTGATATGATATTAGATGCACTGTCAGTGGTGCTGGAAAGCAATAGCTGCAATAGCAGCAAATAGTAGTAATAGTAATAGCAGGGACTCACTCACTCACTCACTCACTCACTGGCTGACTGGCATGCATCCTTGCTGACTCACCCCCGCGGCATCAGCACTCTCACTCCCAACTCTGGACCCAGCCCAGCCCCGCTCCTCTTGCTATTTCTATTCCCCTGCTATTGCTATTTCTATCGCTATTGATATCCCTAAAGGTAGAAAAAAGATAAATAGTTAGAAACAAACAATCCTCCTTCATCCCCCACCCCACCCCCACTCCCTTCAGACGAGGAGGAGGGAGGAGGGAGGAGGAGGACGGGATTGAAGGCCACTCACTGCTCTACTGCTCAGCACAATCAGCAAGCACAGCAGCCCCCATGTGGAGGACGAAACGACGGCGACGCATTCCTGCACTAACTAGTTCTTCTCTACTCCACCAGCGAGAATAAAATAAACATATCATCATCCATATATTTCATATCATCATATATTTCCCGCGCACAGTTTCCGCGGATGGAATACTTCTCATTCCTGCTCTACCATAGGCGGCGGTGAACGTGGGACGAGTCTCGGATGGATGGATAAGGGGAGGGGCTGACTCTGTAGCGTGTGGCTCCACCGTGGCGAATCAGCATGGGCAATGGATTCTCACGCTGCGAACGGGACGAATGTTGTTGCGAGGGAGGGAGAGCGAGAGGAGCTGCTGGTGCTGGCTGGCTGGCTGGGGGCTGAGATTTAGATTCGCCCTTGCTGAAGGGAGAAGGGGGAGGGGGGGAGGGACAGACCAGACCAGGAGTGAACGGTTAGTAGTCGTGGACTGACTGGAAGGGAGTGGGGATAGAACGAAGGAAGGAAGAAAGAAAGGACGAAAGGAAGGAACGAAAGGGAGTTGCATGTCCATGCATACTCACGTCACTGGGCGGACGTCATGAGACGCGCCTTGACGCCAGCAGCCGCCTGCGCCGCGCGTCGGTGGGATTAGACAGGCAGACTGGTCGGAAGTCGCGGACTGACTGAGAGGAGGGAGGGAGAGCGTACACTGGGCATCGGAAGTGATTGATTCTAGGGTAAAATCCTTCTCTGGCCATCGGCTATACTTTTATTTTTATTTTTCTTTTCCCACCGAGTGTTGCTGTTCGGGAACTGTCTTGTAATTCGGAGCTTAAACTCGAATTGGTGACCGTAATGTAATCATGGAGTAGTAGTGAAGTAGACGGTTGTGGAAGGATTTTTTTTATATTTTATTTCTTCGTCTTTGGACTCAGAGTGCGTGCGTGGTGTGGTAAGCACAGTGCTGCTAAGTTGCGGTTTGAAGTTTTAAAGTGGAACTGGCGCGGTGGAATTAAGGCTGTAGAGTTGGGTTTCGGTTCCTGTGTCTACATTCGGAAAAATGGTTGTGGGAGTTTTGCGGAAGGTCGTGTTATGGGAGCGGAGTGGAGTTGTCCTCCATTGGAACCGTTAGGCCTTGGTTCTGTCCTTGTTGTGGTTTGCAGAGCTGCCCGGAGCCACAGGGTTGCTTGGACTGGTACGATGTGTTGAAATGGAGCTCTGGTGTGTAGTTTGAAACTTTTTATTTCGCGTTGGTGGATCGGGATTAGGAGCTTGCGGAGCTCATTCGATCTCGGAGTTGGCAGGTTGCTGTGTAGGTGAATTTGAACAAGGGTACTTTTGATTCGGTGGAATCGTGCTTATAGGGCTGATTTTATCTAGTGTGGAGGATTGGTAATCTTCCCTGTGAGTGTAAGCTGCGGGAGCTTATTCAGGAACCTGTACTGTATTTTAGGGGTTCAGTGGAAGTGGAAGACTGAAAGGATCAGGAAACAACTTTTTGCAACGATGGGCCTCAACACCATTGTGCTGCTCTTTGTGAGTTTTTGTTCTTCTGCGGCTGCCCTTTGAGGGGCCAACGCTCCTAGTGTGCATAGTTGAGCCTGCGGATATTCCTTTCCATTGGTAGGATTAGTGGGAACTTGAAGTCACCTCACTCAGTTGAGCTGGTACAACGAGGATTGCCCGTGCTGCTACTGTGAACCCGATGTTTTATAGCAGTGTTTGTATGGAAAAATTTGTACGAAGTAGACATTTATATTGTCGAGATTTATGGTAGTCGGAGGTTAAGTGCACCACGAGATTCCTTACCCCCTAGTACGGCTGTTCTCCAGGCTGCCCAGCGATCACGAGTTTAGAAAAATCGGTTGGAAGATGGAAGATACGCAACATGAGGAATGGTTACGGGATTAAAATTTTGTCAAGATCCGGTATTAGGTGACAAGTAAGACTTATAGTTTCTACTCTGACATTGCATTTGGAGAGAGTTGGTAAGATCCCGTAAAACCATCAGGAACAGTCCATGTTCGTTTAGTCATGGGGTTTGAAGACGAGGAGCCGTTCGGAGCGTCCTCTGGAGAGCAAAAGTATGAGTCTGCTATTCGCGCTAGGGCAGAATTGGACCGAGACTTTTTATGTCCAATTTGCCTACAGACAATGGAAGATGCTTTCCTTACTCGCTGTGGGCACAGTTTTTGCTACTCATGCATTATGACGCACTTGAACAATAGGAGTAATTGCCCTTGCTGTGCTGAGTACCTCACGATCGACCTACTTATGCCAAATTTCCTTCTTACAAAGGTAATCACGATTTACATTCCAATTTGTAAATTTTTGTCACCAGCATAGGGGTCGGAGAGTGAGCTTAGAAGTTGTGTACTTCTTGCTCGTGTCAAGAATATATCTGCCCGTATCGAAGGTGGGGCTATGTCTGAAATACACAGTGATTGCTTTTGTTGCAGTTGATGAAGAAAGCATCCGCATTCAAAATGTTAAAGAATGCCTCTCCAGCAGATCCACTACTTCTTGCACTACAACAGGTAAGCTCATTCAATGTTTTGGGTATTCTTCTATATATAACTTGAGTCATTTGACATCCGAAACGCATGTTTGCAGTATGGATGCTTTCCATGTATCTAATGATATTACGTGTTCGTAGGGGGCGGATTTGCCTGCTAATGAGCTGGATTCCTTACTGCTACTCCTTAATGAAAGGAAGCAAAAACTCGAGCGAGAGGAAGCGGAGTCAAACATCGAAATACTACTTGATTTTTTGCATCATTCACAATCACAGAAACAAGAAAAGTTGCAAGAGGTTTACCCTACGCTCTTCTCTACTTGGTCACTATTCTGTCTCAAGCAGGCCAGTCCTGGAAGTTTTATTTGTTCCAGATTCGTGGTCGTACAAAGTCGTGGTTTTTTCTGACAGTGGTTGACTCTTGGTTGGTTCGAAGTCAATTCTTTGGATTAATTCTTTCTTGTAACGAAGTCTGTTGCATCCCCTTTTTGTAACAAGTATCCATCGTTGTTGCTAGTGAGCTGGTAGGCATGCGGAGGTTATTGCGAAGCTTTTATATATATATATATATATATATATATATATATATATGGTGAAACTGAGTACATTTGGACCCTCATAGCATGTGGACGCTAAATTTCAGATTCACTACCAGTTGTATACAACACAGCGTCCAGAATTTGTTGACTTTGCAATGGGTGGAGCAGGTACAAAATGATCTTCAGTTTCTGAAAGATGACATAACCACAGTTGAGAGAAGGTTGCGCTGGCTTCTGTTGTCAAAGGATAGACACAGCAAACGCGTACGTGAGGAGTCTCCGTTTTCTGATTTAGATACTCACACAAGATCCGATGACGCGAGCACTGGAGGCGCAGTATCTGTATGGCGAGGTGGGCAGGGTGGTGCGTATACTCCATACAGTGAAGAAGAGTTGTACAGAGTGGAGAAGCCAAGGATGAGAAACGTGCCCTGCACTTCCGTTACCAAAGATGTAGTAAAGGCTGGTGGGTTACTTGAAAATGATCCATCGGTGGACTTTCAGGTTGAATCTGGAGGTGTACATAAAGTAGCTAAGAAGCGTAAAGTACTAGCACAGGTATGCTTCTACTGGTGCTCATAACTTTTAATAAGTTTTAATCCATCACATGTGTATTTGAGGATTCGAACGTTGTATGCTGGAAAAAAACTTCCATGGCTAGCGTCTTATTATGATGTGAGGATGGTGTATATATCTCAGTAAGATTTTTGTCATTTTTGATGAAGTGATGTTACCTTTTTATTGTTGATCCACAGTTTGAGGAATTGCAAGATGCTTATTTGTTGAGAAGACGACAAGTTGCTCTTAAGCAACGTCAGAAGCTGCAGCTGCAAGAATCGGTTAAAGAAAAGGAAGTGTGCAGAGATACAGATAAACACGATGATGGTTTAGGTGACTTCGAGTCCATGCTCATGGCATACACTCGCTACAGGTATATCAGTTTTTATTAGAAGGTTTGTATAGGTATTTTTGACACACGATTGTGATCGAAGCCTGGTCCTGAACTTGCAAGTTGATGGTTTTGCTCTTCTCATATCTTTTATTCATGTTCTTCGCCAAGGCCCCCAGTAATCATAGTTGTCCAAATCCATGATGCATGTGACCAGTCAACTTCGTGTTGTTGCGGAGCTTCATCATGGCGATCTTTTTCAAACTTCCTCGAATATAGTGTCCAGGTAATAAATCTGAAGTTCCCAACGTCAATCATTTTGCGAGACTTCAGAGTTTCTTGTCATTGGGTCCGCCTAGATTTTATATATTTCAAGGTGCAACCTTTTCTTTGCTGATATCTGTACGTAGTAATTGGAAGGTAATAAAAAAGTCGAATATATTTCTGTATCATTTGCAGCATTGATTTTGATGGAGATGATGAGCTGTTTGCAACCGCGGGGGTTTCAAGACGAATTAAAGTTTTTGATTTCGCAACGGTACTCTCGGGACTTTTGATTCGCTGGTCATCAGTTTCTCATTTGTTCCTTGCCTAGGCTCCATTCGATGCTCTTTTTAGACAGCCTGTTGTATTACAAAAGTTGAAAATTTTAAGACTTAGGCAGTTGCTAGTCTAACGTGGAAGTATGTATCTAACGGGTTGAATTGAATGCAAACAGGTTATGAATGACTTGACGGATGTGCATTGTCCTGTAGCGGAATTCCCAACACGATCCAAGCTAAGCTGTCTAAGCTGGAATAAGTTTAACAAACCTCTCATTGCTAGCAGCGACTATGAAGGCATTGTTACAGTATGGGACATCAACCGGAGTCAGGTAGGCTTGAAAATTTGGCCACTTAACATAGGTTCGTTGATGATGTCCTTAATTGTGGTTCCAGAATGAGCGACATATAGCTTTACAATGTGTCATATTCATTCGGATTTTTAAATTTTGACGCATTGCTTCGGATGTACGGTTTGTCTAAATATTTGACATGTTCTGCTTGCCATCATATATTACCAGAGTGTCATGGAGTATGAGGAGCACGAGAAGCGTGCCTGGAGTGTTGACTTTTCCCGGACGGATCCTTCAATGCTGGTCTCTGGAAGTGATGATGGCAAGGTCTGTCTCATGGTCTTTTTCTTGCCTTTCTGTTGAAATATGGTTTAGTGGATGTCTACTTTGATCGCCGTCCATAGCTTAGAAGCTGGTGATAAGGTTTTCCTCCCATGTTTTGGTTGCACGATTACGGGGGAATATAACAGAGACTGTCTCGTTGATTCTTACTCAAGTCAGCCGTTAAAAGCAGATGGGGGGATTTTGCAGGTTAAGCTTTGGTGCACTAATCAGGAGGCTAGTGTTTTTAGTATAGACATGAAGGCCAACATCTGCTGCGTTAAGTACAATCCTGGTTCAAGCAACCATATTGCTGTGAGTTTTGGTCTCTTCAATATAAGTGTCGATCACCTTGGCAAACCTCGATATTTTTACATTCTGTATATTTGCACTTTGTTTTCATGTTTTTTTGCATGATGTTTGTGTGATGGGACCTACTATTTCATTTTGATATAACTTGGTGAGATCACGGCCTCTTACTTCACTGTGGCCTTTACGGTACTGTTTGCAGATTGGCTCAGCGGATCATCACATATACTACTATGACTTGCGGAATCCAAGTAACCCTCTCGTTGTATTCAAGGGTCATCGGAAAGCCGTATCCTACGTGAAATTCATATCTTCGAATGAGCTGGCGTCAGCTTCTACTGACAGCACATTGCGATTGTGGGATGTCCAGACAGATTCTTGTGTATGTAATCACTTCCTCTAACTACGTCTTTTCTTGTATCATGATTGAGCATTATTCTGTAAGTATTACCTACAATCAAGAAAGCATTATCATAAATTATGAATATTGGAAATTGTTCTCGATGGAATTAGCGGCATCTCGTATTGCTGGAGTTTGCGGAGACATGCCATATACATTCGAAGGAGACAAAGTATTTAAACGGCAATATTGCGTGCCATCGTATTGCAATTTCTGATATAATATTCCTCTTGCAGGCACGAACATTCAGAGGACATACCAATGAAAAGAATTTTGTAGGTCTGACTGTAAATAATGACTACATTGCTTGCGGCAGTGAAACGAATGAGGTCGTTGTGTACCATAAGGTATTTCTACAAATGATATCACATCCTTGCTGTGGTGTAGGAAGTGTGTTGTGTTTTAGTTCTATGGTGAATTTTGTTGGACGTTGAAATGCCACTTTAAACAAACTGTTTTCCTCCGACTGGGAACATTTTATCTCAGATATTTGGTGGTGTTAATCACAGGCAATGTCGAAACCGTGTTCTTCTCATAAATTCGGCTCCCCAAACTCTGAAGATATTGAGGATGACGGTTCCCACTTCATAAGTGCAGTGTGCTGGAAGAGTGAGAGCCCGACCATGTTGGCGGCCAACTCGCAGGGCATAATCAAGGTTCTTGTACTGGCAGCTTGATTGATTTTTAAATGATTTGATTCATACAATATAGTCGAACTTTTAGCAGAGAAACAGTGTGTGCAGTTGCGTTTATATCCTCTGATGCAATAGAAGCAGATTTTTGCTTGGATTTATTCGCATCGATTCGTAATCCAAGTTATGAACCCCTTCACAACACCTCTGTGTTCTCTGGATATATGACGCTCTAAACCTGAAGTTGAATTCCGACGAATTATTCAATGATGGGGATGTATATTTTTATCACCAGAGAAAAAAGAAGTTAGCCCAAACATGCCAAACCACATCACTGCATTCGCTTCACTGTCTCGTTGGTTGTGAATGAAGATCCCCTACCTGAGTGCCTTGATATTCCTTATCTAAGGATGGATTTGTCGAAGTTATGCATACAAGTACGCCGCTTGCTGCTTAGTTACTTGCTTACCTGGGCGAAGTCAATCCATGGCCAGGATGGTAGATGACTTAGGGTAACCTGCTCCATTGCACTTTCGGGCCGTTTGACTCTAGTATCTCTCTACGGAGGGCATAGTTTGTGGCAGCGGAGGCTTGCGTTCGCGCGGCTCTCACCAAGTTCTAAGAGTTGAACTGCAAATTGTTCGTCGTTGTTAAGCTTGTTAAGAGCCCAAATCTAACTTATGCATTACCCAGTGTTCGGGTCACTGCAATGCTTGGCTGCATACTCTAGGATCAAACGGATCGAGCAAATCTGCCACATAACCTTCGCGTAAGATTCTACTAATAAATTATATCAGTGCGTGACGAGTGAAAAAAATTATTCGCAAAAGCTCAACTGAACGCCTTCAGTGACAAGTGGACCAAATTGTTCGAAACAATGTAGTTTTTTGCGAGCGTTTCCCACGCCTGGCATTTCCTGTTTGCTGAGAGAGCAGGCAGAAGTAGCAACCAAAATGCCAGTCAATCTGCACCACTCCTAGCGTCTCCTCTCGACCTCCAGATGTAAGGTATTCAGGTTATAAATAGTTAAGTTTTCTCCGTTTGCAGAAGTGCGCAAATCGTTCTATCATATTACAAATTTGTTCGTCACATAGACAAGCTTGATACAATCAGTAAAAACAAATCAACCCACTAAGTGAATATGCACTCCTGCTAGTAGAGGGTCCCATGTCCCTTCGATTAAACTGGCTTTAGGACTGGCTTCCCTCAGCTATACTTTTCCATCCACTCAATTAAATAGTCTGTATCAGTGAACCAGCTTTGGATATCTTGGTTAAGCCAGCTTCACTTTAAAAAGAGTATCGGCCCACATGTGTATTTTTTCTAAAGCTGCTCCTAAACTGGCACATTTGTGAACGCATTAAAAGTGTGTGACGTGCTCATCGCCAAGACTCAGAGTTTCTTGATTCGTGGCACCGATAGCCATGTTTCACGGTTAATATTCACAAAAATATCGAGGCGAAGGGGTGGGAACTTGCAGGGTGAGCGGTTTGCACTGTAAGAGAAAGTCATAAAAAAGAAGCAACTGGGCATGATGAACACCGCAGCACCAACTTGTACATCACTTCACATTCCGTCTACCATCACAGCGGTGTACACAGACAGTCCCAATCGCAATCTATGTGACATCCAATGTATTTGCCATGACACGGTTAGCACGCGTCGTCATTCCCTGCCCTGGTCCCAAACCACCTCATTACTCTATGCACACTTGCACACAATTCCGACCCCAAGCTTCGCTTTCGATACATGGGATTAAATCGATAACTTCATCATTACACGAATGCTATGCTGCACATTAACCATCAAATCCTCCCTTAGAACATAAATAATGCCCAAAAGACACAGCTAACATATGCAGTGTGCATTGTGAACGTCCGAAAGTGGAAAATCTCCAATTCTGCTCCTACGCTATAATTAACTGGAAGAAACAAATCTATGATTGCATCACAGTCGCATAACCATGATTCTTGGCGCACAGATGTACATGCGTTAAATTTGTCTTCGGTTTTCGATAAGACGGGAATCGTAACGTCATTTTAGGCTGGAGGACTTCGTCTGGTGCGTAAGCTACGCAGAGGACTCTAAGGCTTTGCTATTCTGGAATGAGGCACATGATAACCGTTGTGAGTATCCAGCCATGCCAAGTGCTAATCACATTATAAAAATGAGTTTGACAGAATTGGAGTTTCCAAACTGACTTTCAAACTTCTGTTACAAAACGAGAAACCCAAAATAAAATATAAAAAAAAGAACCACGTACAACAGAAATAGATCAGAAAATTGAGAATTAAAAAACATCAGAGAACAGAAAATGCATAATTCGACTTTGGATAATTTGAGTTTAACAATATTCTCAAAGCTGGGAAGGTAGTGTCTAATTTGTGCATACTTTGCAGGCTGTCATCGCTAGCTCATACTTGCCTTTCCTTGCTGCGACCTCAGCAACGAAAGGTGCTTTCTTCTCCACAATATCGGAAAGAACGAGCAAGGCAAACCTGTCGACAGATAGTCCACAAATGATTCGCTTCAGGTTCGATACGATTTCTAATACGAGTAACACCACTGACCTCGTCTGACATGTTGGGCCACCTCTCGGCACCGCTTTTAGCGCTCTGAAATTTTGATCAAGTTATCAACATCACTGTTCTTGCTACAGAGCTTGAATTGAACTCTGGTTTATCCACTGAAGAGGCGCATCATAAGCAAAAGATGCTACATGCGAAAACGACAACAAACACATCCCGTACTCAGCGCGAAGACCCAGATTTGAATTAGGTGCTTCAAAGGAGTGAAGGGGCCTTCGAAAATTTCCCGCAGTAACCCCTTCTTTTCTCAGAGACCGGAAGGTCTCCCTGCAACCAATTAAAAAAAAAGGTAGAAATGTGAGTACACTCCTTTAAAACTAGAAATCGAGATCATCAAACACCACTTCCAGAATAGAGGAGATCTAGAAGACAAGCGTCAGTCGTCAGGGCTTACATGAAGATGAAGTACGGAGAAGGTGGTCACTTTGGCATATCAGAATCCTTGACTGTCTTTTTCCTGGTTTCGGATTTCTTGTGCATTCTAGGACGTCTAAATAAAATTCACACCTCCTACTTCAGAAACATCCCAATCCGGGGCAAACCCTATCAGAAAACAATGAGCGAAAATAGACAGAAGCAAATGAATGCAATATGCCCACGGTGCATACCCTTCTGTAGTCGCTCTACCACTGGCAGCGTCTTCGTTCTAGCTTGCCACTGCAACGACGAGAACGCAACGAATTCCAAAGACCACTCAAACACGTCAAACACAAAAAAGAAGCAGCCAAGGTATACAAATACATAGACGTGCCTTAATACAAGCTGGCAAAATAATAGGAAAATAATCGAATCACGCCACTGAGAAAAGAAGTTGACCACCAGTGATCGTCTTCTCATACAACAAGTCACTCACACTCTTGAATAAGCTTTCAAAGTTGCGGAACACAGGTTGAACGTGTCTAATCATGGACCCATTTGATCTGGATTCCGGCATTATGAAGAATCCCCAAGTATTGCAGATTAGACATTTTCTGACTTTACTGTTCAAATTCTTGTACACAACAAGGATGCTTTCCTAATAGATATAGACACCGAGCAGCGTCCGGATACAATGTCGAAAGATACAAGGTAGGTCATCGAGTGAGGAGAAAGACACTGAACAATACAGATTCTCAATCCAAGGTGGTTGGACACACTTCCACGGCACTTGCTATGAGTACCCTTCTTCATAAAACCAAAAACCAAGAGGCAGTTGTGCCACCTCTACGCTTATGTGCAGGGCTACTGTGACTTATCACGCATTGTGTCCGACAAGATTTCTATGTGTCCAACCACAACTAAGGAAGGTGCCTAGCTATCTTCACACTCAGCTACAACTCAAAGGAGGGACAAAGAGCTCTTAGAGGTGGCAGTGCTTCAATTAGGGTTTTAGATTTTAGGATTAGAAATCATGTAGCAAAGTACATCAAAGGTTGCACAATCAACATAAATGGAAGAAATGGAAGACGATCCAATGCATATGACACAATACCATAGGTAACAAACAATAAGCTATTATTGTTTGTTACCTATGGTATTGTGTCATATGCACTCGATCGTCTTCCATTTATGTTCCATCGTCTTACATCAATGTACTAAATACATCAATATACTAAAGGCATAGTTGGCTCATGTGCTAGTTGGTTTGACAAAGTTAGAAGAAGGACATCAAATAGAATGTATATATTGTGCAAACACAAGATTAATCTTGAGCTTGTGGCTTCAACAATAAACTTTGGCATGTATACAAAGTGAAAGCATCATTAGATGAATTTTTTTTGACATGGTTATCTTATAGTTGTATAAGATTTCTTTTTGATAAAAAAATGATAGAAGTTAAGTTTGATGTGTATATAGTGAAGCACAAAATGAAGCACTATACATAGTGTGTGTTCATTGCTAATTTTGTAGGAAGTAGACTAGACAAACTATGAAGTATATACAAACTAGTTGTGAGCCCTAAAAGCTAAAATACAAGAAGAGTTGACACTATAGAGAACCTTAAGACATAGGTTCTTTCAATTGATTAGTAAGGACAAAGCAACTTCTTAGAAATTGCTTATGTTCAAATCTACCTATCTTAATAGAGGACTTATATGTTACACTCATAGATTTAAGGATTTAATCTTAGTAGACTAGTTGGCATAAAAATATCAACCTAAGTCACCCTCAAATCAATTATAGACAAATTACTAAGCAATGTATAAGACATAGCACAATGCATTGAATCAGTAATAGACAAAGATTAAAATAATGGTCATAGCACCTACCAAAACTTTTATATCGGAATGACCATAGAAGTAGCATATAAACTTACCATTAGCATTGTGAATCTAATTTCAAAAGAAATGAGCCACATACAAGTTGATTATAATAATTTATCAATCTAATATAGATATTGCATATTCATGGCATAACTCATCTAGGATTACTTCTTGTTATCCATCTAAATATAAGCAGAGATAGAAATTTAGTTGGAGAACCAATTCTTGCCAAGATATCAAGTCTTTCAACTAAGTCAAATAGAGGTAATATTACAAAGAAGGATTTCTTTGCTAGAAATAATTGTGCCTCTACCTCCATTCAAATTGCCATAATAGAAGTTGAATATTTGAACTCCACAATGAGTTTTTTACAAGTTGAAAATAATAAGACCATGTAAGTAGCAAATAGAACCAATGACACAAACTACATCATGAAAAAGTTGATCCAAACAATCTGCAACCATACATATTGAGCTTGACAAAGTGGATTATAAAATA